GATCTGAAAAGACGAGGTGCAGGTTTTGAGATTCTGAATGATGGCATTAGTATTATGGTCGTGAAAATGAACTTCAAGCTTCACTCACATTTGTATGACATCCTTTTTATTCAGCCATAGTGGGCCGGAGCTGTACGGCTCATGCAAATTGTACGGCTCATGTCAAATATGTACGGCTCATGTCGAATTTTCAAAATCGATAAGCAAACACAAAACCGTAGCCAATGCACAATATTAATGTATCAAAATGTTCCCCTATCTTTCAAGAATAATTTCCAGTGTTTTTCGAACAGTTTAATCGCACAACTACCTAAGAATTTTCAAGAATACTACCACGACATCTTGCGATTCGCAAACAAATAATGGCTCCCACGGCTAAGTGTCGACCTAAGGTGGCTTCGAATATGGGGATTCCCTCTGTTCTAGCAACGAGCAAGTAACCTCAAAAACAGCAAGATTTCAACCAAAATAAAACCGTTTTTTACAAAATTATTATTGGATCCCCGTGCCATTCAACCTTTTTAACAAGTTTATTTAAAAATATTAGAGTTCTGAGGGTTGCATTAATCACCCACCATGTTCGGGGTCGACACTTAGTTTCTGGCGGAGGGCGGAGCTGGCTCCGTGTACGGCTCATGCAAGAATCGAAAATTCACGCTAACGGGTGAAGTTAAACCGTTTTTTACAAAATAAATGCTGGATCCCCGTGCAATTCAACCTTTTTAACAAGTTTATTTAAAGATTTTAGGGTTTTGAGGGTTGGGTTAATCACCCACCATGTTCGGGGTCGACACTTAGTTTCTGGCGGAGGGCGGAGCTGGCTCCGTGTACGGCTCATGCAAGAACCGAAAATTCACGCTAACGGGTGAAGTTAAACCGTTTTTTAGAAAATAAATGATGGATCCCCGTGCAATTACACCTTTTTAACAAGTTTATTTAAAGATTTTAGGGTTTTGAGGGTTGGGTTAATCACCCACCATGTTCGGGGTCGACACTTAGTTTCTGGCGGAGGGCGGAGCTGGCTCCGTGTACGGCTCATGCAAGAACCGAAAATTCACGTTAACGGGTAAAGTTAAACAGTTTTTTACAAAATAAATGATGGATCCCCGTGCAATTCAACCTTTTTAACAAGTTTATTTAAAGATTTTAGGGTTTTGAGGGTTGCATTAATCACCCACCATGTTCGGGGTCGACACTTAGTTTCTGGCGGAGCTGGCTCCGTGTACGGCTCATGCAAGAACCGAAAATTCACGCTAACGGGTGAAGTTAAACCGTTTTTTAGAAAATAAATGATGGATCCCCGTGCAATTACACCTTTTTAACAAGTTTATTTAAAGATTTTAGGGTTTTGAGGGTTGGGTTAATCACCCACCATGTTCGGGGTCGACACTTAGTTTCTGGCGGAGGGCGGAGCTGGCTCCGTGTACGGCTCATGCAAGAACCGAAAATTCACGTTAACGGGTAAAGTTAAACAGTTTTTTACAAAATAAATGATGGATCCCCGTGCAATTCAACCTTTTTAACAAGTTTATTTAAAGATTTTAGAGTTCTGAGGGTTGCATTAATCACCCACAATGTTCGGGGAGAATAATCAACTGCGAAAAACTTTTGAAAAGACAGGAAAGTGAAACAAGTAAATGCATGCATGATCAATATTCTTTTTTAAGAAGAGAAATACATGAGCTAGATGATAAAAAGTGTTTGTAGAATAAGTCTTTTCAATTCTAATAAAGTTATATATAACTACGATCGTCGATAAATTCGTCGATAACAATTCGATAACTACATTTACAATCGTCGATAACTTCGCGTTGCTACCTCCAAAGATATACATGGAAGAATTTCGTTTTCGCTCTTCCAGTTCTACTTACAACTATTTGAGAAACAGTTCATTTAGTGACATTCTCTTTGCGACTTTTAATAACACGTATGTACAAAAAGCAGCAATATTATATCAAACTTCATGTAAATTTATTTTCTGCTTCAAAGACTTTTAGCAAGTATTGTTCTTGGGTTAATATCCCATACCAAAATACAATGATTTTACATAAAGCTAACCATCTGAATACAAGAAGCATTTGATTAATCTTGCTGTACCAGTTTGACGAAAGATACTGCATTTCCCACCAGTTAACAATCACTTTCGTTTGACGATGAGCTATCTTTTGGACGTATAGATTTGACTTTGTCAAGAAGTTCCTTAAAACTTGGTTTTTTGACAGTTTTTTTCTTACATGGCCGTTTTTTTCTAGTTGTTGCCTTAACACCCCGCTTTGCCTTTTTGTGCGATCTCTCTAGCAATGTCATGTTGTCATATTCATCGCTGTCACTCAAAACACGTTTAATTGGACGTTTCAATTTCTTGCATTTTCTACATAGCCATGGGGATGAGTGAATATCTTCTTCGCAATCACAGTGATACCAAGATTTGCAAGAGGAACAACAAATCATTTTAGTTTTCATGTCAGGCAAGTTGCAGTGGCAATAAAAAGAAGGTTTAATGATGAATTTAGTTCCTGACGACTCTCTGGGAGAGTTAACAAATTGTATGCCTTCAAATGTTTTGCTTCTTAAAGCTTTAATGAGATGTTTTCTCAAGTTCTTTAAATTGAAATATGTTACTTGAGGGTCCATTTTGCGACATAAACATAGTGCAAAGAATATGGCAGCTATTCCGCTATCTGAATCTCTAAGACTGGAAACCGTATCAGCAACATGAATCTCAAATTTGTCGTTTTTTGGATGCCTAAGCCTTGCCGCATAAGCCTCGATCGAAATATCATATTTGCATTCTCTTTTATTATTCGAAAGATGATTCCTTGAAAGGCTGTCATACAAGTGGATTTGTTTATCTGAAGATACCATATTTGATAAAGTTCCCCAATCAGTATATTTTTTGGAATCATTTAGTGGTATAATTTGTATAAACCTATTGCCAGAGCCCCAAACAGTCAATAAGTCAGATATTTGATGGAGTCCTTCCACATTTTGGAATTCGCGCCGCATTACACCCATGGCAGCATTGATAATCGAAGAGGATACTGGCAAACCCAAATCAATATCATGCAGATGATTTTCGTTGAGATCAAAGGGTGCATGATCGGACGATGTAACCTTATTTTCACTTGAAAATGACGTAACATGTACGAAATCATGTCCGCAACCACTACCTGTATTTTCGTCAAACCTCTTAGCTGTTCCGGCTTCGTCGTTGGTAACAAAAACAATACTATCATCTATGTTATCAGCAAGAATGCTGTTTTCTGTTATTTGAAAAAAAATTTCATTTGTTGAAATTGCAGTGTAACTTTGGTTAGGAGAAGGTAATTTTGAGGAAGCCCTACTGCTGTCCTTACCTCTATTGACACCACTGGGCGAGGAAGTCCAATTCTTCGCACTGCCCTCATGCAAGAATCCATTGACAAATTCTTCGTAATCAGGGACTAAAGCAGGCTCTTCAACAGTCAAAAAATTAGATTGTGCCTCGTTGGGTCCCTTGTTGGAATCATTGGATCGCATTGATTCGAAGAATTTGTCATTGGAATCTTGTCTGTCACTGCATTTATCTCTTGTCAAATCAGAATAATCCCTCCCTTTTCCACTTGTATGGCAAAATATTGCGCGTCCAAAGAGGTCATACCTAACGTTGAGTTTGGTCCTTTTTTCCATTTCTGAAACGACAAATAGATTTCTAGATTCATTCACTAAATCAATAATCGAGCGAAACATGAAACTGTGGTTGGATGGTGACATTTTATTTAAAAAATACCTGTTTAAATTAAACGAGCCATGGATTTGCTCTGCAACCTGACTATTGATTTGACCCGAAAGTTCCTTAACACAAGCTATACGGCGGAGAGCTTCGACTTCATTAGAGGTATTTTTTTCGTGGAGTCGGTCGAAAAGTGCTAAATGGTGTGCACTACCTGTTACTGGGTGAGAATTAGGTTCTAAATTTCTGTTTGTGTTACAATCTGAATTTATCCAAGGAAAGGATACCTGTAATGTTCCGTCATTTGCCATTTGCACATTCTCATTTGTTGACTCAGCGGCTCGGCCATCGTTTGGTGAGAAAAATCCAATGAACTTTCTGTTAGCAAATGCTGATACGATGTGGGCCATATCATTTATAAATATGTTTGGCCTATGCCGGAGTCCACGTAAAATATCTAAATAATCTCGGGGGCTCTCGGAACGAAGCAGAAATTTAATGGCATAGATAATTCCATGCTGACATGCGACTGTCAACCATCCACCAGAAAACCCAAACATTTTCCTAAATATTTTATTGAATTTTATATTATTCTTTCCCAAACCTGTTTTGATACGATTTATTATATCTAATTTTGATCCTTTTGCGGCCACTCCTAGTTTTTTAGCAAGTAACCTGACCTCTTTGGACGTGCTTTCAAATAAAGTTTCTAACAGACGTTCTTCCGACATTTCCCTACACTCTATTTCAATGTCGTCATTTTCGGCATGAACTTTCTGATGCTCCGAATTATAAATAACGTCGCCAATTCTACTTTTCTCACCAATATATGGAGCCCAATTGGATAATTTAGGAGATACCGTCATTTCATTTACCTTGCGTCCTCGACATCCCCTGCTCACCATTTCCATTGTAACATCATCCCAAAACTTTTTGCAGTCTACTTCATCTGCATCTGAATAATTTTGTTCCTCAGTTTTTTCATCGGGTTCCCTGTACTTAAAAGCGACTTTGCGATTAACGTCGGCTATAAGAATATGTGGGTAATAGCCACATTCGACACAGTTGAATTCGTACGTGCGATTGCTAAGGCTTTCAAAATGTAAATACGAATTTAGAATTAAATTACTATCGAGTTTTGTCTTCAGCAATCCCTCAGCAAATGCACATACTTTTCCAACCGCCATATGATTTTTCAAGCATTCACGCAGGAGATTGCAGAAGTCTAGCCCTATCAAAAAAATATCGTCAAAATTGTGGACCCCATCCTTATATTCTTCATATCTATAGTAACTGTCACATTGTTCACATTTGGCAAAAAAGGTTTCGATCCAATCTAGAAATCCTGTTAGAGTCAATACTCTTGCATTCCGGGTTATCCTAACTGGGCGGCTCAGTTTTGTCTTACAAATAAGGCATTCAGTCTCAATTGGTTTAAAATATCTTGGTATATCTTTTTTTGATACCTTAACAAATTCATCTGGGAGCGGGAAAGGAATAGTTTTTTTTGAAAGGGAATACTTTATCATATTTTGTACAGCATTTGGTGACTTTGGTGGATACAACAAATCTTGAGGTTGTTTACATGTTTCGTCGTTGATTTCTTGCGTATTTGTTAAAAAGGTGTAATTGCACGGGGATCCATCATTTATTTTCTAAAAAACGGTTTAACTTCACCCGTTAGCGTGAATTTTCGGTTCTTGCATGAGCCGTACACGGAGCCAGCTCCGCCAGAAACCAAGTGTCGACCCCGAACATGGTGGGTGATTAATGCAACCCTCAAAACCCTAAAATCTTTAAATAAACTTGTTAAAAAGGTTGAATTGCACGGGGATCCATCATTTATTTTGTAAAAAACTGTTTAACTTTACCCGTTAACGTGAATTTTCGGTTCTTGCATGAGCCGTACACGGAGCCAGCTCCGCCAGAAACTAAGTGTCGACCCCGAACATGGTGGGTGATTAATGCAACCCTCAGAACTCTAATATTTTTAAATAAACTTGTTAAAAAGGTTGAATGGCACGGGGATCCAATAATAATTTTGTAAAAAACGGTTTTATTTTGGTTGAAATCTTGCTGTTTTTGAGGTTACTTGCTCGTTGCTAGAACAGAGGGAATCCCCATATTCGAAGCCACCTTAGGTCGACACTTAGCCGTGGGAGCCATTATTTGTTTGCGAATCGCAAGATGTCGTGGTAGTATTCTTGAAAATTCTTAGGTAGTTGTGCGATTAAACTGTTCGAAAAACACTGGAAATTATTCTTGAAAGATAGGGGAACATTTTGATACATTAATATTGTGCATTGGCTACGGTTTTGTGTTTGCTTATCGATTTTGAAAATTCGACATGAGCCGTACATATTTGACATGAGCCGTACAATTTGCATGAGCCGTACAGCTCCGGCCCAACATCGCTCCTAATAAGTCATTCTTACCAATCAATAGGCCATCCATGTCAAATATAACATGGGAAAAGTTTCGTTTTGGCTTCATTTCCTTTCCTGTCATATTCTTTCCTTGCGTGTAAACCAAACTCCGTACTTCCTTTTTCTATGTCTTTTCTGAACTTGCTGATGGTTTCAGATCGAATCGACATCTATCGGACATGGCAAATACACACGAGGCTGCCACGCATCAGAGACACTCTTGATATGGCGGCTTCAAGATTCGTTACTGTGAAGAACTTAGGTCGTATGCGTTATGGACCCGCAATCGCTAAGATGAAAGAAACATGCGAACAGAAAGTCGCCTACCGAAAACGAGTTTCCTGCAGTGAGCCAATGGACATTATATACATCGTGGAACATCCCCCAGTTTATACCATAGGGACAAGAACGCAACTCTACTTAGGCCCATCAACAACTGATTTCGAGAGGACGGATGAAAAATTGAAAAAACTCGGGGCAGAGTTCTATAAAACAAACAGGGGTGGCTTAATTACTTTTCATGGTCCTGGACAATTAGTTTGCTATCCAGTTTTAAATTTGCGCAACTTCAAACCGAGTGCAAGATGGTACATAAATCGGCTTGAGCAAGTTGTAATTGACACTTGTGCAGACTTTAAAATTAATGTTGGAAGGACAGCGGACATCGGTGTATGGACTGAGGATCGAAAAATTGCCGCAATTGGTTAATATTAATGTTCTTTTTTAAGATCAGTATTATTTGCAAAATTTAAACTGTTTTGGTTAATCAAGTTACAGTTGAAAAGGTCATGAAAATGAAAAATGTACCAAGATGGTGCTGGAAAAGGGTTTTGTAAAAGTTTAGAAGTTAAGAAACAGTTCTGAGAAAAAGGCTTATTGTTCAAATGAAAATTGAATTGAATCAAAGGGGATTACTCCCCAAAATAGTACTTAAAACATACAATGAATCAACTTGCTTTAACCAAACTTTAGGCTTTATCATGTTGATACACCTAGCTTTTTTAGCCCACAGTTCTCTGCAATCCTTGGCGTGAAGTGCTGCCAACTTGCCAGGGTGGAATCCATGTAAAGCTCACATCTGATATACACCATTAAACAATAGCAATACAATGGGAAATCCTTAGACCATGCCAGATAACTCTGGCATAATTTACATGGATTAAACACTGCTTCACTTGTGTTGCCCACTGTTGCTCTATAAATAAAACAGTGTCAACTCAAGTGAAGCTTCTCTCATTTGCATTCATCATAGGAATTTAATACACTATGATATGACACAAATTAACTGTATCTGTGGTGTAGCGAATGATACAATTGATGGAATGAATATTCAATGTGTTAACCTGATATAAATTTCCTTTAGGTGTCCATGTCAGCAAATACATTACATCTCATGGTTTAGCTCTAAATTGCAACACCGACCTATCATGGTTTGACCACATTGTGCCATGCGGAATTCAAGGAAAGAGCGTCACATCACTTTCCAAGGAACTAAATACAGATATCAAAATAGAAGATGTTGTGCCTATTTTATTAAAGAAATTTCAAAATTTATTTAATTGCCAATTAATCATGTCGCAATGATTATGTAGATTTCAAATTGAAATGAATTTCTTTTCTTTTATAGTATTTTTGGCAGAATGACATAATAATTTTTGATAATACTATAATTGCTTTATAAGATTGTTGGTTAAGTTTTAGTTATAATAACTTTGCAATATAGATAAAATAACAATATCTTTCTTGATTCTGCAAGTAACACATTAAGAGTATGGCCTATATGTTGGGTGGTTTATATACAGGGCTACTATGGCATATTTTCTACAGAACAATTTTCAGAAAATTGAATTGTTTTATTCTTATTAAATTCACATTTGAATAAATTACTGACAAAGTTATCTTGAAAGTATGCAGATAAAACCCACAGAAATCCAGAAACAATTTCAAAGACTAAGATTTGCATTTTAACAGAATGGTCGAGCCATAATTATCAATCCTAAAGATCAAAAGGCACTATGCAAAGACAGGATTGCTAGTACTGGACTTTTTTGGTGGACTTATAGAAATATAGCACTTTATTTACTTGCGATTTGTTCAAAAGACTTAGGTGGGAAGGGTGTCCATATGTTTGGGTACAGCTTTTTGATCTTCTTCATACCCTTATAACTGCATAATATGATATTATCTACTTTATGCTTTAATTAGCATAAAACAAGTGTTGTCTCAAAATACTCATTTTTATAGATTGTTTTTAAAACACATGAATCATGCCATACATAAATGTCCACACTAGCAAATATGTGAATAGTTCACCAAAAATTCCAGAGGTCCAGATATTCCATCTTGATAGGAAGTAACGGTCCCAATGCTTTCCAGTCTTGTAGACCAATAGAACTGACATAAGACATGACAAAACAAAGTAAAATATAAATCCCTGAAGGCCAGTTAGTCCAAGAATTCCGGCAGAGGACCCAGAAATGACAGCTAAAAATGCTCTGGAATATTCAATCACATTCATGTTGCTCCTGATGGCAAGTGGGTTATACTTTTCAAACTCAGTGTCTTGGAAAACCTCTTCTTCAGCCATATTTTTATCTGAAAAAGAAAGATGTTCCTGTTAAAATTGAATTAAATATCAAATTTATTTATTTGAGCAAGAATGCCAGACTGCAGATTATGGCAAGTGCACACCCGAGCTATACACTTGATAAATGGTGTGGCATTTGAAATCTGGGTGTGACATGGGTGTGTCTCATTGCTTGGGGCAAATGAAGAATTAAGTTTCCTCAAGAACGAAATAATCTTACATTGGTTTGTTAGTAAAATAACTATCAATCATGTATATTTTCTCACCTTCATTTTCATATGCTTCTTATTTGATATCCTTTAAATATCCTTGGGTTCTAGTGCAGTTGAGGACACTAATGTGCACAATTGAGGTGCATACTTATACCAAAGTGCACACTTGCACAATTTAAATTTTTCGCTGTTTAAATTTTGCTCTTGCACACCCAAGATCTCATTGGAAACTGCAATACTCTGCAGTCTGGCAAGAATACAATGCAATAGTTCTGAAATTTTAATCCAACTTTGTTTTCTCAGTCATGGGTTCTATTGTTTCATCACTTTTCTTAAAAGAAATGTTTCATCTCTTTCTCTATATTAACCTATAATAATATATTTATCATTCAAAATATACTTATTTTGTTGTTGTTACTTTTATTAGATTACAATACTAGATATTTAGGGTGCTTGGGCAAAAAAACCGTTCTGGTTCCTCTCAGCTTCCAGAGCAACTATATATTGTTAAAATTATTAGTTATATGGACCTGTAAACTACTATATTATTACCTTATTGATATAAATTTGTAACTTAATTGCTGAAATGAATTTGAATTAACAGAGATAAAGACATTTGCATATGCCCCTTAATTGCATGCAGGGGCACCTACACTGGGGGGGGGCTGGAGGGGCAGAGGGGGCAAGAAGTGCACTAAAATATAAGAAAGTATTATAGAATCTTATCGATAATTGATGACCACACTATTAGAAAATATTAGAAAAATGATAACACCCGCAAAAAGCAGAAAGGTTGAAAAGTTTTTCTGTGACAAAGTGGGCCACAAGAAGGGGAGCGGCAAAGATAATAGTAGATAAACAAAAGTCTTGTTCCCTCAAAAGTATTCCAGAAACCAAAGAAGGATAAATTGGTATCAAACTTAGCAGGTAATCAAAATTTTACAACCAGCCCATTTATAACATAGCTCTATGATTTTTATAAATTCAAATATTGTGTATAGTGGCAAAGCCATTTAATACCCATTTTATGGATGGATATTTTTGTCAGCATTTTCTCTATGTTTAGAATAATTGATGGTTGAAGAACTCAGCTGTATGGGTGGCACATATCCATGTTAATATTTCATTATGTTACCCCACCCTCATCTTCCCCCTCCAACCAGGAATACTCAACACCAACACTGCCCCTCCTACCCTAATCTTGTGCAGGCATCCCTGATGGCGTGGTATCAGGGCATGTTAGGGTAAGGATTTCCTCACATCAATTATTGTAATCAAACACTAACATAACATGTAGTTAGCTTGATATGCAGGTCTGGATTTCATGGCAGTTTTCAACAAGATCTTGGGAGTGCACAAGCTATTACCTGGGAGTGCAAGAGTGCATTTGTGTACATTTGAGTGTGCATCAAATTTCTCAGTAATTCTTGAGTCTGGCACTTTTCCTGTTTACATCAATTTTACATCTCTGGGAAATTTATGATTTAGAATTGAACTATGCTTACCTACCACTTCTATCAGTGGCCGTTTTTCAAATTCCTAAAGATTTGGCAAGTAAAGAGATAATTTGAAAAAAATAATGTTTAAAAAGGCCAAAAACATGATCTCACAAGCAGGGCCAGGGAGAGGGGGCAAAGGGGGCAATTGCCTAAGGTCCTTGATGTCTAGGGAACCTCAGAAAAAGGAATTCCATTTTAAGAATGGAATTTATTTCTTTATAGTTGAATGATAGTAATCCGTTTAAAGAATGGAAATAACAGTTAAATATGACAATTAAACAATTGAAACAAAGTAATATTGAAACAATTGCAAGAGAATGACTGCAAACAATGTTATGCAGTGTATTCTGCAGCCATTATAAAGAAAGGGGTCACAAAAATTTTCTGCTCACTTCGCTCTCAAGGGTGCCTTCATTTTTCAGTTTTGCCTCAGCTCCACTAAAACTTTTTGCCAGCCCTAATCCAAAGTGGATCACTCAATTTAAAATGACACATTTTTTCTAACCTCAGTTAAGGACAGATTATAAAAGGTCATTTTGCCATATTTGAAAAACTTTCTGATTTCTATGGTCACATCAAAAAAGATGCCCAAACCACGCCCATCTTTCGGGTGTGTAAAAGTGCCCCCATTATTTTACAAAAATCTCTCGGAAGTGCAGCTGCCATGGAATCCATACTGGTTGATATGCTGAAAAAAATTTGGGTTTCTTTCTGAACTCTCGTTGAAAATTTGGCCAAAAATTGAGGTTTTGCAAAACAACGATGGCAATAACAAAAAACACGTACCTTTGAAAATGTTTAAAACAATTTACTTCATAGAATCATCGAACTGCCACAGCTTCTAGGACATAAACTTATATCGGTGTTTCTAAAGCTTGTCTCTGTTTTAGGCACTGATCAGTGGTTTTAGGCCTATTTCATATTGAAACTCTGAAGGGTCTGGATTACAGTCTCCCCAGGCCTCTCAAGGAGCCGCGTGCGACTCCTTCTCTCTTTTCGTGTTTCCATAAGCCTTAGAGCCATGGTGAGTCCGGGATAGAAATTTTCATAGAAGCTGTATATTATCAGCTCTGTTATACCCTTGAGTTTAAGAAAGTAAAATCTAAACACTGTTCTGCCAGGTTTAAGTCATTTACTATGCTTCACCCAGCTGCTTATTCTAAAAATGTTAATTAAAGTTACACTGTGAAACACGTAGCCATTTTGGCCTAACATGTGACGTCTCTTTGAGTTCTTCCGTGCTTTTAAAGTGTCTGGCTTTAAAACAAGCGTTCAGAAAATTATGAATTAAAGTATTAATAGAATTTTTATCCCATTCATTTCTTTTTTGAAGGCTGGTTTTACTTGCAATGAGCTTTATTTAAGTTTGGGATCTCGTTACCAGCCAGACTGCAAAGTTTGGGATCTCGTTATTAGATTATTAAAATTTGAGATTTATTGCTCCAGCGTGGAAAGCTGAAGTTAGATTCATTGCTACCCTTTAGTTATTCATCCTAAACCTCAAACTTTTCTATGAAAAAATAGTATTTAGTTTAGTAACTTCTAACAAAGGCACTGTTTTGAGAAACTATATGAAAAATCACAGCTCTATTAAAAAATTCCAAGATTATACCCAAGCAGCATCCTTTTTTCACCAAGAAATACCTAACGTTCCCATTTATCTGTGTGCTGAAGATTAACATTTATCAGGAACTGATTGCCTTGAATTTAAGGTTTTGACGATCCAAATTTTGTCCCCAGCCTCCAAAACAGCAGCAAAAGGGAAAGGGAGCCACAGACAAGGGTAAAACCCAGAAGAAGGCAAAGCCAACAGGATCCGGTGGAAAAGCCAAAAAGAAGGTTTGTTCTGAGACATTTTTCTGTTAGAAAACTGTATCTGAGTTTTATCATATATTCCTTTATAGATTTCAATGCATAATTTGTTTCTTGTATGACTGTATGACTGTGATGTAAACTGTCATACATCATACAAATGGAGTCTGATGGATGTTTTGCTGTTTTTTCTGTCTCTATGGGTAGGCTTTTTCGCTCAGGTCTGATGAATACTCCTGTATTCAATTAATGCGATATCAATTATCTTGTAGCTTCAACTAACTTTTCTTAAATGTTTCAAAATATTGATGTCTTCACAAGAATATACACCTATCCCTGAACAGATTAACCTTTCAATTAGTAAAGTCTCCGATTAATTGTTGAAAATTTTCCTTGGACATAGTTCACCTTGCTTGAGTTGAGAATTGGAACAGATGCAATTCTTATTTTTTTCATGCTAATTTTGGCAAGGAAACAATCAACTTTGAAAATATAGAATTGATTCACAATAACTACATTTTTTACCTTAAGGTATTTGATTAAATTGAATGCAAAGATTATAAGTTAGCATCTGCCTATTAAAGCCCTTTTTTCAAGAAAAAGCCTCCCCCCTTTTAACATTCTGTTTGCATTAATTTCCTAAGTAAAGCTAAAAAATTGTTTTCCTGTTGAGTTTGGAGAAAGGTATGGTTGTTTTCTGACAAATATAGAGCCCTGACTGTCTCTTTGTGTTCTTTTTTCCAAGTGATCAACACAGTGATTTGTTCAAATTATTCTCTTTTTTCATGTCAGAGTCCTTTACTTTTGTATTATCAACATCAATTCTTTAACATCAGCTCAATTGAATTTCTTTTTATTATTGCTGTTATAGAAGTGGTCAAAGGGAAAAGTCAGAGACAAGCTTAACAACTTGGTCTTGCTTGACAAAGCCACAAAGGACAAACTTTATAAAGAAGTACCAAGCTATAAACTCATAACACCATCAGTTGTTTCTGAAAGGCTGAAGGTCAGAGTTTCTCTCGCCAGAACTTGCCTTAAGGAGTTAATGGGAAAAGGTCTTATTAAAGAAGTTTCAAAACACAGTTCTCAGATGATCTACACAAGAGCTACAAAGGAAGCTGCGAAATAACTCAATTTCCCATTCTTATTCTGAAATGAATATTTGTTGACAAAGACAAAATCTATTGTTTTTCTTGCATCTGCTGATCTTTAAAAGAGGGAGAGTTACTGTAATATTGAGTTTAGATGTCAGTTTTATTAGTGTGATATGGTTCATTCCAGCTGGCCCCAAAAAGAATAAAGTTTTCTGTTCCACGATTGACATTGTTAGAAAAATATATGAACATTCCAAATTTCCTGTCAAATGAAAGGGTGATTGAGTGCTTATAGCAAATGAAACTGTTGCTTGAAGGAACTTCTTTCAAATTATGAGGATATCAAGGCAAGGATAAATGTATTAAGAACATCACAGACTTGACCAAATTTTACATTATTATTTACAACTTTGTACATTTACCACTTTACAGTTAACAAACGCCCAATAATTTACAGATAAATCAATTTATAAATTCATTTACTCAAACCCATTGGCTCCTTCTCTTGGACTGAGAAGTTGATTGTTCACTGCCAAGTTCGGCAGTTCAATTGTTGATGTCACGTTGTGATTGACAGCATAACTCATTTTCCGCTGTCTCCTCTGTGAAAGTAAAGATTCCTTCAAATTGTTTCCAAATTGCCCAGCTCCAGCTAATGATAATTTCCTGTCAGTCTTCCATGGCATGGTGTTCTGGATCTCTAAATCCCTGCCTTGAGACTGAGGGAAAAGATTCAAAATTAAGTTAAAGAATTATAATAGGCACCTGACTGACATTTGGTTCCAAGTTGGCTTAGGGTTTGCAATAACAACAAATCAATATATAAAATTGCAGTAACCGAGTGATATTGAAAATATATTACATAATGGCACGGGATAAGTCAATTAGGGTCATCCCCTGTCACATCAAATAAATTTGGTATTGGTTCAAAACTTATGAACCAAGTTGAAATTATCATAACTAATTTATTAATTCAAGTCTTTCTTTTACCGTGTATTTCATTCAATTTTCAGTCTTCATTGGATCCAGTTGGATCCAATTGCAAAAATTCATAAAATTGGGTTTCTTTGACGACATCAATCATATTTTCCATTTTTTCCAACAATACAGAATAATATTATAGTATAGCAAGCTGAAAAGACGGAAGTTCAACTCCTAGACGTCTAGTTTAGCTTTAGTTTAGCTTTGCCTGGCTTCATTCGAGCTTCTTATACCTATGTATAGATAAGTACATGCCTGATCCTACGTGTACAAACTTGTGTGCGTACAGCCCTGCTTTTGTAGCATCGCCCATTGTATGAACGACCCATAAACACTTATTGTTATGAAATATAAGTATATATATTTGTAGTGCATCTATTTTCTTCGGTTGACGCAGAGGTCTAGTTGCGTAATTACAGAGGTTCGTAGAAGTAAACGCATCCACTGAAAAACCACGCGCTATTTACACAAAAGCTTAGATTTTTTACTCTATGCACTTATCCTATGATTTTATGTACTATTGGTTTTCAATTGTAAAAATCTCATATATTTCAGTTTAAGTAACCCCATCCCCCCCCCCCCAATTAAGTCACGTTGGTTGACATTCTACAGCTCAAAACTAACAAAAACTCATACCTACCTTGATAGAAACATTGATTGGTCCACCTCCTTCAACCTTCTGTTTGCCAATGGCCTGTGCTAGCAACGGCATTTTTGAGTGTCCAATGAAATGCGTTGCTCTTCTTTGATCGGCGATGCGAGAGTTGATATGGTCCAGTTTTTGTGACTGAGTTGCATTTTCCCGCTGACCTTTATCAGTTGGCTTCTTCTTCCATGAATTACCAAAAGCTAGAAGATCAGCTCCCTCCGAAACTTTCTTTGGCATCAATACTGAACCGCCTGGTTTGCTTCTTGGCGAGGGATGGTAGCCCTGGGGTCCTATTGGTTCAGGTTTGGAGCTTTCTGAAGTCATGTGATGTGTGCTTGGCAACTTTGGCAAGCTGATATGCCGGGATGTCAGCCCCAAACCGAGACAATTTTCCATGCCCGCATTTGAATTTGTTGGCTTGTTCGTAACTGAGTCGTCCTTCCTTTAAAATAGGTCATTGTAAGGATTAACATTTGTTAAAGACTGGATTCCAGTTTTCATTGTCGAAACTAGAAGAAGTATACTTTCTTAGAAGCGCTTGAAAAACCTCCTGCAAATGTTCATCGTTTGAGTGCATCTATTGATACATTGTGTACTGTGAACCTTCTTTATGTACCTACAATTAGAAGCCCAATTAGGTACAAGATACCTAAAACTCACCAAAAATCAAAATCGATATAAACTTACCCTTGACGTAGGCCAAGAATAACATTGATTTCATGCATAGTTTTCCCGCCTTGTTTCAGTAAATTAACCAGTTTTTTATTTTTGTCAAGAATTCTAGATGAGCGAAAATCATTTTGATGGCTTTTTTTGGAGGAATTATTAGCCTTTGTTCGCTTTGATACTGTGTTCTGCTTTTTCTCAACGACATCAGATCTTGATGCAGCTATCGAGTGTCCGCCAATCCCGAGCATCTTCTTTGTCCTATTTGCCATCGCTGAAGACCTGCCTTTCTTTATAACAGGGAGCGAAAGCCCTTCCTGTCGACAGAAAGCTTTCTCTTTAAGTTGTGATAAAATTGTGAAAAATATCAAGAAGTTTTATGTAACAAAGTGCTAAAAAAGAAATAAGAATCAACAAGTACTGTTTCTTTTCAAAGTATTTGACAGCAAGAACGAATAGCTGTGACAAAATAATTTATTCGATGCTTGAAGAGTCCGTTGCTTGCATGTCACTGTTACTCTAAAATGTTGTCTTACTGCATTATTTTTAGGATAAAACATTTCGGAATCTCCCCAAAATTGAAACGACTAGGATTGAAGTACTCCAACTCATGAAGCTTTTTTAACAAAAATTTTCTCTTGAACTACCCTGGGCAATTTAAGATACTGCACAAGTTTTAGAGAAAGATAGATGAAAATGTTAGTGCATCAGCATGTTCACAAGGCGTTAAACAAAGAATCGATATTAGTTAAACAAAATCCGTCACAAAATAAACCATTTCAATGCTATTTCTGAAAGTAAACCACTCCATTCATCGTTAACCAGATGTGATAAAAATTGCTGGAAACGGAATTTTAGATCCATATATTACACATCTACTGCAAATGGCTTTGAAAAAAGCAAACATTACAAACATTAAAGCTTTAGTTTACTAAATGTTTGCTTTTTTAAAAGCCATTTACAAGTTTTGTACCACCAAAAGATTATCTACTGCAAAAAAAGTTCTTCAGATCCTTAACCCTTAAAATGTTTTGGAACTGTTTTTTTGAATATATCCATTAACAACTTTCTAATCAAGACCAACATTTAGGCTCCCTTGATACTAAATTATTGGCTACAGTACATCTTTTGACTGAAGCTCAAAATATCCCACTTCACAAAATCAAATTTCAACTAAATTAAAAACCTTCTCAAACCTGTTTTTCTCGTTCTTCACTCTTTGGCTTGCTTTTCACTGTACTAATTGAAGAAGGAACAATTAAAAGATAAGTTCGATAGCCTTTTTAAAGACAAATCTTCTTCAAAGGCTTTTGACCACATAAATGTCACCTTCAGTATAAATCTAGCATACTGTAATAAGTGAACGGATACATAGATGTTTCCAAAACTCTGTATATACATACTTTTATTATAAGAATAAAGTCCATAAGAGTATTGAGTCTCAAAATCAATGAAATTTGAGATTAATTTGAGAATAATGCAAGGCTCAAGCTTCACCAAGAGTTAGATTTTTTGTGTATTTGAATTTTTTGGAAAGCAAAAAATGCGAGTTTCACGTTGTATGTATTGAAGTAGACGTATCCGGCCTTGCAGTCATAACACTATAATGCGACTCTGTTACACCTTATGTCGCTTAAGAATAATTTAAGAATAATCTTAGGCTCAAAATAAAAAAATTAAGAATACTGAGGTTCGGAAAAAAATTAGGTATTCTTTTAAAAAGTATATACGTTATGAAAACTTGGGCTTGAAGAGCAAAGGGACATAAAGTTGCTGAGTTCATCGAGATAGCCAGGCTGCTCAATCTATATAACATCTCTCTAACATACCAGTTAATCATAAACTTCATACCTTGCAGAAACCTTTCAATATACAACATGGCATAAAAGTTTGTAAAGAAAAAATATTAAGTCATGTTTGCAATTAGGCAAAGATAACGTCTTAAAAAAACAGGCCACAAGAGCAAAATATCCTGTTGCGAATGGAAGAGTGGAAACGAAGGAAGTAGAAATAAATTTCAAATCCAATATTCGTACCTTCCTTGAATCTGCTCAAATATCTGCTGATACCCAGACTAGAACAAAACTTCAGTGCGTTAAAAGGAAATGTCTAATAAAATATATCTATTAGCTGAGTTTCTTAGACACTTCCGATATGGTCGAGAATAGTATAGGGCTCTAATGTTATGATGTCATAAAATCTATTTTTAGAAATTCTGTATATGGATCACATGACCTAAAAGAACATAAAGAAATACATCTAAATGTGTATAATAAGCTACATGTTTTAAAAATTGGCTGCTATTTTGCTGCATCCGCACAGGCTCTTTTCCCATCAAATCACTAATTCGGTCTCCGTTAATAACTTTTTGAACCAAATCCAAAATTACAGTTCTAGTTATCCGTTAAGCAAACTTCAAAATAACTGATATTCCATCTTTGAAGGTATTTATGGCGTCACACCTAGGGTATGTGGTCAAAAGTCTAAAATTCTAAAAACTTATAATTTATAAAGCCACCCTTGAGAACTCCAGTTTAGTAAAAATAAAATATCAAAATCAAGCAAAATGGGAATAACGAGGCTGACGAAGCTAATTAATTGATTAAATTGAATAATTTCTCAAACAAGCAGATTCACTAAAGATGCCATGTTCCAACGCAATTATGGCAAATTTATCTTAACGAAAAATGAAGCTAACGAACTCCAACAGTCTGCTATCTAAAAGGCAAGATATTAACAACACTTAAGGTATGAGGGAAATGAAAAAATTTGGGGGAGCGTGGTGGCCAAGTTGTCTGATTTTTTTGGCAAATTTGTTTATAACCGAAAAAATATTCAAATAATACAGAAGGTTTCAAAATTCCGACAACAATTCAGGATAAAATGAAAATGGACTCTCGATTCTATGGTGTTCCTTCACAATAATTGTAAATATGCTCCCTTCGGCTGACAGCATCTTCATTTCGAGAATGGCAAGCAGAAACATTTGCTCGCTTCTGCCCACTTTGTGGTAAATACAAACGGACTATGTGGTGATTAATGATCAATGAATCAATTTCAAATAATAAATAATCTGAAGTCATAAAATTTGATATTATAGGATCTAGATACCATACCTTTTGCTCATCGCTAACAGCAATCATCGGCAACCATATTCCAGATTTTTCAGTGATAAGCTGTCCATGTGTCTCGTCATTTTCCCCAAAAATATCAGGAAAACTATGAAACGACTTCAGGTCTTCATCTTCCTTGACAATCAGATCTACATTGTTTTTCTGCAAGAATAAATTGGCTAGTTTTTCAACCAGATTTTGACAACTCTTATTTAACAATGGTTTACCCAATAAGGCTGGCTTATGGTTTGATGAATCAATCCACAGTGAATTTGTGGGCTTTTAAGTGAAATCATCAGAAAACATCTGCTCTAGTATACAGTGCCGGGCGTTTTCCGTTTTATGCGAAAGGTATTACCAAGACAATAGCTATTATAAAAACAAGAAATGATGGAATATCGGAATGCTGGAACGTTGGAATTGAAAATAAGTAAATTTAAATATTCTAGTTCCATCCTTGACAGTAAGTTCTCAAATCAAGAAACCAAAATTAATCACGATTGCATTCGTTAGGATGTTGTTTTAGAGGTTTCAGAAAATTCATATCAAAATCCAGCAACTCCACTGCATTGTTGTATGCATTACATGCTCTCATGAGAGACCCAAGAAGATGGGCTGGGAACAGCTGCTGATCGGTTATCAAAGCTTCGAGGTATTTTTAAAATGTAATGCAGTTTAAAAACTGTACTTTGATACCGTGATGGTTCATGTCAATCGCTTTTAACACTGAGCCGACCGAACGAAGCGTAATTTTCTGTAAAATCTAACGTCGCCTTTTGAGGATTTGGGACTTTAAGGAACTATAAATTATCTTTTGTCAAGAAATAAACAATTAACTATGTGTGCAAGATCAACTTCCCAAGGAAGAAAACACATATTAGCGTTTCGTAATGCCAAATTTCAAGATGAAACAAAAATAAGGAAAACAAATCATATCGCAGTGCTTTTCTTGAGACACTCGTCAAAGTGAAAACGTTTAGTAACTTGCATTCAGATAAAGGTAGAAAATATTGTGAGTTGAACAATCGTGCGTTTGATTGGCTGCTTGTTTGAGCCAATGAGCGAGCGCTAGCACTTCATATACTTGAAGGGAGTGAAGACTCACTTACTCTTGAAGTGTCGAAGTACAAACCGAACACAGTTGTGTACGCAGAAATTCGGAGTTTTTGCTCTTGCGAAGCGTAGACATATTTTAATTCCTAGAAAAGTTCAATTCCAAATTCTGGAGCAATGTCTTTTTGCTTTGAACGGTGTTGTGAAAGGAAAACTTCGCTGCGCACTTTTTATCAACAATTGGCAGTGCGATCAGAAGAAGTGAGCCTGTTGGTAATACCAGGGTGTTTGGTCGACGTAGGGAATAACTTGATAAGATTTTGAACACTGAGCCTTCATAATAAACATAAAGATGAGGAAAACAAATCTATTTTTGTTTTCAAACAAGAACTGAATATAGTTAGAATTATTAGAGATATTTATTATATTTACATATAAATATAAAACAATGTCTACCTCATTCATTGAAATCTTCCAAATTGTAATTCCAATAACCTGCAATACTAAAAAGAGAAAAAGAGAGAAATTGGAATGAATGATTTATTCATTTGATAAAATGTTTAACACCTTACGCCGATCTGATTGAGTAACGAAGAATCAATTGTATGATCAAGTGATTTTAATGATAAACTTAAAAGCGCTTGATCAATTGACTAAGCGTTTAAAAAACGGACCAAGTATTAGATTAGAAAAAATTGAATGTTTAACCAAATGTTCAGACATTTGATCAAGTGATCAAAAACTTGATTGAATGATCAAGTGTTTGGTCAAGTAATCACTGAGCTCTGTTTCTAAACGTAACACTAAGTAATCAAGTGTTTGATCAAATGATCAAATCCTTGATCCAGTGATCAAGTTGATATATTGGCCGCTGACTATTGATTAAGTCGATTAACTGCAAGGCAATCAGCACCAAGGTCCATCAATATTTTTCTTTGGAAATCACTGCTTACTTTTAAATGCATGCTCTGCAACCAGTTTGATGTACTCTTGCAGGATGTCATCATCGCTTGCACTATAATCCTCTAGCATTTCGCCAGTCAATACTTCCAAATCATGCCATGATTTCAAGGCAAAGTCTCTCAGTGCCTTGATCACTTTTGAAGCACGAGTCCTTCTGTAAAGAGCAAATAAATGTAAAAATGAAAAGAGATTGAGATTTTCAAAAAGGCATTCCAGTACACCCAAAGATTTTTTATAAAGACTAGGAAATCAAAGGGGCCAGAGGGGGCTGCATGGAGCAAGGGAAAGAGCCAATATTCTCAATAAGAGTAGGATTCATATAAATGATTTCAAAGCGTATTCTAGGGACATTAGAATCTATATTTATAGACAGTAGAAAGAATTTCAAATGCATTTTATGAAATTTTTCTTATGAATTCGTAATGCTCACGTTGAAAGCAAAGCATATAGATATATAGGTTGAAAGTATGTACTAAAGTAAATGGGGATTATGGCAATAGGTACAAAACAACAGGTCGAAACACGAATGGTTAGCATAAGGTAATCCTTATAAACAAACCGTGAGCCGCTCTCGCTTGACCTGAGTTCATTCGAAAACTTATCAAAATTGGGGGCCTTTCTCTCGTTGTTTTCTGGCTCTTCTAAGGACTTTATATGTTCTTTGAGTTCATTGAAAGATTTTCTAAAATCATGCTTCGAGGGGAGGCACCGAGATTGAGAAACTGGCAGTAAATGACTGGAGCTTGGTCTTGTGTGCAACCTATTTTGGTGATGGTTTGTTCTATGGTCATCCTGCAGTGGCAAGTCTAGATTTATGATCGAGAGTTTTGTCTTTATTGCTTCGTTTAGAGGAGCAAGCCTTTGCTGTGATTTCTTCTTTGTATCTGAAGATGTTCTAAGAGAAGAATCTTGCTGCCTTGCCGAGGAAACAATATTGTCAGGTCTAGCTGGGATGTTCTCGTTTACAGTCACTGATACACTCGGGATGTTTTCCTTGGATTCAACTACAACTTTAGGTATTTCCCTCTCTAAACCATTAATAACTTTAGGGTCCTTCGACTGCTGTTGCTCGTTCTCTGTTATATCCACTCGTGTGGCAGCTGTTGCCTAGAACAAATAAAGTTTCTTCTTCAAATCAAAAAAACTTTGAAGATACAGTAAACATCTGTTGCACTGCAAGATAATTAAATTTACATGAGCGAGTTGGAGTATTTTTCTGTAGTTTGCATGTTAATGTTACAAGATACAGATTTATCTCTTTCACCAAATGAAGGCTAAGTCTTAATCAAGATACAGAATGCTCATCTTCCGAGATGGGACCAAATCAGATTGGTCCTTCGTGTAGGTTATGACATTAATCCTTTTAACTAGATAGTCTCACTGGCTACGCTTTCAGACAAGGGCAGTTTGATTACATGAAGACTGGAGTCTTAATAATCGCAGCCCCCTGCACAAGGAGATCTTGAAAACTGGGAATGGTGGTTGATTAAGCAAATGTTTCCCGGCAGCTTTTGCACTTACCATTTAAAACTTTGATGTTTTTTTGTGTATAGTACAGGAAGGTTCTAAGTTGCTACTCCGAGTTTCACACTTAATGCGATTATCAAGCAAACAAGTACAGCCTTGTATATACGGCATCGAGCACTTTATTTCACACCGGCAAAAAAGTAATTCTCATAAAATGTTGATGATATTGTCTAATGTTGGCTTATTCTTATTATTCATCAAATTTATGACTGCATACAAAAGCAAAGACGATGAATAGCAAATAAAATATAACAGTGGACGAATAACATTGCCATGTGTACTTTTGAAAAAAAATGCAGTTGCCGTGGCACAAGCTCTTTTAAAAGTGCTGAGGTTTACATTTAGAAAGAGGTTCGAAATTGACGAGAAGATATAGAAGTTGCGCACAAGGCTCCATTCTCGGAATGTAGGGTTTAAAAGAACCTTAGACCTCTCATACCTTTGAGCCTATTAATGGCATATATTAAATTAGCGAATGGGCGTGTAGTAGGTTAGATTTCCATAAATTCACGAATTAACCAGAAATGCGCAAATAAAAAGCGGCAACTTAAATCACAAGGGGGCCATTTGTACCCAACTGAAACCCCCTACCTGCTCAACTACGAGTGCCCCGAATGAAGGCAGTTTTGTTAACTTTCAAACGGGCTGCTGCTCGTAAACAGGTTTCTGTAAGGGGGTCAAAACTCAAAGCGTCTAAATTCTTAGACTTTGCTTCGAATTCATAGTCCAACTGTTGAATATAGGAAGAATGTGTCGTTCTGGAATCATTGTAACTGATATCAGCCCAAAGCATAGCTTTCAAAAACAGCTCTTGCCCAATGACACCTGCCACTAACCTGTAAATCAGGAGAAGATTCAAGTAGCTGCGATGGTGCATTAGGTGTAATCTCAGATAGCGATTGCCCAGTTTTGCTATTGTCCGCCATTTTGGATGAAGATTCTTGTACTTCTTTGTGTGAATTTCTTTCGTAAATGGCATGTACAGATTCTGGCGTTGGAGTTGCGCCTTAAGTAAAGGAAGTAAGAGTCAACTCCTGCAAATTATGCATCCCTTGTATAGCAAATGTATAGTTTGGAGTCGAAGAAAATAAAACTACATGTTTAATATCTACAAGACTGTTTCGTGAATAACTCACTCTTCAATGCCACGCTCTACGTGCAGAGGTATTGAGCACTGTACTGTGGAAGTATCAACAGACGAATTTCTATATACAGAAATATATTCATATATTTTTCCTCATTTCCTTTATGTTAGTTGGTATTATGTTAATTATTAGTAATCTGCTAGAATGCTGCGATGGTCGTGAGTACAAGACATCTGCAGTCGCTATTTCGAATTCAATGTTTTGCAGTTCCACAATAGAAAAGAAACAATAGGTAGTCAATCAACTACGGGCCATTGTACAGCTCTCTTACAAATATGGTATCATTTCCGAGTTCCAGATGCTGTTTTGACAGAGTTCCATCCGTGTTCCAAACAAAAATTTCATTGTTTTAATTCATTCACTTCCGAGGCACAAAACGTTTATTTCCGAGTTCTAGGATTGACTGCTGTTGTCCTCCACAGCGAAGAAGAAACTGGCAATTTTAAGATTTTGAAGAGACTGTGATAAAACTTACAATTCTTAGGTTTCAATTTTTTAATTTAAATATTACTTGTTTCAGGCAACACTATTTTTAGCTGTATGTTGGAAAGCTGACTGAGTTCTGTGCACCAAGGAACTCACTCTGGATCCGCCTCTGTTATATAATTTATCTATATATTACGCATTTCAAAATTATCACTTACTCACGAGACCGTACGAGAAATTACTTTTCTCAATTCAAAACTCGTTTTCTATTCAGACTTTCAAACTTTGGAATCAGTAAACAACAATATGTATTTTTATAATTGAGATAAGCAAGCTTTCTCGGCTTCCTGAAGAATTCCAAGCAAAATTTCATGTTAGGTTCTGCCTCCATTCTCGAAAAAAAATATAATTCAAAGTCTTAATTGAATCTATTGATCTATAAATGTTATCGTCTGTTGTAAAAATTTCTTGTTGGATTATTTTAAACGCAACTTTAGATTAGACTCAATTTGTGGGTGAAGATTGAACGAGACTATGGAGAGTAGCAATGCACGAAATCAAATTTCAAATCGAAAAGAAAACTTACGCGATCGAATCAGATTGACAAGACCGGTGAGGTTGACGATAGTCTTGCAGACATTTGAGATCTGAAGTGGAAAATTCAAAACGAGCTAGAAATATACCATTGTGACATAGAAATTTCATGGAGAAAAAACAACTTGAATGGGAAGGATTAAATACAACGATGGAAAGAGTGATTTGGAACAAGACCTACGTCATTGTAGAAAGTATTTCTGCATCAAGGCAGCTGAAAAACCAATTATCCACAGCAAGTTCCCTCCCAATAGAGGAGTTAATAATTAATTCCGTTATTAGTCATAGCAACATTTTCCAATCTGAAAAATTGGTTGTCGATCAATGCTTTTTATGAATTAACCAATGATTAGTTTCAAGTTGTGTATGCTTTGCATATCAAATTAGATAGAGTTTCTCGTTCTTTTGAACCAGCTCTTTCGCAACCCATGTTGATCTTTTTGTCACAAAGTAGCAAAATATTGCAGGTGATGGCATAGAAGATTAAAGCAAAGTCTTCTAGATTTCATATGCTTAGATATAATATATAATGATGATAGGAAATAAGAACCAGGAACCAGACGCATTATTGTATAAGACACCGCCTGTCTTTAAGAAGCCGATTTGTAGGATGACCAAAAGATCAAGAATCCATAGAACTGATCACCATTAAAACTGCTTTTAAAAAAAGAAAATCCTTATATTACAGGTACGAAGGAGAGTATTTTACTTTAAAGATTAGGTACTTATCTTCTTTTCAATTGACATATAAAATAGAAAGGAAAGCTCTTTACGATTGATAAGATTTTCTATCTTAATGCTATCTTCTTTACGCTTCTTCCTTGCGTTTCTGAGAAATAATTATTGATCACTTGTTATTTAAAGAACTTTGAGAGCTGTGAACGGATGGCAAGTTCATTTCTTTTAAAAAATTAGTGCAAAACTGGAAATAACTGCAACTAGTTCGAAACTTGTTCACAGTTTTAAATCTTCATTCATCCCTAAACGGGCGTTAAATCTCATTTGGGGTCATTTGGACATCTGGGGGTCTTTTTATTGTCAACCGGGTGAATAATAGGCTTAAAGAGCTTTAAAAGCTGCACCTCAAGAAGCTTAATACTGTTACGGAAAGTATATGGCAACGATTACAATTAATGCATAGATAGGAAATTGAAATGTCTATCAAAAAATTTGGCATAATTATTGAATACCTGTGTACCAAGGGCTCCAGTGAACTCATCATTAAATGATTTCTCTTTCGCCATTCTGCTCAATTCGTTCATTGTCATTTCTTCGGCCACTTCTAAGTTCTTGCTTGATTTGCTCCCCTCTATTAAGACTTGTACACCCTTGAATGGAAAATAAAAAACAAAATTCTGGTTGCTGATTTAAAATATTTGAAGTACAAACAGTGTCATGTTATGTCTTGTTTCTTATTACGATCAGCTTCGATGGGTAGCTTGCATTTTGAAGCATAAACAGGAAGAGACTTCGTGCGGATATTTAAAAGACTGTAAATATTCAAAAATCACTCTGTTTACAGATTATCTTCATTTTTAACCGCATGATTGTTTAATGGCTCGTTTTTATTACACTCGTAACAATTTGTTTTTTTCTGATAGCAAATTATGTTTATTATCAAAACAGGAAATACAAAGAGCAAAGACTATTTTGGCGAGTCGGAATATAAAAGGAAAACTGGAGGTCTTTATTTTAGAATGTCACAGACGAAAAATTCCTTTAATAAGGTTGTCCATCTCGCAGGCTCCTCCAGGGCAGGGTCATGTCTAGGTCTAGGGTAGGGTAAAACGATGTAAGATAGTATTGAAAGTTGATGTGAAATTGGCAAAGGGGGTATGCCGGAATAAATTCGCTAGGGACTGGGTTTTTCATTTGGGAGTCTGGAAGAAAAATTGTAATCGATCACAGACAGGCATGCAATCCAAGTGCAACTCATTCGAAAGCCGCATAGACGAAATTGGCCATTGCATGCTGAATTTGGCTAGTATTTTGTAAATCAAGACCTTTTTCATCAAGCATCAGAAATACTACCTTACTAAGCGAATCCACTTTATCTGTCTGCGCGGATTTGTGGACTCCTTGCTCTGCTTTTTCCTAGAAATGTTTGCAGACAAACGATATCCATTGACACATAAATAGACATCTAGTTAAAGTGGAGTAGAATTTGTTATAGACAATTCAAGGAAAGAAGCATCATTGAAAAATATTTCCTTTGAGTTGCTATGGACCCTTCTTTTCGTTTACGCAGTATCTCTTAAATATTTATTCATGTTTTTGTTTCTGTAAATGCAAAAACCCAATGGGCATGAAAATTTGCCTTAAATTTGTAATGACTGTATAAAGAAAAAGCTTACTAAAGTAAAAATGCAGTTCAGTTCACAATTTACCATTAGAGAATAGGTAAAACTTAGGTTAAAATAAATAGAATAGGCTAGAACTTCTTCATTTGAACGCAGGACGTATCTGGCATTTTTAGCTCGCCAACAGCAATAGTTGATATTTGGGAATGAACTTTCAACATTTGAGGTCCTTTATTAGTAAGTAAAGCTCACCTTTTTCTTGACAGCTTCAAGATTTGCGGTCGAAATCTCTAACGATAATAAAATGAGTTCTCTTGACAATTTTTTTCATGCATAAAAAGGATTAACTAAAAGCAAAAGATTTAAAATATTGTTTCCTGTAATTTGCAAAAAGTTAAAGACCAGGGCCCCTCCCCTAGATTATGCAGAGAAAAAAAAATTCATAAACAAAATTGTTTGTGTTTACATTTAAAACTCATAAGTTTGTAACAGCCAAAAAAATCTGTCAAAGACCAAACTTCCACATAGAGTGCGAAGGCGCCAGCTCTCTGTAATTCCAGGCGTAGGAATCACGAGGTGAGGTCACATCGAGGGGAAAATCAGGACACTGCTCGATAAGCACAGCTTTTCAGTGTCCTAAAAACTACCTTCGGAGCTGGGTAGATACAGATACAAAGTACTTTGAAAAAGGTTCTGATATAAAAACTTACCATGGCTTGTGTAACCTGATTCGTCCGCTGAGCTGAGTTGATCGTTGGAGACTTCTGGTGGGCAGTATGGCGGATGAGCTAATAAAAAGAAAGAAGAAAGAAATAAATGTCCATAGTACTACTAGCGCATCATAGGATAGGAAAAATAGGAAGGGCTTTACCCTCCAGGTATCAGATCTCTTAATGGTATTAGCCGCTATTTGGACAATAAGAGACACACCAAACTCGGTAACTCGGTGGCCAATATAGAAATTTTTCCCCAGGCGGGTTGATCTTCGTGCCTTTCAGATGATAGTGAATAATACAACTACAAGAAATGAAATAGTGAAGGTAAAAAGAATTTTAATTAAAATACTAGTTGAAAAGAGAATCTTTATAGCTATTAAAACTGAGTAGCAGAATTTGTGACAGCTTATACACGTAAGTATACAACATAATGGTTGAAGAATTTTGCGAAGGAGGTTGCCACACTAAGCCAGTTTCATACAAAGAAAAGCAATCAATTGAATATGCAGCATGGTATATATTTGGCTAATCTACCCTGCCACTCTGCACCTACGAAAAGCTCATCTAGAAAGCCCATATACTGGACATTACCTGAGATTATGGATTGAGAAGACTGCAGGCTCACTGTAGATGGCCCGGCACTTTCTACTTTTTGAGACATCTGAATGAGCTTACTGTTTTGGATTCTTAGCTGAAGCAGTTCCTAGATAGAATGTTGGATAGAATGAGGTAAAAGCCTCTTTATTGGAACAGATAAAGATGAGCACCAAATCAACTGGCTTTTTGCAAATTTCAAGTAAGAGAAAAAATTGCAAACTCATTTGAATGAAGTTGACGACAAGGATATTCACATACATAAAAATGTGGATCCGCTTAAATGAAAATAAAAAAGGTTTCAAAAGTTCGTTTAGGAAGTTGCCTATTTCAAAAATTACATAAAGTGTCCAACAACGTTTCTGATTATTGTTATTTTGCTTATTTTATTAGTGTCGACCATTCTCCGCCTCATGAAATTTTTTAGACAAAACTCAGCTGAGAATGATTACAACATTGGACGTTATTTTGAAAAGACTTGTTTACTCTTTTCCAGCTCTAAACTAATACGAAATCAACTAGCAGTAGAAAATAATGAAGACAGCAACAATGAATGTTAGCAGCAATGACAGTGGGTTAGAAGGAGCTGGATCAGAGGGGGGTAGGGGCAAAACCCCCCAGTAAAGATAAAAACTTGTTTTGTCGGAAATAAAATATTGTGTCAAATTTTGAGAGAAAAGATTCTAAGGTGAACATAACAATTTCTTCCGTTGCTCTAAATCAGATTGGCAATCTCTTTCAATAAGGTATGGTACTTAAAAATTCCCTTTTCAGAGGAGTTTGGTTTGTGACACTCATCTTCTGTTTTGTTTCAGTTCTGATGCCGTTATGTCTGTGATGTTAAAATTATGAAAAATGTCGATGCTTATTAGACTTTTGTCGGTAAATCAAAATTTCACGCCCATCCTATGAATTTTCCTATCCACGCCACTATTAAGAAATAATAAACAAATATTTCGAAAAAATAATTAATCGTTAAAGACTATCAAAAAGTTACCAAACGTGACATTTATTATAATTATTATGCAAAATATTTATACTGGCTTGAGGCTTCAGTTAATATATAAAAGATATAAAAGTAACTGGTATTAAAGCTTGACTTGTAAAATGATGAAAATAAAAAACAAACTAAGTTCTGTCGAGGCCGTCACGACGGTAGGACCGATGCAAAGTGCAGATTTGTCGGCAAATAAAAGATGGCTCCCCCTTTTTTCCGCAAATGAGACTTCAGTCTCCCTCTTGAGCACGATAGCTAACAATGATCCTGAGTTCCGTTGAAAGTAAAAAATTACCTGGTTTGTTCTTTGCAGCTGAACTTGACTTTCAAGAATTTCCTCCTCAAGCGCCTTCACTTTGTCGCGCTCTTCCATCAATTCGCTTGAAATAGCGTCCATGTTCTGTCCAAGTATTGTGCACTCTAAACACTCTTTCTTTCCCGCTTCTGTCGAGCCTTGAGAGGTCAGATCAGCTTGATTTTCGTCCACAACCTTGAAACAAATCAAAGTCTTAATAAATCCAATCAACATTTATACAAAAGTTCTCGTAGCGAAAAACCTTATTGCTAAGGAAATGATGTAAGGAAAGATTAAGCTATTGAGCAAAAGAGACATAAACCGGATTTTATAATAAAAAGGTAATGTTAATAAAAGAATGAATAAATTGCAAGCATTTTATTGTTTGAAAACGTATGAAACACAGCAACTTACTGCATTCTTTTCCTGGAATTCCTTCATCGCCATCTTTTGAAGTGAGCTGTTTTCACTCTTAAGCTTTTCGTTTTCCTTTATTAAAAGCAAAATTTCGGATTTTAAAGCAACTAACATCTATGTCAAAGGACAATAGACTAAACAGAGTGAGATTTACAACAGGTAAAAATATAAATATGTAATGTTTCCATGCCCTATCAAAGCAAAAAGTTCCAGTTTGGTCTCATTTTCACAAGAAACGAAAATCTTTAAGTAAGAAAAACTTCAAATCGTAAACATAGATCGTAAAATTTCGCAGCTCGGTCACTCGCTCATTCATTCGTTTTACTATTCATGTTATCGTCAACTTTATAATTAATTTTATCATCAATTCATTGATCAATTGATTTATGCTATTATTCATTCACTCACTCACTCACTCACTCACTCACTCACTCACTCACTCACTCACTCACTCACTCACTCACTCACTCACTCACTCACTCACTCACTCACTCACTCACTCACTCACTCACTCACTCACTCATTGATTCATTGATTCATTGCTTCATTCATTGATTCATTCATTGATTCATTGATTCATTGATTCATTGATTCATTGATTCATTCATTCATTCATTCATTCATTCATTCATTCATTCATTCATTCATTCATTCATTCATTCATTCATTCATTCATTTATCCATTCGTAAATGGAATAAAATGTGTTGGGATTCCTGTGTTTTCAATAAACTTTCTTTTGCAAGCATCTGTGCTTTTTGATTGGATGTTCTCCAGCTAGCATATCAAATTCAAACTCACACTACTGGTAGGCAATACCGCAAACGAAATATCTAAAAGACCTACAGACGCCAAGTACTGGAAAAAGCAATGACGCCACATTAACTAGACACGCTCTTTCTTTCACTGTCACAGCTTCTTATTTATGTTTTTTCAATGGAAGGATACTGATACTAACTCATTATTATGTTTCATATCTTACAAATTTGAGTTCAAACCCAGCTTTGATCATAACATGGCAATGTCACAATGTCACCAAATCGATTCGTTTGCCTTAAATTGACAATAAAAGCAGTTTTATTATACTGCATACAACAGAAACTATATATTCCAGAAATATGACTTTCTGGCTGGAGAGGACCAAGATTACCTTTGACAAGACCAAGAAATTTGCCTACCTCTTGTAACTGCTTTAAACTTGTTTTCAATTTCTTAGTTCTTTTGATGTACACAATATCCTTCGCTTCTTCGTCGTCTGCATTGACAGGTTTCTAAAATGAGAGGAATAAAAGTCTCATGTACATGTAAAACTTTCATTCAGACCATGTGAATGAAAGCAAAGGCAAGGCTAGATTTACTCCAAGTCTACTTCATGCTTGAGAGATTTGCTTCCCTCCTGTAGACTTAAGGGAAACAAATACTCCTCTCTCAAGCACTAAATAGACTTGGAGCAAGTCTAAGGCAAGGCTTGCATTGGAAATTAAAGCATAAGCGAAAAAAATTTAATTTTCTTGAGGAATTTTCACAATGCCAAGAAAAAAACGGAATTTATCTCTTTCGAAAATTTTCCAAGACCACTCAAGATAACTACAGGGAATTTAAAGACTGCACTGTGTAAACTCGAGTAAAATTACTGTAATATTGTACACAGAACCATATTATACGTACGTAAAGATCTTCTTCGTCAACTTCTTCCAAATGAGCTTGCAATTTCTTCTCTAATTGACTTGAAATCTGTTAAGAGTCAATACTGAAGTCACATCTCACTTTAGTAAAATATTCTGGCAACCAGGCTCCAACCATTATCAAAAAAATCAACCAAGGTGTTAAGCTTTTACTATTTGCTTCAAGGCAGAACTATTTGGTTACAGTTCATGAAACCTAAAAGGAAATTCAAATCAAAACTTACCAAGACTCCTAAAGAGAAGTTTATCTTTTCTCTTCAAAGTTAAAAGAGTCTCAATCTGTTCTTAAAACGAAAATAATAACTTGAATCCAACGAAACAAAAATGCACAGGAATCCAACTATCTTCAAATTCATCTTCGTACCTGTTCTGTCATTTTTCTTTCTTTGTTTGCAGTCTCTAACTGACCTTGAAGAAGCAGGTTGTCATTTTTGACTCGTTTGTTCTCCTCTTCTGTTATTGTAACCGTCTCGAAAAGAAGTGAATAATTTTATTGAGATACAAAAGAAGCTCGTCATAGCAAAGTTCTAGGCTTAGAAAAAGCTGGGGAGTTCATTGACATTTTGACAAAGAGCTGTGATAGCAAAATCGCACAGCTGAAGCCTTAAAAAGCGTTTAACAAGGTCAGAGTTTCAGTGACCTGGACTTTTCATGACTTTCAATCTATAGGAAATATTTTAAAATTCATATTTGAAAAAAAATGGAAATAAACTGAAGCGTTCTTTTCTAATTTTTGGGAGGGGGTGCAGTTCACTGCCTCTTGTTGGTCTGCTGCTGAAAGCAAATGGCCCTAGCTTGTTATTTGCAGTCTTTGCTAGTTTTAAATATCATTTTGAAATGAAATTGCAAGAAAAAGTCAATAACATTACTGCAGCTATATGGAATAGGCATTTGACTATAGAATTTACTTCACTTTCATATCTACTAAAAACATGATCATCCTTAACTTTAAAACTTCCGCCAATTTGCCACTTTTTTAAGCATTCAAATAACACTCAAAATTTAGCCAACGAATAGGGTACAATAAACAATACTTGTTTCTGTTTGCAAAAAGAAAGAATTACATCTCACCTGCTTCTGCATTCGAAGGTCATTCTTAAGCCTGCAGAAGGAGAAACACAAAGAAATGAAGAAGACTTCTCCACTATTGAATGCTTTATTATGACATCATGAAACTCCAAATATTACCAGCCAGATAGTTATGGTTAAAGATTTAACAAACATTGTTTTTATGTGTGATTTCTATCACGAATACGCAAAATGTTAATGTTTTGATAAAGGCACATCAGTTGCCGTCCTTTTGTAGGCAGGAATTATACTGGCTGTACCGGCATTCGACACGTGAGAACAGTGCTCTTAGTGAAAACCAATGCCGGATGGGGATCATTTTGTAAAGCAGTGGAGCATTCTTGAAACGGACACCCGAGGGAACCGGCTTGTTGCTAGCCTGCGTGCAGACTCTAGCCCTCTTTCGTGAAGATTAAAGTCTGTACGCAGGCTAGCTTGTTGTCCGTTCAAGGGAAATTGCCTGTTGATTGCAGGTCTCCTCCAGAAGGTCTTCTCCGCATATTTAACCAGCGAAAGTAACTTTGTGTGCAAATATTTATTGAGATATATGATGGCTGGTATCAAAAGATTTCTCGTAGAAAGATTTAAAAAGTCAAACTAGACTGTCCGACACTCGTACTGAGGAAAAGAATTGCCACATAGAGACTTTCTATGCAAATGAACCTCCATTTATGTACAAATCAGATCATATGAAGTAACTTAAGCTAGACTAGGCATGCTGCACCTCCCTGGCTTTGAACCGACGGAAGTTGAAAGGAAGGTACTTGAATAGACAATGCAGTCATTTTTGGCACCTAATCCATACTCGTGAATGAGACGAAAGTTTGCAGCAGTTAATCAAGTTTCATTTCTGATTCATTCCAGTTATGTATGCCAGAATATAGCTTTAATGAATTCTGAATTTCTTCAAAATCGATAAAATGCTGCTAGAAACTCTGCCAAACGCATGAACAATGCAAGGACAGTTTTGACTAAAAGCATTTAGATCAGCTAGGCCAGCTAGTAAAAGAGACAATCTACTTCCATTACAACCATTGCAACACAAAGCAAAGTTTATCGTCAAAACGTTTTAGCCCTCTAGCTAAGAGCTACCTAAAACACGATTTGTCTCCATGCACGAATAACGTAATAAAATATACTTTTCTAGCTCTTCACTTTGGCCTTGAAAAGTTTCCAACAACTTCGTGAAACTTGTTTCAAGCTCCTCCAATTCTAAAACGAAACGTTTAACAACACATGCTATGACGTAGAGGCATATACTTTTAGCATTCAGATGAGTTAACGTTTAACTGAATATGCATTTTAAGGAGAGTTTAAAAGCATATTGAGATGGTCACTGGATATTGTAAAAAAGACAGTTCTATCAATTATGAGTTTCACTGATGGCTTTAAGAGCGTGGGTGATATTCTCTAAGCGGGGCATAAGATATCAATGTGTAAGCTGTTCTAAATGCCCAAAAGTTCTATGTCATAATTTGAAAACATCTTGGCAACTCAAATGCCTTTTTAAATCACTAAGGAATTAGTTGTGTGCATCCCATTCGATTCTTCAAATCCTGAGGGACTCTAAAAATCTCCTTCAAACTCAAGAGACCTTTGAAAGGCTCTTGTCTCATAAAGGTATGCGGTAAGATCAAGCCTTAAAATGCATTTCATATGTGTTTGAAAGAATTCATTCAACATCCATGCAAACTAACAATCAACTCAATATTTTGATATCAATACCAAAATATGGATCATCAATTGTAATTTAGTGTATCGTAAGATTTTATTCAATTTCATCGTCTTTTCATTTGAATTTGAAAAAGTCAATGTATTCTAAATTGCAATTTATTCCTTCTAAAGAAAGTTGGGCTAGATAAGTTGGACTTTGTGAATTCCAACTTTCGATAAATCTATGATAAACTAATAAAGAAACATGTAGAAATGATCGAATTACATTCATTAAAACATCATATACTTACTATGATTTCCTTCTTTTCTGACAGATTTGAGAAGACCGACAATCTCATCCGCTGCGTATTTCCACGCACTTCTTCGATTCTTCTTCTCTGAAAAGCAAAAGGGAATATTCATATGTGATTTGTTTCTCGCAATCTCTAATTCTCATATATGTTCAACTTTTTAACCCGGAGGAAGTTCCGCTTGTATCTTTCCCTCCCAGCGGACCAGTTAAGTAATAACCGGGATGGAAATAACCGGGACCGCGATTAGCATCCACTGTTCCATTTCTTGCAAGTCAAATCCTACAGCAGGCCGTACATGACACTTCCAGATCATAGTCCCGAGCTTCAAGAAACCGGGTCGCCTTTGCTTCAGGTCAGGTAGGATTTTAACTAATCGGAAGTAATTTGCCCGTTTTTCGTTTCGCAAAACCGGATTGAAAGTAATTCTACTCTGCTGGTGAAGTGAAAACCAAATCGAAGCATCTCGCTTACTGTTTCATTTTCTGTAAACCCTGAATTTGCAGCAGCAACTCCGGGCATCGACCTAAACACTTTTGAGCTATTTGAAAACAATCAAATATTTTTCACCTGCCATCATTGACCTGAATCTGTCGACAACTTTCTTTTGCAGATCTATTTCACGATGAGCCCTGAAAGAGCATTTTCAATGAAAACAATTTTGTTGACATAATCATATTACAATTAAGATATGGTAATCAGCAGGCCAAAGAATAAGGGACGTAAATATCAAATTAAGAAAATGAGGTATCAGTCTTGGATCACAAAAAATACTTTAAATAAAATTCACCTTTGTCAGCAGGTTACAATGGCAATAAAAACAGGTACAAAATTGCTATTTTCTGTATTGCATTCAGCCATCCATAAACCATCTTAGCCCCCTTAGCCCCTTAGCCCCCAGCTGTACACAACTAAAGGTCTTGTTACACTATACCAACTTTTCCATAATGTCAATATCACTTCCCTCTTGCCATCCGCGCTATATGTTGTTTCAAATAGCGTTCAGTGCTTCGGCGTTGTCATTTTAATTCTCTCAGACACAGGCCCGTCGGAATAATTGTGAAACTGTAGTATATTTTCTTTATAACAGTGTACTGATTGAGAAAGAATACAATTGGCAGCCCCCCCCCCTCCCATATGAATTTCGTTCCGACGGAATTGAGACAGTGTTGATATTAAACTCTTCAACCAAAATTGTTTTAAGGGGTACTGTGCGCTGTCACTCTGTGAGTCTTTCAAATTTTTCGTCGATTTTGATCTTCAAATTCTTGTGCGACGTTGTATAAGGCAAACCGCCTTGCTTCTTATGTTCAGTTGCCAAAGCTCTACCCATACTGCACTGAGAGTTATACAAGCGGCCAGAAAATGTCGGTATACAATTCTTATAAGTAACTCATAGTAACCCTATGATCGCCTTAAGCTGTGGTATCGTAGAGGTGGGGGGGGGGGGTGCTCAGGGGACCTTGTTAAAATTCAGAGAGAATTCTGGCCCAGCGCTCCCCCAAAACAAGCCAGCATATGCTTGGTTCGGTGGATTCATTATCAGGCAATAACCTTTTATTTTCCCATTGATTTTCCATGAATTAGCAACTTTCTTTCCGTCTTTTTAAGTCGGTAAAAAGTTCGAATGTTTTCATAGCACAACAGAGAATCTTTAACTTTAATATAAGCATATAGGGTGCGACCATGGGTGTGGTCTTAGGTACTGGCTTGAAGTTCCAAAACCCCGTCTATCATGCACAACTCAATAGGAAAAATCTTAATGCGAAATCATATTTTCCAATATTTCCACTACAATGTATTTTCATCATTGGAGAGGACTGCTCTACAGGGTGTCATGTTAAACTTTAAGATAAAAAATAAACTGGTTAAAAACTGAGCTTTAAAAAGGAAGCAAATGCATAAATTTTGGTTGCAATATGCCTGCAGTGAAAATGAAGCTATTTTTGCCAACATGGACTAAGGAAAAAATACTCTAGCTCACACTACTGCAACGAGGTAACTGACTAGGGGAGCAAAACATACAGGCATATTAACTAACACATAAACAAAGAGGAACTCAGTGGGTTTTGGTTTAGTGGGTTGCTGTAATCAATGGTCGTGATTATGAACATTAACATAAATTAACATACTTTAAGTTCATTTCATCCGTCTGTCCTCTTGTGCCAGATTTCAAAATGCTGTAGTGCAAGAAGTTTAGCTTCCTTGTTTTTATTTGGAGATTCTCTAGATTTCCACTAAAACACGAAGAGCAAAGTATAATTGGTAAATGACGGCACGTGTCCATCAAAATTCGCAGGTGATACTAAAAAAACGTTAGAAGCAAACTCGGTAAATCACAAGGTGATAAAACGATTGTTCATGACAAACTTATCACATTAAGTCGGCAAAAATCTTTTGACCTAGTAAGATGAAAAATAAACAAATCTTATCTCTCAGACAAATTTCATTGGATGGTCAGTTTCTGATGTACATGACAATGCGACTTCTTTTCTCGCATTCTCGTCCCTAATTTTATCGTCGAAATCTTAATTATTAGCACATTCCCTTGCATTTTAAACAGAATATCTATTCACATTTATATGACCTAGTTTATCACTAAATCTTTACTGAATGATAGTCGCATAACTACAGATTGTTATCTCGCATTTGGCCAATCTTTGATGGGTATCATAAACGAATGGCCTGAAAACGCGATTATCTAAGATGTGGGACTATTCTATGAGGGGAGAATTCATTTCTACAACAAGATAAAAATTTCCAGAATTCGCAACAAAACTCAATAAAAGTTTAATGATAAAGTTATTATGAAAATGGCTTTGAAAAAAGCAAACATTTTGAAACATGTCACTAGAAGCTTTTCATCTGACACTCTTCAGAGTATAAAACGTCAGAATTTTGCACCATTTTTAAATTCTGCACCATGCAAAGATTGCTTGCGAAAGTCATTACTCGGCCAAAGCATGGGGTTTCCACAACATACAAAAAAGTTTTTTGAAGATCTTGCTTGTATTAGATTTGAAAATACGCTCCTCTATGATGCATCGAACAAAATTAAAATTTGTTTGGTGCTGGAATTTTCCAATTTGCGTATCTTGTTCGGCATAATGAACTAAGGTAGAGATTTTCCAAAGCTTGAAAATATTATTGCACAATGAGTAACAACATTTAGGACGGTTTAAAATATTTATCATCTTACACTATCTCCGAGCCAGCTTTTTCCACTGCCTCTAAGTCATTTTCATATATCGAAGGAGCCTGAAATATTGAGGCAAAGAAAATAGCAAAAATATACCAACAATTCTTAGTTCATTTGTATTATTTAAAATTCACCTTGAATTTATCAATTAAGATGTACTAAATTAAGTCTCTAACACAGAAACTAAACATTGTTGCAAGTTTACATTTTAAATTTAGTAGTCAAACGTTCAAAGTTGACAATAGGTTTTGCAGCGCCTTTATGTTCGAGAAAACATTGAGAGCAGACGATTGGATAAGTAACAATAGGTCTATTGTGTAGTCCAACCAATGGGAATTTAAATGGCCAGCGAAATGCGTCAGAACTTAGTGCCTTTAAGATTCATTTGAACATATGTTTGTATCGGCGTGCATTCTTCGCCTACGGTCACTTCTTCCCGAAACAAAATTTGACAATAGGCAAACTACAGCTTACAAAGCAGGACTCACCTCTTCGTCGTCAGTGCCACCAGCCTCATTTGCTAACAAACTCTGAAATTAACATCAGAACGTTTTCATATTTTTTTTTCTACAGCAATGGTGCATAGGCTGAGATGACCCTTAAACAATTTACTGAAGCCAGTAAGAAGGCAATCGTATATTTATAAAAGAATAACATTCAGAAAAAAACAATTTATCGACCAAAAGGACAGAGAATGGAACAGCAATCAAAACAAGTTGTTGCTTCGGTTTGAAGCAAAGGGTTAAAAATGAGCTGGCTTGTTAATAAAATGTTTCTAGATGCGCTGCTAAATAATTTCATAGTGTCTTTGAAGCAAGTTTATTTTCTATTAAAGCATAAGGACACCAAGGAAAAGAGTGATTCGAGTGGTAAAAGTTTTAAGAGCATCAAAATTTACCTGGGCCAGTGTCTCTAGCACCTGAAAAGAAATTTGAACTTTAAGTCGTTATCCAAAACACAATCCTAAACTTTGAGATTTCAAACAATTTTTAGAGACAAACTCCAAGCAACATATGGTTTTTCTCATTAAATAGCTTTAAATATTTTATGCTTTCTTGTTTCTCAAATAAATGTAGTTTCATTCTCACTGTTTTAGCAATCAATCTTTAATGATTGTACAGGGTCATTTGACTCGAAAGCTTTATTGAATTTTTTTTAAATCTCCCAAGCAACTCAAAGTTGATCAAATAACAAGGTTCAGTTAATTGAGTAAATTTGCATCTTAAGTGAAGTCAGTTTGTGAATGCCTCTCCTCAAAAAGTGCAAGATTGTTCAAACCTCTCACCTCTTCTCTCTTCTTGCATTTGTCCTCATAACCAAAAATCATTTTACTGACTGCATTTTTCCACTTTTAAAACACAAGGAATAACAGTTTTTAGAACACAAGCAAATGTATGAAAATTTTCATGAGATGCACAGGATTTCAATTGGTTTGGACATAAAGAAAAAGAACTTTCTTACAATTGAAAAAAAACTTATGGCTTAGGCTAAAATCAAGATTTTACCTAAATACTCGCAGAATTATATCAAGCCTAGTTAGCGAAAGTCTTGATTCGCTGTAAAGGAGATCCCCTTCTTGGAAATTCTCCAGGAAACCTACCATGTATAACCAATGGGAAACATGGAGATTCCCATTCATTTCATTTGATTTGAGAAAGTGCTAAAAGAATTTGCTGGTAAATAGCTGGTAATCTAAAACCTGAAATATACTAAAATTTGTATTTTGTATCATAAATTCAATTGATTACAAATCTGATAGCAAAAGTACCAGAAGATTAAGTGTTTATGTAAAGAAAGACATTAAAAAGAAATGTACCGGGATGAGGTTGTTATTCTCAAGCATTTGCTCAATGTCCACATCGAGGGCACGCGAAAATGGCTGAAATTGAATTGGATTGGGAAATTGAAGTTAATTTGTCGTTGGTTTGATAAAATAAAATGAAAAACAAGATCTCTCGAGAAAATTTGATAAATTTGACAACGGCATTTGACAACAGAAATGAAGACAATACGAGGAAGACGAAAAGAAAACCCGGGCCAGAGAGAAACGCAAAGACATGATTGAATGAAGGCGAAGGGAAAGTTGTTGCAGAAAAATATGTGCGAGCTTTTTAAAATCACAGCTTTTTTGTAGCGATTTCACGCGAATTGAAGGCATGGGAAAAAGTAGAGCATTCACCAACAGACAATGTGGCATTGCGAACAAGAAAAGTAAGGCTCGAAGCTCAGAATGGTACATTTAGTCGGTCAAGTTCGAATCATATTCGCTTCATAATTTTCAGCTGGAGAAAACCAAGGCGACTGTGAAGAGAATTTCGGCGCTAAAGTTGGAATATACAGGCACCGCGGAGCAGGGGGGGGGGCTGGGGGGACTTTTTGCACAAAATGCTCAATATTAAGTAATAAACTACCAGTAAAGCCTCTTTTTATACGGTTTTAGCCACCCCCCCCCACTTTTTTTAGACCCTTCACTTTTCTCAACGCTCCGCGGTACCTGATATAATGCAAATTTTTGCACGAATACACCATCAAAGACGACACCAAAATTTTCTCCGTCTATCAAGCGAATATAATTCGAACTGAATCTTATTAATGTATCTTTATAAACAGATAACAAACATTAAGTGCAAGCATTTTTGGCGTGACAAGCTTTCGGGTGAATCTTTGAGTTATCCGAAAGTTTGTCACGCCGAAAATTTTGCAAGAACAATGGATGCAAAACGTATATTGACTGAAGCAAAGTTAAACACGAGTCTCTGCAAAATTTTTGAAAATAGTCGTTCTTTCAATAGGAACACCAGTGCAAATGAATGACTTTACTATTCTCGTCGTATATCAAATATACACCCTCACTTTCTTCTCCTCCTTTCTCCGTCCCATCTGACTGAACAGTATCAATGCCTTCAAGAAATGACTGATCATAACTTCAGCCAGAAGCGGACCGCAAGCCAGAAGGGGGCTGGGAGTGGGGACCAAGCCTCCCAAGATGGAGAAAAATACTTATGTTGGGCTAATATTTTGTATTTTTGTATTTGTATTTGTTGCTACCTAGCATCCGAAGGTAGGTTTCAGGACACTGAGAAGCTATGCTGATCGATCAGTGTCCTGGTCCTTCCTCTCGATGTGACCACGCCTCGTGATTCCTACGCCTGGAATTACAGAGAGCTGGCGACTCTCCCCACTCTGGGTGAAAGTTTGGTCATGCCAGGGACACGAACCACAGACCCTTGGGTCTGTAGTCAGCGCCTCCAACAACTGAGCCATCCTCGCACCTATAATATACTCTGTAACAGCTTGTGGTTTTGCTGTAAACATCCAAAAGGCTGGTCAACATTTGTCTGAAATTTCTAAAAAAAATGTCCGAAAATTTTTTGCCGAAGTTTATTGCCGAAATATTATCCGCTGAATTTTTTTACTTTATGTACCTATTATAGACACGATAGGGATAAATTTAATGTACATTGAAAAACTTATCTACAAAATTACTAATTTTAAAGATTAATAGACGAGTTGACTGAAAGCACGAATAACTTTATACATAGCTTATAATTAAAATGAAGCAAAGTTTATAAGATACTTACTGACATTTCTAGAAGATCTTCATAGTCATTCACTACCTTCAGAAAAATAAAAAAGCACAGTTTTGATAAAGTATTCCATTACAAATTATTTAAATGACAAACAAGAACAGTCTTTTAAAGAAAGAAAACAGCTACTTAGCTAACACGGAGTGAATTGGTTGATAAAGAAATTAAATGGAATTCCTTTTCACTTGTCTTGGAATTCTGTTCTGTTGCTCTTCCACCATTTCCAAAATTGCTGAAACTCCCACCCAAAATGTTCACAGTTTTACAAAGTTTTCCCATTACCCTTGAAATGTTGCTAGATTTCAAAATGGAGTGGTTTCAAACAGTTAAAGAACACATTTGTCTCGAGGAGTCATAAATTTTCGTGGATTTGAATGAAAAAACACGGTGTTCTACGTACATTGACCATTCTGTCTTTGATATCCTCTAATTCAGCGCCAAGTTTGTTGACTTCCCGCAATCTTGCTTTATCACGCAGCATTTTGAGTGCCATATCCACAGAATTCTCACCTTCTCCGGCTAGTAGGCCTGCTTTTCTTGCCGGTTTGCCAGCAGTTCGTCTCCACTTTTCAAAAGCATCAATAATTCTGTCATCCGAAATCCTCATTTGCTTTACCACTTTTTGCTTGTGAGCTAACGATTTTCTTGGTTTCCTGCTAGCATCTATTCTTCCTTCAACTACATTTTCCGCCGGATTTATAACAGGGAGTTCAACTCCCTCAACACACTTGCCCCTGGCGACACAGGCCAGAAATCTATGATCGAAGCGCTTTTTGCCCATGTCTAAATAAATGCCATCAACCCCCTATCAGCTTGTTTTCTAGCTGCTGGAAATCTCCTCTAGTTTCAGAAGTATCAGCATTTCTCTCTACTCGTACGCCTTTTTGACTTGCATTGAAAACTTTGTTGCGTTCTGACGTCAGATCTTACAGAAATCGAACCCCGTTTCATGCTAGTGACGTAATATTTTCTCGCATAATGTTTTGTTAAATGATTATCAGAGAAGTGTTAACCATGCTAGATATATTTGCTTTATTTCTGAACTACCTGAAATAGCTTATACCTTCAAAACAACTTGAAATTATACATAAAATTAGAACGAGGATGCCAAAATCCCGCGTGAGATGGGCGTTAAACTGTCTGGGAAGAGAATAAATTCGCAATATTGCCTTGGAAATAAACTAAATAGCTGTGTATAGATCAGCTGATATCAAAACAAGAATTTTTGTGGTTCAATTTGAGATCTGCTCTGTTGATGGTCGAATTTAGGCAGTAAAAAGCCTCTTAAAGATTGTGCTGCCAGCGCATTTGACCAGAACATGTTCAGCAAAACAAACCAGGATAACCAACTATTCAATATTTTGATGCAAGTTATAGAGATATTCATAGCATAGCATGTTTAAGTTAAAGATTGTGACTGTTAATAATGATAAACCTGTCTTCAACGAAAATTAATGTTTACTGTTCTGTCGTAAAGTGCTTGGTGCCGTTCTGGCAGAGCTGTACACGCAAATTGGTGTACAGAACAGGACGATTCCAAGGGCCTACTCCGAGTTTCACGCTTTATGCAAGCATCAGGCAAATATTCCTAAACGTGTTTAAATAATTTTTCTATCAAAACTTCTATTCATCTTTAAACTTAGCGATGCCTTAGAAAGATATTTTGAATGTTCATACACTGCACTCAAACTGCAAATATTCATTGTGATTCATACACAGGGCTGCAAAGAGTATCACAGCGATTTATACCTAGAAAATGTTCAGAGTTGGCAGAAAAACTTGTCAAACACAAAAAATTTAGATAGAAATGATTATATCTTGAGTTGTTAAAGCAAGGGATTTATTGCCCTTGAAATTTAAATTAGAAAAAATTTAAAATTCTCAATTTTGCAGAAATTTTTGTTGCAATATCTTCATCAGGAAGAAATTTTTTCATAAATTTAGTAGGTTGTCAGAAAATTTTTTGCAGCCATGAGCAAGCACTTGGGGGATTTAAAGATTCTGCTCAGACTTTATATCGAGCTTCTGGTTAATTTCTGCAGTAATCTTAAAAATGACGGAGTAAACTAACAGGTAAGAACCTTAATAGCATTAAACTATTTAAGATCTTAGAATATCAGCCTATGATAAGGGCCAAGGAACGAATGGCAACAATAGCTCAGAAAAAATTCTCTTATTTAATGTTGATGCAAGTTTCACCAGCATAGGATCAAGTATTGATTGGCTGAGAGCTTGCACCAAGCCACATGGCTTCTTTCGCCTCTTGGCCAATCACAGCCCCAGCTCTTAACAAATCAAGGTTCGAGCCCTACGCTAGATTCACCAAACAAGTTATTAGTAACAGTATAGAAGAACTCACATATTTTCCCAAGGGTGAAAAATTGACTGAATATTTCTTCGTAGTTGCAATTAAAACTTTCAATATATAGGTGATAGAAAAATTACATTTATCCTACACAGTTGAATAACATTAATACACAAATCTACCGCTGGCTAGCTTGCGACAGCCAGCAGTTATTTTTGGCAGTTTTTGCTTGGAATTTCATCCTGCGAGTCGATCTCCAAGCTTCTTTTTCGTGCTGCAAAAATAAATTATAACCTGCTCTTTTAGATTGAAAAATAAAAAATCGGAGTGAGCCTAAGCAACATATCATTTATTCTATCAATGGCTGAACAGGTGTAGAAAACTCCATATTTATGTGAGCACCTCATCGTTATAATTAATAAACATAGAAGCAAGAGAACAGAAAAATGATAATGATATGTTAGCTGAGACTGAGTTTCTTGGAAGCAACATTAAAAGCCTTGGGCGAAAATGTTTATGGTTGATTCACCAGAATATTCAATTTAAAAATATCAGAAGAACAGAGCAGGCAGCTACCGGCCAGTAAGTATATTTCAGAGGAGATACGATGTCTTACTGATGCCGAAATGTTTCATGAATGAAAATCCCTAAACTCATAAACAACACCTTGTGACTTAGATTTAATAAAAATGCCATTAAAGACGAAAACTTTTAATTAGAACGTATTAAACGTTACAGTTAAAATGTTTTGTGCGCAGAAAATTTTGTTTGTCAAAACGTTCCGTTGGCATTATTTTCATCCAAAATCTTTTTGACACCTAGTACAGACTTTGTTGAAAATTTGGAAAATCAAATATGCAAGTTTGTAATAGATATCCATGCTTGATTGGGTTTTATTTCCTAAAAGTGTGATTGAAAAGAAACTAAGTCACTGAAAAGGTTTCCTCTGTATTAATTTCCTCAAATAATTTTCATTTGCACAGATTATGAACGAACCTTCTACTGTTACAACACTCAATCATTGCTTTCAAACGAACATTCCATGCTTTAATCAAAAGACTATCGATAAAACAATAAGAAACGAAAGGTGCCCCAAAACTCTAAATGCCTCTTGAGGTTTTTCACTTTTAATGTACAATGTTTGTCATACAACTGGGGCATCCTTTTACATTGAAACAATTTCATAAGTAAAAGGAAGACGATTTTGAAAAGTGCGCGATTCGAAAGAGGTATCGCTTGTTTCCGTTAAAACATTCTAACATGAAATGATCTCTCAAATTTGTTTTCTTTCGGTAACGACATTGTGGAAATAAAGTTTTAATTAAACTAATAATTTTCAGTTAGCTAAAAACCGTTTAAATACCTGAAATTTTCTCTACATTTTCAGTCCACAAGCTGCTCAGGGCTGTGTCTGCTTTTATTTCTCTTAAGTCCATTGCAAACTCCAGAATTTCATCATGAATCTCATCTATTTTTCTATCGGCATTTATTATCTGCAAAAATTCAGTCTATTTATCGACAAAAACTCGGCAGAAACAAAATAGGCTGGGTCCGGTTTTTAACTGGGTCTGGTAGCAATAGGCTACTAATCAATAGGGTCTTAGGGTACGATAAAAATGATGGGGAATTCTAAAATTTGATTTAATTAATATTGATCTTAGCGATGAGTTTATTTCTCTTGACCAATCTTTCTTCCTAGCACTCAATAATGCTTGCCAAAAGTACTTGGAACACCCGAGCAGTTTCAATCAACTCTCGATCTGTTTTCGATTCACAACTATGGAAATAGCTAAGTTGTCTCTTTCCACCAAAACAATATTTGAAATACACCTGAGCCATCTTAGTTTCAAAATTACCGGTCACGTTTTCAACATTTGGTTGATGTTCTAAGACTGTTGGTATGCAATGTAGTTGTTGGACTAAGTCTTCACTTACAAACTGCTCTTTCACACCAGAAAGTCACAGCAGGTGTAAAATAAATTTGCATAAATGAGATAAAAAGCCGTGAGAAAATATTCATGCTATCTAGAATTTCTTACCTTCCAATTGTCATCTTTTAGTTTCTGATAAACTTCGTAAACTTTTTCTTGAAATGACTTTGTTTCATATCTCTCTTCACCATAGCCTCCTCTTCCAGAAGCCTCCTTCAGGGGTAAGTCTAAATAGAAGACTATATCTGGAGCTATAATTCCTCTGTCGGATCCTTTGCACCACTCAATAGAAAAACCCTAGGAAACATAACGAGCTATTAGAGTATCTTACTAAATATAAGTGACTTTTGAACATGACCATCACTACAGGGGAGGGGTGTGTGTGGGGGGATGAGGAGATGGGATGATGGGGGAAGGGGATGATGGGGGGAGGGGATGATGGGGGAGTTTTTGTCATTTAGGGTTGCTTCGTCGGCAAATTTTCAGACCTGTCAGCAAATAAAGGATGGCACACTAACTTTGTCGGCAAATGGGATTTGACCCCCCTCCCTCGAGCACAAAAGCTGGCAACAACCCTGAACATGACACCAGACGAGCCTCAAAAGATAACAGTTACTACGACACTGGTGACTAATAGAAATCAAAGCTTAGGCCTAATTGCAACATAAAAATACGTCATCCACTACAAATAAGCAATGAAAAAATGTACGTCAAAGTTATGGGTAGCACTACAGTTAAAATATAGGTTTAGAAGCATGTTAGGAGCCAACACAGGGACTTAATGAGCACCAAAGCCAAAAAAGAAGAGAAGGCAGAATGCAAAATTGACAACTCACCTTTGCTGCAGTATAAGCCACACCCGAAAAGGCATATCTGTCTATTACAAGGGTCGTTCCATTCAGTAAATCTTTCTTCATTTCATCCCTAGAATACATTCACACAAAAATTGTAAATCATGAAAACTTCTCCCTGTGTTAAGAAATTAACACATTAATTCTATAGTGATATGAGTTTGGGCACTTTCATGCTACACACTAAAACTAATTCTTTTCTTCTTACTATCTATACGTAAATCTTACTAATTGCAATTGCAATTATAATAAACAGTTATAAACGCTCTTGACCTTTTAGCGAGGGACATTTCGAGATAAGGATGTAAAAGATACTTCAAATAGGATACTTCATAAAAAATCAATTATTTTTTCTTTCTATGACTAACCAATTTCTGTTTTATGGGGGGTGGGGGGGGGGGGTGGTATAGGCTCATCACGGGTGCATTCTTCGATTTGCAAATTTCAAAATCGTAAAAAATTTGCACATAGGCCCACAGGCTTTAATGCGGGGATAAAGCATGGCCCAGGCCACAGGGGGGCCAAGGCCCCCAACCTTTCTTGCTAACTATATGTATTAAATCCCCCTTTTAAGTACTAAATAGGTAACCTCTTTTTTTGCCCCCCACCCACTTTAGAATCGGTGGCGCAGGCCCTGTATAGGGTATATATATTTCTTAGATGAAGAAAGATTTCAAACAAAAATACCTACATGAACTCCCATCTGTTGGCAGAAAAAAGAAGATGGGCAGCATGATCTTCCATCTCATTTTTTTTCTGCAGATAGTCACCAATAGCCCCACCGATAACTGTTTTTCTCTCTAAAGAACAAAAAATGTTAGGATTATAAGCAGCAAGCACTCTGCATAAATAATTATCGATTGTAGTGATACCAAAATAATACAATTGGAATAAATTAAAATCGCCACCCCAAAAAACAGCTCTATATCGCAGGATTTAAACAATCCAGGAAGCGCCTGCGCCTATCTATCATTCGTCCTTACCAGTACAAAAAATCCATACCCTGTCACATCCTGGACATGTCCGCATATTTCGTACTATAGTAGCATCGATAAACGATTTCTCAAATGAACAAAACATTCAGATATATCAGCTGATCTTTCCATATTAAACCCTGGCCAAGCAACAAAGTTCAGCTTACAGAATTCAATGTAATGTTGAGCAACAAGTTCAGTCTTCAGTCACCTTGTTCAGTGTCATTCAGTGTTGTTCGAATTGCTCAGTATTTTTTCGAATTGTTCAGTAGTGTTTTTAAAAGTTGTCTGCTTGTATTCTGTGTTTTTAAGTGCTGCTCAGGGTTGTTCAATATTATATAGTGTAGATCAGTGTTTTTCAGTGTTGTTCAGTCTTAAACATTCTTGTATAAGGATTTTAATTCAATGTCAAAATTCTACAAAAAAGTTGTAGCTGTGTCTCAAAGTGTATAAGTGGCATCATGTTTGCTCAGTACTTGTAATGCATTGCATGAATATTTCAACGAAAAAATAGAATACTTAAGAATACTAAAGGAAAGGTGGTGTACTCTGTTGTCGAAAATTTATTCAAACCCAATGCATGTACCACTGCATTTAAAATTATAAAATACAAAAAGGACAGATTTTAAAATCTTTGTTTCTTTTTATTTTCATTGTTAAATTTCCATTCATTTTACAAGCGCATACCCTCTACCAAATGAAGAGATTATTTCCCTCAAAAGTGAGGCTTTGAATTAAGAGACCAGGTGCTCTAAATATCACAATATTTTGTTTATAATATAACACTTTGCCTTAAAAAGGTCAAGTATAAACAACAACTGCCATTGCCTAGGGTAAATTCCATGCAGTAAATCCTGAAGATCTTTGGTGTAGAGTTATGTTATTTCGTATGGCGTTGGCTTGAGATAAGCATCTGCTGGCATGTGGTATACACTAAAATGCTGGTGAAGGGACATAGCAGTACACCAGAAAGCGCTTTTTGTGGCCGTCTAATTATCTTATACTTTGTGAAATAAACATTATGGTTAATTTGATATTATGCTGTTATTCTGTTGACTTATACTACAACATTACTCCGTTTTTGTGTACTTCTGCATCATCATCACTGTAAAAATGACTGCATGGGAATAATGGGGGGGGGGGAAGGCAGGGGTATTGGATATGTATATTGTTTTTATCTGTTTTTTATTGCATACAAACCTTGGTGTATACCTGGCCCAACCTTGGGACACCTTAAGCCTGAGGTGCACATGGAACGTATCCTCGGCATTGACTGTGTTAGGTAGCATGCGCATGGAAAAGATAACAAAACAGTCTGCCAGAAGACACAAGAGGGCTGCCCAGTGATGCAAGAAAACTTGTTCAATTGCTGAGAAACCTGTGTTATTAAATTGATTATATAAACTACACTTACCAGGAAATCTCATAAACTTCACCACATGGCCTTTCTGCTTGAAAGCTTCAACAAGCTGCCTTGCCTGGGTAGACTTCCCACTTCGGTCTAGGCCTTCAAAGACAATCAACAAACCCCTTTTTCTCATTGTACCAGTTTCAAAAAGCCTTCAAAATAAAGAAAAACCCCAGTGTGCATAAAATATTTCAAGCTATGCAGTACAAAACAATTCTTTTAAAAAATTAACCTCTGCTGTATGTCTCAATCATATTGATTCAAAATGTTTATAGTCATAATTATTATGATAATAAAGAAAGTTTGTTGATGTACAAGGTGCCAAAGAAAAAATGAGATATATGGTTGTTCTTATCAAAACACCAACAAACCTAGGGATGTCCAGGTCAAAGATGCTGATAGATTTTCTGTGGGGTTATACTTTAGTTGCAATCATATATGCTGATTTCAAATCCTGCAAATTACAAAAAAGTATACCTGTCACTGGATGTGTTCCTTCGAAATTCTTTAGACCTCTCGCGCCAAAATGCATTTACCCTCGTTATCACATAACCCTCTCTTAGAAGAAATTGTGTCAACATGGCTGACTCAACAGTGGAAACTCTTCCAAAAGACAGCGGTTTTAAACCAAAAAGGCATATCAGACCCTTGCAAGAAAACACATTTAGAAAGTTTGCTGAAGAAGACGATCATTTTGAGTCGTCATCACTTCTTTATTATGTGCTGGTGACTGTTGCGCTCGTCAGTTTTGAGGTAGGCCTGTTGTGGTTTTGAGATGGTTGACCTTTTTGTCTTTGAAAAAGTACAGTTCAGTTCAGTTTTTTTATTTTAAATTCCACTGTATACATACATTTGTTGCAAGTTCACATTAATCCACGGTATAAAAACTGTAAAAATAAGTTCAATAATATGAACATTACAAAACAAATACAGAGTAGAGGTGAACAAGCGGAACAACCTAGTAACAAGCGGAACAACCCAGTAACAACCCAGTAACAAGCGGAACAACCCAGGAACAAGCAGAACAACCCAATAACAAGCGGAAATGTGAATTAATTGTTTAGTAAAAAACACACGAGGGCGTTTATAATCCAACTCTCTGAAGTTCGTGTGGGCTAGAACTATCAAGAGGCCGTCCATCATGTCCTCGTCTGTTTCGGTGGCTTTGTGATTTTGCCAACGGACAGAGAGAATCTATCGAGCCCGAATCGGGACGAAAAATAAATAGTAAAGCATGCCTAATATAGCGGATGCGCAACAAAGTTTCCAGTCTGGAAGAGAATTATTTAAAGGAGGAAACTCTCTCAGTTGTTTATAAACCTTTCGAAAAGATAGCAATCCCTACTAAATTAGATGCGTTATGCTTTATTTTTAGTGCAAAAAGTAAAAATCATCTGTAAGTTGTTTTGAGTCTTCCAGTCCAGAGAAAAATACCATCTCTGGATGGCTCAGTTGTTAGAGGATGTTGCTAGGGTGGCTGAGTTGTTAGAGGTGCTGACTACAGACCCAAGGGTCAGTGGTTTGAGTCCCTGGCATGACCAAACATCCACCCAGAGTCGCCAGCTCTCTGTAATTCAAGGCGTAGGAATCACGAGGTGTGGTCACATCGAAAGAAACAACCAGGACATTGCTTGTTAAGCAAAAGCTCCTTAGTGTCCCATAAACTACCTTCGGATGCTAGGTACAAACAAATAAAAATACAATTACCATCCATGTAAGACTAAATTGAAATCGTTATTGGTTACTATGTTCTTTTGTAAAAATATTTTAAGATTTTTGTTTTAACAATTTTTTTGAAGGAGAATTTCTAATTTCTACTGGTAGGTCATTCCACATTTACCCCCATATAGCGAATAGACTTCAGGCCTACCAAAAACTGATTTACCATGAGTCAAAAACAGATTGCTTAATAGCATGTTGGTGAATATTTACATTGAAAGAAAAGTAATAATGAAAACAAGAGGGAGTTTATGTACTTGTTAATAGATTAAAAAACAAATGTTTATAGTCTCAACTGAAAAGTATCATGAAGTCTGAGAAGTTTGAGGTTTTTAAAAACGAGAAGAGAGGGAGAATGAAAGGTTTGATGTGAAACTTTTTTGCTCTGGCAGCTTCTTTGCTTTTTTGCAAGTATTGGCTCCTTTTGTGCCCCCTTTTGTAACATGGGGCCTCTTCCTACATGTGCTCCTCAAACTTTGAAATGCTCCTGAAGTTCCAGTGTTGCCCAAATTTTTATTTTTATATTGTCTCTTCTGCAGATTTTGTGTTTTCAGACCAGCTTGTTTCCCTTTGAAAGACTAGGTGGTGCAGGAAAGAGACTAAAGTATCTCACAGATCATCACTTGGACACCATAAGAGCTGGGTATGTCACCTTCAATTAGAGTCAGCATTTTGCTTGTTAACCTTCTATGTATCCTTAATAAAAGCAGCAACGTTATTATCAGGAGTCCAGTGGGACCTATCATATCAAAGAAACAGGAAAAGATCACTTTCAAATATGTGCTAAAATTACACCTAGTTTATCACATGACGTATAGCTTTCTGTAGCCATAATTAAAAACTGATCAATGGCTGATTTTTAAAAATATGAAAACCTAACAGTAGATTTTCCTTTGCCTCAGATTGATAATTGAAAATAGTAAACTTATGGCAGGTGTACCTTGTTTTATATCTATATGTGCTTGCAGCTGCACCTCTGATATGAAAGTATTAAAAGTCAAAATGGCCTCAGAGAGCCAATAGGATCTTCTCTTGGATTTCAATAGGATTTCAATCTTTTTTAGCAAAACTATATCATATTCCTCAAAATCATCATGTATATATGCATATATTTATTATAAGACATGTAAATAATTTTTGTTAACAATTTTAGAACTTTACATGCATAAAAAGCTCTCTTCTTTATTTCAATTTAAAAAAACATAGGTATCTGATTGCCGGTACTTGTTTTTCAGGTTTCTTTTTGCAGTAGCGTTGCACATATTTGAAGCCATATATGCAAATTTTAAATGCAGGTAAATACCCTATTACCATGTTGTCATAAAACAGGAGGATTTTCAAAACCTAAAACAATACTATGAAACTTTTATACTCTTCAATCGCTCCTTGTAACAACAAATTGTATTGTTTTTTTTCCAAACCTGGACACAGTTATTCTGTGTTACTATTCCCCCCCCCCTGGAATCATTTGTAAAAAACTCGACATTTGGAATACATAAAGAGAGTCAAATAATCAAAGTATCATTGCATTTTGATCTGGATAAACAAAGTAGAAGGGGAGGGGATGTCATTAAAGTATTTTTTGATGTAAAGTATTTCCAGCTATGAAATACGTAAGATTATACCCCTCAGTTATTGATTTCAGATAGCATATCATCTGCATAGGACGCATGGGCTATTTACTTTTGCTGGAGCATGCTCAATGTGTAATTCTTCCAGTTGTAAACAACAAAAACATAAATAGCTCATTTGTGTTGATCTAAATAGCCCGTTTTTGATCAATAGCTTCCAATTAAGTTGGATTTTGTTCAATGTAACATTTCTCAACATGAAACTTCTGCTTTTAAAAATCGATTCAAATTATGCATTTATAGTTGTCTTTTATTTATCTTTAAAGGTCTATCAACATGTCTCAGTCAGCAAAAATGAAATGGACCATTCAAACATTTATCATTGGTTATGCGTCTCTCAGACTGCTAAATTCCTACTGTGAGAAGAAAACATCAAGAAAGAAGATGTTCTAAATTGACTGGGAAGGATTTCTGAAACAATATTGCCAATGCATAGTTATGTGTAAAGGCATAGCCCTTGGGTAGCTAAAATTTGTTAGAGCCTTTTACTTGGGTTTGGATATGTAAAATAGCAGAAGTTTTTATGATTAGTATCTGAAGCATGTTTTATAACTGCTAACAAGGATAAGACGATATAAATGCTAACAAGGTACAAATGACCAAAGGCTGGTTATTGTTAGCGAATATTTAGAAAATTGTTATTAACGAAAGGACGAAAATGCTCGGATTCTATCGTGTTTTATTTTTCTTATTACACTGTAGTTGCAATACATATATGCCTACTCTTCCTAGCAGTGATGTGTTTAGACAGTTTATCTGAGGGGGGGGGGGCGTTCGAAAAAAAGTGACCAACTTTACTTTTTTGACCAACTTTTTCTCCATAAATTTATTAACAATGATAACAAAGTAAGAACAAATAATAATGGCATGAAAGTATAAGAAAATTAAGTTTCCGGAAACTAATATTTATGGACTTTCCTCTCATTCTCCTCCTCCGCGAGTCTGCACGCAGGCTATACTAAGCGTCCGTTACGCCACTGAAAGAATGTGAAATAATAGCAACAACAACATCAGAAAGTATTTGGCGCGAAACCACAAATGTGCTTGTGAGAATATATAGGGGGGAAAATGCAGAAATTGTAGAATTTTGTTCCCCCCAGATGACCCAACCAAAAAAAGACAAATTCTTGGCTGAAGACTTTTGCGCGTGCGCAGTGACTCTATGACCTCGTCTTTAAAAAAAAAGAAACGAGACAATAGAAAAAGAAAGTACTCCTCGAAAGTACAAACACGGACGTTCACCGGTACCACTAAGCAAAGTGGCCGTAGCAAGTTAATGGGAGGGGAAACAGTGTTAGATGTTTCAAATATGTCGATGAAACTGCTGATCTATTCGTCGTTATTTCTTCTCACAGTAGACGCAGCGTATTGGTATGGCGACTATACATTAAAAGGTTGGGTTTGTTTGATTCTGATTTCACTCTTTTTAGCATATATGGGCCTATCTATCTTTCCTGTCACTTTGAATTGATATTCTGTTCTATTGGCCAGGTTATAGCGTGTATCCAGTTTGCAGATTGCAGAAGAAGGAATATCTCATAGAGGTCTTGTGTGCGCTGGTATTTACCACGAAGCATTCCATGTACAGAATGCAAAATGTGGCATGTGCACACACAAAATTTTTTTCAGAGCTGTGCATAATGCACACTAAAATGTATGGCTGCACCCGCATTTTTCTAGGTACTGAAAAATGTCCAAGTATAACCCTTTTTTGAAACGTCGGAAAATCTCGCTTAATCCCAACTGACCCGAAACAACATATTCTTTGATGCAATTAGATTAATTCGTACACATAAATCTGGCCATGAACCAGTCTGCAGAGTGTGGCTCGCTGACGCACGCGCGAGGTCAGGACTGTGCTGCACGCCAAAATTTTCTGATTGAACATCAAATTTACTATAGCGCTATTAAAAAAACTTAGATTTGCACGCAAAATGATTAGTAAAGAAAGGTTTGCACGCAGAAAACATGTCGTGAATGAGTACTGCACGCGCGAGATCTCGTCGAGAACTGCCATACTCTGCAGACAGGGCTATGAATGGGCCATCAACCAGTTTGTTGTTTTATAAAATGATAATGAATTGAGATCTTTTTGGTCACCTAAATAAACAGTATCAGAACCATCTGATTGTCACAAGTTGAAAAAGTTGATTTCAAAATGATGTTAGTAACAGTGGCCGACACTTGGGGGGGGTGAGGGGGGGGGGCGACTGCTTCCAATACTTTAGAGGACAATTGTCTTTTGTTCTAAAACAATGGGAAATGTGACGTCATCTTATTAAAACAATAGGCTTGCCCCCCCCCAATATTTGACCAAGTGTCCGCCCCTGGTTAGTAATTACAGAGCAATCTGGTCTTTGTTAGAGCAATGGATTTATGAATTAATTTCTCATATTTTTATGGTTATTCTTTACTTGGAGTCTATATCAGAAAAACTGGTAATGATTTTGCAGAAACAATTTCACAGCAGCTTCAAACTGGCAACTAACTAACAATTAAGTTTAACTAAATAATTGCAAATATCTCAAAAATAATTTACGGCTGGAGTGGCCCTTTAACCAAGTTAGAAATCATGAATCACTTTGGCTGAGTGCAGTTTTGCTGCAGAAAATGGAAATAACATGGAAGACATTTATTTTCGGGGGTTGATCTGGATCCAGGAAAGTATCTAGGGTATGTCAGACAGAGGAAGAGGAGTCTGGTGGCACTCCTCCAGGAAAATTTGTAGACTATGCCTTTTTGACTCCTGAAGAATGGTCTAGAATCATTTCATATAGATTTTTTCTTTTGAAATGCTTGTGTGACCTCATCCTTAATTATATATTGTATAAAGTTAAAATTTTGTGAAAAGCACAAAATAAAGCAATTTTACAGAAAAGTGCTGTTGATGTAGATACATGGTGAGAGCCATAATGGTGACAGCCAATGAGAATGATTCTTATTGGAAACTGTATTTTTCCTATTGGAAGTTTTTTTTACATACAAATTTATCCAAAACTGAACAGTATGCACACATTGCACACTATGTTGGCACTCTTGCACGCATGCTCACATTTTCATTTGTTCTTGCACACACAAGATCTTGTCAATAACTGCCAAGCTCTGCAGATTCCAATTTTGTTACCCAATTTTTGCAAATATGAAGTTCAAAAATTGACAATGCCAAATGGCATCCATGAGTGGTTGCATAGAAACTTTGGCATAGACTTGATCTATCCATTGGCATGCAGCTTTTGTGGAATGTGCTCTTGATTATCAAGTGCACAAAAGAAAGTATTCTAATGCTTTCTTGCTTGGTTCCTTGTCCATGTGCAAACATTTAAAGCTAGCAAAACAAATGAGGTTTGTCCCCAAAAAAAGTAAATAGAAAAGCAAATTGAGCTTGGCCTACATGACTGGTTTTTTTTGTGTGGTGCATTTTATTTCTTTAATTACAGATAGATTTAATTAACTTTTTTACTAGCTATAGAAGGATTTATTTTAATGTAACCAATTTGTGCAGTGTTATGTGTTAATTCTACAGTTGATAAACTCAAATTTTATGCATTGAAAAAATTAAGATATGCAAGATCTCACCAATCTCAAAGAATCTTAAAAATCTTCAAAAATCTGAAAATCTTCAAAATCTCCTTCACGTTTTTACAAGTAGTTTTCCCCTTGATTTGGTTGATGATGTTGATTGAGGTATTCAACCACAAATGTAAATAATTACGAGAAGAGAATCAAGGCTTGAACCTGCGATACTTTCGATTTTGTATCTTCTCAAAACTAGCTGTTCTCTGAGGCTGGGGGTCATGGTTAAATTCAAAATTAAATAAATGGAAGTTTGGGAGTTGACAAGTTTTGTTATTGTAAGTGATTGCATTTTCAATTTCAAAATTTTAGTCAAAAGTTTTCATTAGTGGAAGAGAGGGGTAGGAAAGGAGCAAGACAGCCTTTGAAGATTTATTAAGATAGGGGTAGATGTATATTCCCAACTTCAAGGTACGACCCAAAAATAGGAATGCTTTTGCCTCAATTGTAAAGTTTGTTGCATATCATGCTTATGCTCATGGTATTGTATAAATTCTTAGACTTCAATGACAAGGCAAATGGAAAGAAAAGGGAAGAAAAATGATAAAACTTGCCCCCAAATGTTGCCCCCAAATTTTAGACATTTCAATTCACGAGCTGAAATAGTGTGCAGATTAATTGGACAGGAGCAGTGAAGTTTCATGAAATATCAAAACATATACAAGCAATAGCTTAGAAACAAGTGTATATTTTATGTATTAAGTTTCACTAACTTGTCAGTAGAAGGGTATGATAAAGATGCAAGATTTTTAAAACTGTTTTGAATATTTTAGGTTGACAGGCCTCTTGGATAGTTTGAATGATATGATGAAATGAAACATATCAAAGCATCTTTACTGATGAACCATGCCTTAGTTGAGTAAAAATGTATTTGTTTTTCACTTGGAGCAGCGTCAATGAATATTTGGTCATGCCTTCCGATTTGGAAACCTCTGCTTTTGAATTTCTAGCCTTTGCTTACAGGCAATTAATTGTTTATCGAATTCCAAGAAATTGTTTTATCTTGTATCCTGACATATAAAATCTGGTATCAACTTCTATTAGATGTTATATATACAGTGCAACTGATAAAAATCAACCAGACAACTTTCAGAGCCGAATGATACAATGAGAGTGGGCATAGTTTGCAAAAGTTATTTGACCCGAATGTACCAAGACATTTTGCCTTTGGTTGGCATTGTGGGTCTAATTATTTTGGTAAAATGCTTGTAAGTGCGAAAAGTTAGTGTAGCAGGAAGGACAAGAAGAAAGTATAACTAAAAGAGGAGAAAGTCTAAAATCTATGTGCAAAATCTTTGTACAATCAACTAAATTTGCTTAATTTTAATGCCAATTTCAACTTTAAAAGGAATCTTAACTTCAACTTTGGTTTAATTTTAAGATTATTAGGGAATTATGCTAAACAGCGAACAAAAATTAGAGAAGGGACCAGCAAAGTTCAAATCTGAGATTCAAAATCTATGGTGTTGATACGTCAGGCCCAAAACGTGAATAGGCTCTGTATTAGTTCAAACGTTTCTCACTGGAGTAAGAATATTTTCTTATTTTTTAGGTTCTGCTTCCAAGAAGAAGTTTTTTCCCTCGAATACTAGCTGTTTGTATGATTTAGAGATACCAGACATTGTCTGGACAAAGTCAGTTTGCAACGAAACTTGCTTAAAGAAAGAAAGAACTGTTTTATTGAATTTCTACGCGAGTCTAAACGGAAACCACTGGCATACGAAATGGAATTTAAGTGTGTCAGTATTGCATTGTGATTGGTTTGGTGTTTTGTGTGATTTTGAGACAAGGCACGTGATTGCCTTGACGTTACCGCGTAATAAATTACAAGGGGCGTTTGCTGTGAATTTGCATGAAATCCAGTTTTTATTTGGTTTATGCCTTGGAGTAAACTCTATAACGGGAGAGATGCAGCAGGTAGTCTCGAAATTGCCAAAGAATCTTCTTCGACTTAGCCTAGCCTTTTGCAAAGTTTCAGGTTGGCTTCCGTCTTTTTTACCCGTGATGTTACCTTTACTTACTAAGATTCAGCTGAGTGGAAGTTTAGTATCCGGTAGCCTACCTGAATCGATTGGCGACCTTAAAGGTCTTACAGTATTAAGCATCGGTGAGACAAGAATCAACGGTTCTGTACCCAAATCGCTTTCGTCATTAAGTCGATTGTGGTTCCTTGACTTTGAAGCCTTGGGTCTTCATGGAGACTTTTCTATTTTCCACAACTTGACATCATTGGAGTTCATTCACTTATCGTCTAATCGTATCAAAGGAGAAATCCCTAAAGACGTAGGTCTTCGCTATCCATATCTCCGCGAACTGTTGCTGCAGAACAATATGCTAACAGGTACTTTACCCCGATCAATTGGCTTGTTGAAACATCTCACAACACTGAACATTGCAAAAAATCATCTTACAGGCGAAATCCCGGTCCAGCTTGGCAATCTCAACCTCCAAGTGCTCATTATATCGTCCAATCATTTCAGCGCCTTTGAGACTGGCTTCGTTTTTAACTACTCCAACCTGAATATTTTTTTAGCCTCAGATCTCAGTGTTTTTAAATTCGATGTCCAACATCTAATATCGAAATTATTGCCAGCCAAAAAATCTCTGATTCAGTTAGACATCAGCAACTCAAACTTGCAAGGCTATCTTTCAGACGATATATTCCGCTTTCAAAAGGCTACGTTTTTGAAATTTGGTTCAAACAGGCTAACTGGTGATATTCCTGTTCCAAATGACAACCTACCTTTCTTAACATTGCTGGATTTACGAAATAATAATTTGACAGGCAGCATTCCAACTGCATTTTCACGGCTGTTGATGCTACAGGAGTTGGACTTGAGGGGTAATTCATTATTAGAAGGTGACATAGATGATTCTTTTTTAAAGATAGATAATTCATTTAGAATACAGGAAAGGGTAGAAGACACATGTCCCTTAATCAGATTTGCACATAATGATGGAATGGTTTATGTTGACTCAAGTTACTATAACAGGAAGTATTGCCAATGCAAAGAGCACTTTTTTGGACAGGGAGGATACTGTTATGCTTGCATGAAAGGTGCCCATTGCCCAGGATATGTAAAGCCAAACACCACCACAAGAGCTGGATCTTCAGTTTCAAGAATGTTTCTAAATCAAGGTTTTTGGCCATTCCCGAATGAGGAAAATGTATCTAGTCTACACCAATGTCCTACATCTATCTATTACTTGAATCTCTGCGTTCCAAAGGGCTGTGGCTGCACCGTTATTTCTAGCACGAGAAGTACCAGTCACAAAATGGGCAGAAATAGAATCAGATGTAACGGAAGCTGCCTCTGTGCCCCAGGGCATATGGGTAGATTCTGTAGCAAATGCAAACGAGGTTACTACCCAGGCGGAATAAGATGCTTTCAGTGTCCAAATGGTTATCAAAAGGGAAAATATTATGGTACTTTGTTTGGTTCAACTTTGGTAGTTTTGGTTGTTTCGTTAGGAGTGTTCATTGTTTCAAAAAAACACATGAAATTTGCAATCGCCATAGCTGTAATTGAGGTTTCCATTGTCATCGCACTCGTGTACGTCCACTTTTTGTCAGCTTTCTCAATTCAACTCGTCATTGTATTTTTTGCCCTGGCTTTCAGTAGCCACCTACAACGATGCACTGGCCTTTTCAAAACGTCTATATTCTATATTCAGATTATGGACACTCTAGTTTCAATGACTGATATATGGCCTAAAACGATCTACAATGTTCAGATGTATGCCAGCAGCTCACTAAATTTTGAGTTTTCGAGTCTTGCCTGCGCTTTCCCATCCCTGTTCAACACTTTATCAAGAAATTTGTTCCTCTGTGTTCTCCCAATCGCGTGCCCAGTATGTCTAATTTTTGTTTATATTGTCTGGAAACTGATAAAAAAACCTGACAGAGAAGAGGCAAGATCTTTCAACCTCAAGTGCAGAAAGTATTGCTTAATATTCATTGACGTTGCCTACTTTCCTATTGTGGCAAGCTGTATATCCATTCTAGCCGGCTGCAAAGAAATCGACAATGTTTCTTTCATGAAGAATCACGTATGGATAGACTGTGGCACTCTGTATCACACGACCCTGACTGTTATTGCATTGATTCAGTTGATTCTATACGTGATCGGCGTTCCATTCTTTATCTACTGCCCATTGCTATATCGTTACCGAGAAAAGCTTGAGTCAGATGAATCTAATTGGCTAGGCCACCTGATAATCCCGTACAGACCAGAGCTAAGGCGCTTCATGGAAGTCATCATGGTATTGCGGAGGCTTACCATCGCTCTTTTCTTAGCTTCGTTTCCAGCTAACGAGCCAGCTCAAACACAACTTATTGCATTACTTCTAATTGTTGCTATAATATTTCAAGCCCTCGCGAAACCATTCGCAAGACAGAGAAAAGTTGAGGAAGGCAAGGCAAACGAAGGCCTTGGTATTGAAAATGCAATGGAAATTTTCATGCTATCGGCAATGCTCCTGGCTTTTATATGCGTTGGACTATCAATTGGTCACAACACGTTTTCGTTCACATCAAAATTGTTTCTTTTAACCATTGTCATAAATGGCTTATTCATCATTTCCATTTGCTGCGCCTTTGCCTATCGCCTCTTTTCTAAATCCTCCTTTTCAAAACTGTTTTTGAAAAGTTCTGAAAGAGAGCAAGTTGTGCCTGCAATTCAGCAGCCTCTCATCAACCCATCGGATGATCGCTTTGTGAGGCAGTCTAGTCGCACTTCAGTTGCCAGCACCACCTTGCAGTATGGCTTTTTGGAGGAAGATTCCCTTGCAGATTTGGATGAAGCTGGGGTAGCTATTTCTGGTTACAGATTGTAACATATAATTTCAAGACAAGTTATGTATCCTAAAGCCAACAATTTTTTATTTAAAAAACAAATATTTATTTCTTTAACCTTCGAACTGAAAATCTATATTAAATAGATTCTGACATATCATCGACCAGATATAGAATTAGGCTTTAGAGTTCCCTCATGAACTTGGGACTTTTGTCCTGTCCTCGATACATTTTCGTCCTCATGGAGCGTTCGCAATTGAAGTCAATACTTACTGGGTGGGTTAGAGTCACCTAAAAGTTAACAGGACTAGGAGAAGGTACCATTAAAAGTTGACATCACTTTATGTAATATCTTAAAGTAATATTATTCCTATTCCAGAATAAGAAAATATGCAATGTAAGATTTATGATCATTTTATGACACTAACATTAAATTTAATATGTGCTAGGTTGTCTTAAGAAAATACGGCACGACTCTTGATATCTTACAAGGAACAGATCCAAATGCTTGTAGAAGCATTTTGCCTTTAAAAGTCACTTTGTGGGCAAAATGTGTGGTCGAATGCCAAAAATAATTGATATGATCTTAGGTCATATAAAATTGATGTCATCTTAGAGAGGGAAGGGCTATAGCTGACAAAGGTTGACAAGAATGAGAGGGGTAGGGGGGCAAAAATGGGTATAGCGTGGTTGATTTCAATTGTGTACGTTCTTTTGAAGTTTTCTAAATTCCAGAACAGTTTTGTAATTCACTTTGCTAAATCTATTATTTTACTACGAGATTTTGTCATTTGATTAGTTCGAAACCCCATTTATTAAATGATCTCAAGGAAACGTGTCAAAGTGAAGAAATCGCTGCATTCTTCGCTTCAAGACATTCCCACACAACACTCAAGGAAGTATTCGTGAATTTCGTATGTTCAGAAGGAGGGTTGTAAAAACTACATGAACATCAAAGGCTAGTGATCATGGTATGAAATCATTGACGATTGGTGTTGAGAACGCTTGAACAGGAGTGTGGGGTACTCCAACCAAAGCCTTTGCACAGGGAGGGAGGGGATCAGGTAATTAGGACATACGGGCTTGCAACCTATTCGAGAGTTGCTCTAGCTTGATAACGATTGATAATAATAATGATACAATAATTATAATTCTTTATTTTTTTGTCGATTATGTGAAGAGTGTCGTTGATTATTGGAACATAACACCCCCTACCCTTGATTCCCATCGCTATTTAAATGAAATTTTTATCGTGCACTTCTTGATAACAAGATGTCAATAAAATATTTAACTGTCATGACATATTTTTATAACTATTTTCTAATGTCGAAAATTTTTGCAAATCGTGCATTTGTATGTTAAGCCACAAATTTGATAAATTTGTAGTAGTTGTTTATAGTAGGTTGTACGCGAGTTAATTATTTATTGTACATTAAATGTAGAACCATATTTCCTTAAATTTTTTCCTAATTTCTTCGTGTTTGAACAAAAAATAAAAAGTATCGTATTTAGTTTTTACGAAGAAGGTCTCTACTTTAGAATAAGGTACATTCAGAGCCATAATTGCCGATTAGGTTTTTTGATCGTGTAAAACCCTATGGCTGGGATTGAATATAAACCATACTGGAACTTGCGATCACAATCTTTTAATGTCCTGTCGATCTGGCTTTCGCCTTGGTGATTCAACTATAAACCAGGTTTAACTTTAACCCATCAGCATTACAATGCCATTGGCAGTGTTTCTATTTCTCGTGCTTTTTTCTCGACCTGTTGAAATCTTTCCAGCAACTGAGCATGTTAAGAAACATAAATCGTTCACGTTTTATTTGCTAAGAACGCCGTATTGGAAATGGGAAATAGCTTAGAAAATTTAAAGACTGGGTTGGAAAAACCTTCTTACAAAAAACAGGTATGCCAGTATAAGAGCAAGCAACCGGAAACGTGTGTGAGTTTTTGCTGGAAGTTATGAAGTAGCTTCTCGAATTATAGTGTACAGAATCCACAGAATCACACTGTTGTGTAGTTATAATTCAGCAAGGGCTGAATGTCTTTTCGTCCATGACGTTCATTGATGCACCAGGAAGGCGAAGAAGCACACCTTTTCGTCAGCGTGCTTTGGCTCACATTTTCTTTGGAAAAGTCCTAACTCATGAGATATCTTTCCCGAAACAGAAACCTCGAGATTTGATTTCCAAACAATAACTTCATTCACTGGTATGAATTTATTTCTTGTTTAAAAGCCGGCCCCCCCTCTCGACGTATGATTCTTGCTGGAGTTTGCCCACCCCAGGGCCCCCCCCTCGACGTATGATTCTTGCTGGAGTTTGCCCACCCCAGCCGATATCCACAGCTACATGTCTGAGACAAAGCTTTGTACAAGATTTTTCCTTTCTTTTTAGATCAATAAACTTTCTAAGTCTTTTCAAGACATTAAATTGTGATGGGATGCAGCTTTTCTGCAGAGTTCAGAAATATGAGGTTCAAAATTTGGTTTGTAATCTAGCTGGATACCTTTGACAGTTTCTTCCCACTTTATCAGTTTACCATCGATGTGGAAATCTTGTCCATTTTAGGCATCGTTTCTGAAAAAAAAGTCTTTTTCTGAAAAGGTCACTTTTTAGATAAATGGCGCGGGGTCCTAGCCCATAGCCTAATGGGCCTTTGCATTTATCAAAGAAAATAACTGGTAAATGGGGGGGGAGGGCTTATTCGAAGCACCCACGTAGCTGTAGATGTCGGCTAGGGTGGGCAAACTCAAGCAAGAACCATACCTAAGGGGGGCAGGATTTAAAACAAGAGGGCAGATAGGGGGCCTATTATAGGTTTGCGGCTTTGCGGCCTGTACCCTATTTTAACGCGTGGCCTCCGGATTTTGTTATGATTTTTTTACGGATTGCGGCTTCAGCAAAAGATGCGTCTTGCATTTTTCGGTGTAAATTCGCAACGGTTAACGGCTTCTATGATGCGGTTGCGGCTACTAGCTGCAACGAGTAGCGAGAGAGGCTTTGCTCCTCGTTGGCTCGAAGTCACCGTTTGGTCGTGCAGTTAGGTTCAATGGTCGATTTATTCAGTAGAGCTAAATTGTAAGTTGTAGTTCTGTTTTTCGAACTTTGACCCATTCATTACTAAAAGTTTAGCGTCTTCAAATGTTTCACGGTATGTGAAAAATACTTGGGTACAGACAGATACGAAGATTGACACAACAGCTTGCTGTGAAACAAAGCTAGAAACTTGAGAAACAGCAACTTCTAGCAATGTATCCTTTTTTCTTATTAGCGAGTAATTGGCTTTTTGTGTCTCTGGCCGTTTTGCAACGCGGCCGCGTCTTTGCGCTTTTTTTCATTGCGGATTGCGGCTTTTGGCTGATTTTTGCACGGTTTGGTGGCTTTTGGACCCCCTATAATAGGCCCCCCAGATATATAGCAAACAGATATATCTGGACTAAATCAAGCTCACAGAATTATGATTATCCCAGCTTTTCAAAATATCATTTGGAAGAAGTGTAGCCAGAGGGGGCAAGTTGTTGTCAAAATTTTCATTGGGGGGGGCAGCCCCCCGTGCCTCCCTGCCCGAAGGTGGTGGGGGCTTGCTTGTTGTATGGCTTTAGGTAGCCATAAAAACCTCATATTGGACCCTGAGGTTTGCAAACGAGGTAATCGAGCAAGGTTCAAATTTTGTTTTCTGGAAAAGATCCTCCCGGTTGGTAGAAAGGTTACAAACCTGCATTCGAAATCCACTACTATAATTATTTTTGTTGTTTCGGTTAAATAACTGAGGAATGGCGAAAAATGTGTCTATTGATCAAGAAAGATCACTCGTAGCTGGATCAAGAGAAAGCAAGGTAGGTATTTTTTTGAGGAGGTTTTTCTCTTTTTGATAAAAGAAGAAGAATACTTCATCTTCTTGAGGGAAACGAAACATAGTAGCGTACGGGGGCAGTTGCACACAGTTGTAAAATTTAACCATTTTCTTCATTTTGCTACTGTTTTGCTCTTTTCTTGGCTCTCTGCCACCTTTGTACCCCCAGCTCTACCAGTCTTTTAGAAAGTCACGGGGGTATTTTGAAAAGTCACGGGGAGGGGGGTGGGGGGGGACCAAGTGAAGGAGTGATTGCTGTGCTAATTATGGCTTTAAAGTTGGATGGGAATTGGAAAATAATAAGATTTTTGGGAAATATCTCCTATTAATGTTGCATTTTGCACCTCAAAAATCTTTCCATATCAAAATGCTCGTTTGAAACACTGAAATGTACCTACAATATACCTAGCCCAGGAGTGGTCAGGAGTGTCCAACTTTTTGGTTGGGTCATAGACAAAATCGTACTTCACAGATGGGCCAGATAAATATTGGCATTGAACAGTAAATGAGCCATTTCTTCTTCTTCATGGTGGTACAATACTTTTATACAGTAGTGTATTGTTTCAGAAATAAGCATCAACAAAAGAACTACTCCTTGGTATTAAAGAAAGGGCTTGACCCTGAGTTTCCTTTCTCTATACCTCTAGATTTTGCACTTCAATTGACTGGATTGGAGAATTTGTGCACTTGATGCAGTCAAGCAAAATGTTGTGTAGTTCAGAGTTAATATGATGCACCTGCACCTGAAAGTTTTGATCCAGCGCAAAATAATATTGTCAACACCAAACATTCTCTGGAAACTGGACCACAGGTTTAAGTGGCAGAGAAATTTTCTACACTCCCCTCACGAAAGCATCCGGATGGTTTTGAACTCAGTTGCGAATCTGTTGTTAGAGAGATTTGTTTACAAATTTCAAAGTCAGTTTTCATGAAAAGCTTTTATCGATTTCCTCGAATTTTTTCTTGAAGTTTTTTTGGCCTTTAATCTATTTATTCGCGGAAAAAAATAATCTTATTTATGTAAGCAAACTCTATGAGGGTTTCTCCTCAAGTTGGTAGCAATTGAAACAAAAGAATTGACTTCTGAGCAGTGTCTAGAAATAATATTCTATCACAATGATGGAAAAAAGCTATCATTAAGTTGCTAGTATCATTGGATGCACAAAGGCTGCCGCTTTTGAGATATACAAAAAAAATTTCAAAAGCAAGAAGTCTGAAAAATTGTTCATGGTCAAAAAGAGCAAGAGCTCTCCTGACACTAATGTCTGAGCATTATGTCCCAACCAAATTTGCATCCAAACTGGTTTGCGACATTACGCAAAATTGCATTAAATGTTCACAAACAATTGAACTTTCAAAAGCTGGTGATAAATATTGCAAGGAAAATGATAAAGAATTGCGAATATACCCTCGTACCAACCGATTTTAGCAAGAATTGCAGCTGTAATGAAATATTATGGCTTGCTGGCCCTGCACTGAATGATATTTCTGCTTTGCAAGAAATTTTTTGATCTGGTAAAATTTTACCATTGATGTTTTATAATTGATTGGTGGCATCTCCATGCAAACACTTTTCCCAACTGAGAGTAAAGCGCAGAAGTTTTACAACATTTTTATGTCTTGGTATATTTTGGAAGGGTTTCTTTAATGCTTTCACTTATATGAGAAATGCATTGCTTGCATTTTGAAACTGTTTCTAATCCATATCTTTTCTTTTTCTTAGCTTGCAACTATCCAAACAGAAAGTATTATCAATGCTCTTCAACAGAAATTTCCAAATGTTTCTTGTACAATAGGTAATTTCAATAAATAATTTCTTATGAATTCCTAATATTTCCTATAATTTTCCCCTCTTTTATCCCTCCTTCTTGCAAAACCAAGTTACAGGCTTACTTGATTGCTATTGTTAATCAACTTTGGAATTGCAGCTTGCTTAAGACTTTACCTGTAAATAAAGACGTGGCATTCACATATTTGCATTGGCAGCTTAGGCTTGATGGTTACTGCTATTGATTAGCAAATCTTAAAATGAACCATTTTACAATGGTGATATGACAAGCTGTTTCAGAAATTTATCACTGAGGTAGCAGGTCTCTCCGTTTAAGCCGCGCAATCACGTGCGCGCACCTTGGCACGCTCCTGTTGTTGCCGAGACGATGGTTTATAGGAACCCTATAAATTGCGCTCCTTGTGTTTTGGTTTGAATAGTTATTATACAAAGAACCTCTTTTGAGGAAATTGTTATTGCCAAGTTAAAGCAAACACCACTTGAATATATTTCCGGTCAATAACCAATAAACTGTCATTGTGATTCCTGATTGTTATAAGTTTTTTAAATAGCCAGTAATTCAAAGGGTCAAGTCATAGAGCTATCTACTTTTTGCAAGTATCGCAAGGACGAAGTTATCGGATCAAAGACCAAAAAATGGAATGGGAAGACAATGATGGTTTCGATTTGGTGTAAAGTTTGCTCAAAACACAAAAGTGTTATTTTATCAAATCCTCTTTGTAAAGGAAGTGCCAGGAAAGCAATTGAAAATTACGTCAATGGAGCAAATTTTGATTCTTCCACTTCTTCTGACTCTGATTCTGCCTACTTTAACATAAATATATTTTTTGGTAAAACGCGTGCCTTAGCAAGGCGAGGCGCGCGTTTGAGCACGCGCCTGCTAAAATGCTTACGGAGAGGCTTGAGGTACCTATCAACAGGATGCAACAATTCTCTTTCTTCATTGTAACAATCAATATTGTTCATTTTAATAAGTTTAATTTTCAAAATGTTGTGAGCATATTTGGTATTTGAAACATAGTTGTGAATACCTTTGTGAAAATGCCCTCTGTTTTCTAAAGTCAGCATTAAGCTTTAGATTTTAATCACATTTTTCATGTTTTCAAGCATCTGCATAAACTTTCTGATTGAATTTTCAGCATATTTGTGCCTCCTAAAGAGTCATATATTGCTACTTTGTACTCCCCTCTTGTCCTCAAAGGATGATCTCCAGAAACTCTTCTTCTGTCATCAGTTAAAAGTTACAGGTTTTTCCTTTCAGAGTCAATGAGAACATTAGGTGATAAAATCTTAAACAAAGCACTACCAAAAGTAAGTTTCTCACATTCCATTATTGATTGATACTGTCCTTCCACTTCCTGTGATGGAGATATTCGAAAAATTATTTGATTTTTTTAAGCTTACATGTCTAAGTATTTGAATTGTTTCCAAATTTTGTTTATGTCATATTATGTGGGGAGACATATTGATGATGTTCATAAAATTCCTTTTTTAGATTGGAACAAAAAGCCTCTTCACAAAGGATTTAGAAGTAGCCTTAGATGAAGGAAGGTATAAAAAATCATATTTTTCTGTGATTTATATGTAATGAATAAAATTATATTTTCTACTGATTAAATAAGATTAAATAAAATACATTAATTAAAAACAGATTTTTAAAATCGTTTAACTTTTATGTAGCTACATACATTAAATTTTTTCCAATTTTAACAAAAACGTATAGCATTTCTAAGTTTGCATTTTGTTAGTTTTCTAGTTTTTTGCTTGTATATTTTTAGAGTTAATTTTCTGGTCCATTCATTAAAAGATTTACCCACCTCACTTCCAGATGGAATGGCCATTGGAGCTATTTATGTGTGAGTTCATTGAATTTCCTTTGTTGATGTTTCTTTTTCTATCTATATCACTAGAATTCTGATTTTCAAAACTACAATAGATATATAATTTCTTTGACGCCAATTCCTTTGCTCACACGCTAAGAACAATCAAATTGGTGTGACTTGACAGGGTGCATCAAAGCACACAAGTAACCATGAATTTGTTGACTGCAGCTGATGGGATGACTGCCGAGGATTTGCTATGTGCCTGTCAAATTTTTAAAGAATCCTTGCTGGGCATCTGAGAAAAGACACAAGGGTGCTTTTTTGGTGGAAAACTTAAACCACACCCTTGATTTACTAAATAGAAAATGGTAAAAGTTTGATAATTATTGCCATTTCTTGATTTTAGAGATAATTTTGTTATCTTATCTTGTTGTCCCATAACCAAATGATCTTTCATTATTACTGCTTGCTTCTGCTAGCTTTTCAGCAGTCATTCACATGACTATGTTTTTTCCCAGTCGTGATGACCCGTATGATGTTGTCTTGTTCCACCCAAAATACAAGAAGCCAATTTCTTTGAAGGAATTGCCTGATGGCAGGTAAGGAGGTTTTAGGTATTTTTCTTGAGTACTAAATTGCTGAATGATATAGATTGTGCATTTGTTTTATATTATATACACTGAGTACAAAATGTTTTGGACCCAGGCAATAAATTCAGCAAAATAATATGTTTTCAGACAAAATGTAAGTGGCCAATAGCTACTTTTGGCACATTTCTGACAAATTTCAGGACAAGTCAAGGTTTCATTTTCTTATACAAAATGATAAATATTCTGGCAAAAATGATAATTATTCTATTTTTTACTGTCCACTAATTGTATAAGATATGTCGTAAATGACATTTGCTTGATGTTTCTGCATACTTCCCAGTATGATACTGCAATGATAAGATAAGTCCTACAGAAGAACAAATTTCATATTATACAATTTGATTTTTTACTTCCTGAGATCTGTGACTGTAATATGTTTTTCAGTGTTATTGGCACCAGTTCACTACGCAGAATTGCACAATTGAAAAGATGTTACCCACATCTTATATTTGAGAGTATTGTATCCTTTTGCATTGTGTAACCTTTTTAAGTTCATTCCTGTTGCATGTTGTTCAATGACAGTAAAAAATATGCAATGATGTATATAACAAGATTATTTTAAGTTTCGATACAGATTGAACTTTGAATTTTTCAGCTGCAAGTTAGAAATTTTTCTAAACATCAAAACAAAGCTTATAAAGCCCTCTCTATACCAGATCAAGCAATTTACAACAGATCCTTAGCAGTTGTAATTTGTAATTTGTAGAAATCTGTGATTTTAGTAAAATGCGGCAAATTTCCAAGGGAACAGTCCAAAATTCTTGGTATTGTTATAGAGACAAAAACTTAGTTCTCGTCTGGAAGACTACCGTGGAATATCAATATTTCTGTATGGCTTTCAACTTAAGGAGAAATAAACTGAGGTACACATTGATGACATTATAAAAATGGAGGTCTAGATAGAATATCTGCCTGCCTTGTTTTTTTGCAGCTACCAAAAATCTGCAACAATCATTTTATGCAGCAACATTAGCTAGCATTTGCCCCCCGCGATAAACTTCGTGGCGTGGGCCCTGAATTGATAATAACCTGATGCAAGACATTTATTTCCTGGCCTTAATTTTCAAAAAGCGTGGAAATTTGAACACAAGACTGAAGAAACTTGAAGAAGATGACAAGTATGATGCCATTGTTTTAGCTGGAGCTGGAGTCCAGCGAATGAAGTGGACTGATAAAATTGGCCAGGTATTGCAGTGTCCGAATTTTCATTGCCCATTTGTATTATTAATGTTGTTTGAATTTTGGAGAAGTGTTGGAAAAGTTTATCTATAAGAGAACCAGCAGATGAAAACTCTCCATTTTTCAGATGTTAGTCACTTTTCTGAAACAAAACGACCGTTATCCTCGCCATGCGCCTTCTTCCTATCTTTGTTTAATCGATATTTTTCTTCCAATTTAAGGTTCTTCACAAAGATGATTGTTTGTATGCTGTTGGTCAGGTAAGCCATTATTTCACCATCGAGAAACTTAATTGATATTTTGGTTTCGTTGCAATTGTCTTCTGTTAGGAACTTACATACTGTCAGACATTTTTGTAGTGGGATTGAGCACCCAATATTTAGTCAAATATTGTGATCAATAAATTATCTGTAAATAATGATCAGATGTCCGTCATGCCATGCTACTCAAAATCAAAAGCCAGAAGGCTCTTGAAGCCACAATATACCTCATTAAGACCACAGATGGCTCTAGATGATTGATCTTATATTTGTATTCGGAATCTAATATTTCCTGTTTAAGATTCAGTAGTCGGAATGTTGCTATATATTTCCATATCCCATTGGTATCAATTCGCAGTTTATAAATGTTACCGAAAAATTTAAAAGTTCCTTTCATTTTAATGTTTTGCCTTACGATGAGTGTCTTGACCTCTTTGCCTCGAATTTTGCAAGAAAATTCTTATTAGGAGGGGCTAATGTGTCCATTTATTACGACGATACTGTCAGAACCTTGAATGTAGGCGGTCGCATGAATGACAACCGTGAGAAAGGTTAAATGAAAACTAAATCTATTTTAGTTTTTATGCTAGACCTCTTAAACTTGTATTCATTCCTAATTGAAAGTGGGTTTTGAAAGTTTTCACTTTTTGTCGTTATGAAGGATAAACTTTGAGATCTGCTAACAATTTGTTAGATTGCTGTCTGCTAGTTCAATATTCAATGAATAACCATTGCACGGCGGGCTCAGTCAGTTGGTCCAATGTATATAATGTTTGTTCCTGAAAGTAGAAACTGGACCCCCATCTCTGATTCTGGGTTTCGTAAAATATACCTATTCTGTGACTTTTGCTTTTCACTGATTGAGCAGGTATTTTTGAAAACAATTCATGTAAGAATCATTCTATTTCTTAAACTTATGTCTAGGCATGTTAAAAACCAGAGTTCACTAAATTTGACTTTAACAATAATCCTTCATGGTTCTTAATATAAATTAACGAAGCAAGACAGTTGTAGAACTCAAATGCAACATATTTCAACACTTTGTTCAATGATTTTATGAAGAAATGAAAAAGTTGTGTCAAATTCCAAATAATACCTCGCAATGACTAGCAAAGGCTTAAATTTCTTATCTACGACTAGAACATTGATTTGCCAAAAAAATTATCTTTAACATCGTAGCCTACCCTTTTTATAGCTCCTCTGACTGAGTAAAAAAGCACCCCTCTTTTCAAGATTCTATGTCCCAGAATTCTAGCTTTCAGACCACCCTTTCTGAGAGTTTTTCGTGATTTACATTATATGCATTTGAACAACTGACTATGCCTGCCGGGAAGCATTGCTAGTTACTTTGGATCAAGGCGTTAACACCGTTTTATTAACACAATTCTCTGTTGACCAGGGTGCTCTTGCAGTTGAAGTTAAAACCAAGGATACTGACCTTTTCCCTCTTTTTTGGTCCTTAACGGACGTGGAGACGTTGCTGTGCTGTGTGGCTGAGAGGATGTTTCTTCGAAAACTGGTAACCATCCTTTATTGCTCAGTTGTTCATATTATTTGGCTATGTATTCATGATTTATGTCAAAGCTATATACGTATTTTCCAAAAACTTCTTTTTCATGTATGCACTTCCTTACCCTATCTAGAGCAGACGTGATGAACCTCTTATTTTTTACCAAAAATATTCCCGCTTGCAGTATAAACTTATTATAAATGTGAACAAATTGTATAGTTGCTGTTTGGACGTTCGGGTCAATCATTTTAACAAGAAAATTCTTCACATTTTTAAATTTCGTTGAAATTTGTGTTTTTGCGTTATCCAGAATCTTTTCCCGCGCACAGCACTCTCATTCGTGTTCCACAACTGATTCTTGAACGCCCCCGCCCCCCATAAATCTGTAAACGATAGAACGCTTTATCCTTTTTCCCTTGGTCATATAACATGCCCTCTTTCAAAGCTAAGGCATTTCTTTTTTCCCTCGTTAAGCTTTTCTTATAGCTCTCTCGAGCTTCCCCCGACCTAATCAGCTTGAAAGAAAAAACCCCAAAAGACATCTCGATTGAAAATTTATTGAGAATTGGGCATTTTCGTGATTTCGATATTTTGATTTGAAAAATTGACGACAGATAATCGATATAGTTTTGCGGGTTGTGAGTCGATGAATCTGGTGTTATGCTGGCCAGGTATTATGGGGTAGATTTACACTAAATCTTCCTGTTCTGTTTTTTCTCTAGGAAGGTGGCTGTAGTGTTCCTATTGGCGTTTGGTGCACTTATGAAAAACCGAAGGTAACTACTGCTTTTTTGTTTTTTATAAAGTAGATTCAAATACAAAATCTTCTACAGTGCCTAAATGTGATTGTACGCTACTAATTGAGCGATACCAGACGAGTTTCCTTTTCAAAAATATGAGAAAAGGTGTAAACGTTGAAACGGAAACAGCGGATCACGTTATAGTGGCTAAGCAAGGGTATTCCCAACAACATTGCAAACAAATTAACCTGTTGCGCAATTGAAATTCAATACATTTGGCATGCAAGGACATTTTTAGTTATTTTCGAAAAATTATCATCCTGTTGCAGATAATTTGCCAAAGTTTGTTGTACCAATTTCAACATATTCATAAGGTTGTATGCATGTACTGTGCCCTGCTTTGCCAAGATGCTTTTCCATTCTCTTCTTCAAAGCCAGCAGGTTTATGTTTACCTAAGCCTTGATCACTTTCCACTTTTTATCTTTCTGTCAGAAACAGATTGTTAGCAATGTCCTTTTAGACTATTCTTCTTAAAGCCTTTTTAATTGCCCTGTCACACCGTCTCCTTTTTCTGATCTTGTTTTCAGTGTATCTTTAATGAGGATAAGGGATTCAATGTTCTTCATAGAACGAAGTGTTAATCGCCGCTGTTATTTGTTGTGTTATAGAATCATTGTTGACATTAAGAAGACATTATTAAAAGACCTCGTTTATTTCAGTAGAAATTTCTTTATGAGCATTTAATCAGTTACTACCAAAAGTATGAATTTGTTGTGGTATGTCAATAAAACGCCATAGGCAACCTCAAATGGCAAAAATCATCAAATTGAGGGGTCCAATTTGAGAACTTACGGTAGCAGTGGGGGCTTATTCGAGGGCGGGGAGGGGCTTATTGAAAATTTGTAGTTCTAGGGTGGGGGCTTATTCGAGGGGGAGGCTTTTTCGAGGGGGGGCCAATTCGAGAATTTACGGTATCCTAAAGCCCTTTGAATGCCTTGTCACACCGTCTCCTTTTTCTGATCTTGTTTTCAGTGTATCTTTAATGAGGATAAGGGATTCAATGTTCTTCATAAAACGAAGTGTTAATCGCCCCTGCTTGTTGTGTTGCTTATGTTATAATAGGAAAAAGCCCAGCCACTTGACTTGCTGTCCCAGTTAGTTTTAACCCAGATAAATAACCGTCCTGTAATTGTACATGGATATAGCCCCTTATCTCTGTAACATAAAGAGGCCTAAACCCCTGCTAGTTTAGTTATCTTCACTTGGATTTCTGAAGCGTTGATTTTTAAGGTTGAATTTCTTTGCCTAGTTTGAGATGATTGGTGCAGTTCTAAGCCTCGATGGGTCAAAATGCCTAAAGAGAACTCTCCATGCAGAAATAGAATTACCAAACAAGAAAAGCGACAACTACATTGTAACAGAGTCTATGGTTATCATTGACTCGGTTTTAGAGCGCGCTGTTTTAGCTGCCGAGGACGTTGGCTTGAAGCTAGCAAATGAGTTAAAGGAAGATGGAGCATGTGAGATACTGCAGCAAGCCAGGGAACAGATATCGCTTGCCCAGAATGATTTACGTCTCCCAAAAAGTGACTAGAACTGTTGTGTGTTTATAGTTTGATTAGGGAACTGCGTGGAAAAGGATCTTCCAGACAGTCGCAATTCCCAAGGTATATTGAAGCTGCTCAGAGTACTTTTGGTGATCCCGATTGGTCCAGGTCACGATTTGATTGACAGATGAAGATTGACATGCTTATTCTGACCAATCAGATTAGTCAAGAACGTTTAATTGGCTCATCTAGTCACTGTCTTGGAAGCGGGTTATCCTGTTATGGTGCTGAACCTTGGGTTTAGTGTTGCTTCACCGTACTGCATTTAATACAGTATTGCTGACCAATTTATTATTGTCCTTTATATTCTTGATTTGTTGCTGATGGATTGGTAACCTATCTAAAATTTAATCACGACTCATCAATTCTAGATAGCAATTCTGCACTGAAGTCCTTCGACGGCAATCTGCTTTGAACAGTGTTATGCTTTGTATAGATTTTACAATCTTTATTTATGAAAATTTATTCATATTTATACACATTATTTCGCATAAAACTTGCGGTTACAGTTGCTGTTGGAGTTGTATTTAGCAAGGGGCGCCAGTGTGCAGAAAACATGAATTACTAATAATAGGCTGTGCAGCCTTTAGATACAAGCAAATCACGGATAGATGCAAACCCAAAGAAGCTATTAATCCAAGGTAGACCAGTCTCGGGGAAGAGAAGGCAAAGGAAAGGGGAGGGCTTGAGGATAACTACTTGACCAGTGGGGATACGGCAATTGGAGACCCTAGAACCTAGCCTAGAACTGCGGAATATTTTTGGTGTTACCTGCGATTTTTGCCTTTAGAAAAACGTTTCGCTAATTTGCATTGCGTGGTTTTATCGCATGTTCCTTGGCAACCTGTTTACTTTTCCCACGTTTTACTCGATAAGTTGACAAGATACTATTTTGTAAGTTGAAATCATTGCGCCCAGGAAAAAGAAGTTGAAATCATTGCTGCTCATTCAATTACTTTTTAGAAGCAGATATGAGAACGTCCCTTAAAAAGTGAGTTATGGCCGCTTTCATTTATTCAAAAAGTGTTCGTCGATGTGACTTTTCCAGTTGTATATACGCAATCTTGTCTTTCCTTTTGTCTCTACCCATCTTATCCCCAGTTAAGAGACCAATTGGTACTTCTTTGTCCCCTGATTTCTGCTACCCTTCTGAAATGTGGCGTGGCAGGTGTGCTTTTTGCATATCTGCTGATCAACCAATGTGGGGATTTGTGTCTTTTGCGATGATATGTCTTCACAGAGTTCAGAAAATGCCTCCTCCGGATGAATGTTGCCCTATTTGCCTTTTTTATACTGTTGTCAAGTTATGCATTGGCCCTTCTTATAACTACATAACTACTACACTGTTGGATAAACTCCTTCCTGGTTCACAGCCGCGGAACCGTTCTGTTTTCTAGACTCTGTGTCTTCTATGACGAAAATCTATTAAGAAAGGTATCCTCCACAAAAAAATTGAATTTTTCTGCCGCATAAAGCACGCTTGTTTAGGTCAAATAATAAAAATGGCGGTTGTCGCAAATCTGCACTGTGCGCTTGCATAATCTCATAGTTAAGTTGAAGCTAATTTATGTCAACTAGCAGGGGTGTCGAAAATATTTACAAATTAAGGGAAGCATTACAAGGGGTTATAAAAGTTTGTAAGTCAAATAAAACCTAATTAGGAAGTAAATTTGTTCACAATCTATAGTAAAACTTTTTGGGGTTTTTATGTTGTTTTAAAAGCTGCCAACTAATTGCACTCTGTTACTGCTGTGACTTTGAGGTAATGTTCGCCACAGCTTTGGACCCAGTTATTTCACAGGTTCTAAACCAGCCATTCTTAAACTCCGGTCCGCAGCAAAATTTCATCCGGCCCGCCGAAGGCTTTTTACCTCGAAAATATTTTTGCCAACATTTTCAAAATTTGGAACTCGATTTATCTTTGGTTTTTATTGTCACCTCTGATATTTTTCTTTTTTTCTGTAGTAAATTTTAATTGCTTTTCGTAGACAGTTATTGGTCCAAAAGAGAGTGCCGAAATAGGAAATGCTTTATTTAATCATTTTATCGTTTTATAGCGTTTCATTAATTGTTTTTTTATTTGTTTCTCTGCCCCATCTTACATGCTGTCGTGCTAAGATTATTCTGAAACCTTGCAAGACTTTTCCTTTTTCATTTCAAAAGATAAAACTATGGAACCTAATTATGAAAACCTTAAGAATATTGCCTTGAATTTTCTCCCGTTAAAATATATATTTCTCCCGTTGTGCTGTTTCTGGCCATTCCTGGATTAATATAACCTACAATTTTTCTTGCCGCCAACCAAAACATAACATGTTGGCCTTTTTTTAAAATACGCTTTGCAGTCCCTCGACCTGACCTCAAGCGCTTTAATTCGACCCAACAAAAGATTAACATAGATTAACGTTCTAGCCTAAAAATAGCATAGAACGATTTTCTGACTCAGCCTGGTAAAAGAAACATAAAATTCCGAACCTTTGTGAAAACTATTTTTTGGGTTTATGTGCTATGCTAGAGATAAGATAGGCAGGCACGAAATAAAAGGCCTTCCTATTTTATAACTAACTTAGCTTGGTAGAAATGAGATCTGAGTTTAATTTTGAGCAACCTTTTAACACAAGGTACGTAAAAGTTGAAAACCAAGTGGCCCCCAAAGAAAATCTTTATGCTTTTCTGGCCCGGCACTTAAAATAATTAAGAGCTCCTGTTCTAAGCCATAAGAAGCTTCAAGGTCGTTGTTCTTATTTGGAAGCAATACTGTGCATCTCTTACCTCTAAAACCTTACTCATTATACTAGGACTAAGGTTGCTTTTGTTTTTTCTCCGATTTGCTGTTGGTATATCTTCGTCTGCAAGTACCGTAGAATGCCTTTGTACCGTAGGTACTGCATATACAATTTCAGTAAAATTTTAAAGTCCATGTAACGGTTTTTATACCCAAGTCTGAATGCTGTTTCTAGGTTTTTTCAATTTTTGTATTTTTTGTTAAAAATGTTTGACATTTTTGTTAAAAATATAAAAATATTAAGTTTCTACTTTCGAATCATTCTTTCGAGGATAAGAAAATTCCATGTTTATTGTTCTCTGTAATTTGTAACCTCTTTTGAAAAAACTGTTTCTGCCTCAAAAACGATTTAGTTTAATACAGCGTTCAACTGGGAAGTGTCTGTCTCTCTTTGGTTTGTACTCAAGAATCTACGCTTGCAACAGCTTTCGGTGGCCAAATACCTTGCTGGTAATGCCCTGTCGTTGTCATCCCGAAGCAATCACAGGTTTTGATGAGATTTCAATCCCCTTTATCTAATCAACTGCTATTCGTACATGATAGTACTGGCGTCATGTACTGCTATCTCAAATATGCTGAAGAACAATTGAAGACAGGTTTCTACCTAATCTGAATTGCCATCGTTCGACACAATCTGCTCGCTCCATACCGGTTGATGATTAGTAGACCGTGAAATGTGCTTCATTTGCAACAACCCTAATTGGCCTACTAGTTCGCCAATTTATCGTGGTTATCAGAGCTTATCAGAAATTGATGACTTTTTTATCGAGAAAAATGAATTCTAATGATGAGACTTGCAAACAAAGAATAACAGAGGAAACACCCTCAATTTTGGTATTTTCTTAGACTGTTAGCAGAGTGAACACCAACTTTCCGATGGACCTTACGCTCTTCACAGTGTTTGTTTGTGCTGTTCTGTTTCCTGTGCCCGTTCAAAGCTACGTTCAAGGTTAGAAGCAATTCTTTTTTACAAATTGTTCCAGATTTCTCACCATTTGGTTAAATTTTATGCATTATTGTATTTCAGTGAAACTTCCACCAATGGGCAACACCCAATAAGGGTTACTCCCAAATATAACCTTTGTCATAAGAACTCTTCCCCACAGCCAAAACCTTTTTGAAAAAACCTCCGGGTAATGGGCACCTCCCTACATATAAGGTAAGTTTTTCCCACAGGATTTCCTACAAAATAAGCAACAAGAGTCCATGGTCGAAAATTCGCCAATATCTTGGATTTTAGCATATTTAGCCACTCAAACCATTTATTAGCCCCCTTAATCCATAATATGCTCCACAGTCAAAAGTGAGAACGTTCTGACCCCTTGTTTATCGAGAATCTCCTTGCGAAAGCTAGTCGTTTAGTAGTTTTTTGTTGTTAAGTAGTTTATTCAAATATTCCTGAAATATTCTTGCAGGGACTTATCATTTTCGAGTAGCTTAAGATTTTTAAAATATAAAAAAAGAAATGCTTAGGATTGATCATTGATGCTTGTGATCAATGACCAATTTTGTACATAGATGATGCAATGATCGATCAGATGTTTAGATGAATAAATGTTTAAGTCTGGAATTTTTACATGAAGTAACAATGAAAAATTAACAGTTAGACCAACTTGCTTGACATTTTCAACTTACTTTAGGAATTTTCCTTCCTTACTACCTTAACTTATTTCCCTTTTCTTCCAGGAAACAAATGCTTCAAACCAATTAATTTGATTTTAGCGTTGGATGCCTCGGGCAGCATGGAGCCCCCGATATGGCAGGAAGAAGTGCAAATTGCTAAGCAGCTGATTCAAGCGAATGCAATTGAAGGCAGTGGAAACCGATACTCCATCTTGGATTTCAGTACCAACCCCCTTGTATGCTTTCTAGTTGTTTATATTGACGTTGCTTTTTCTATGTATTCAAGGCGTATCCATTAAACTTTCACTTGGAATGAGGATGGAAAGCTGATGTTAAATTTGAATCTGTTTTATTGGCTGCGCATGCTTTTAAATGCTCTTTCTGCAAAAATTTGCTGGAACTTTTGGTTTAGTGACAAAGTTATTTGAAATTCTGCCATTCGCTTTATTGTCATCTCGCATCTTCGTTATGATGCAAATAGTAGACTACGTAAAAAGTTTAAATTTAGCGTTGCAGCAGTTGCGTTCGGGAGATGGGGAGAGTGGTACTTGGTCATTTCTAGTAGACCAAAGAGAGAGAACTATTAAAAATGCAGAGTTCCTTCTACAAAGTACAAGTACCATCCCATACTACTTTGAGGGAAGAAACTTTCACAGGAAGAAACTAGTGTTTTTCGGCTTTTGGCCTAAAATCGCGTTTAATGCGAGAAACTTCCTAAAGTAAGAAATTCGAAAATGTCTATTTTCGCGAATCCAGAGATACTTTGCGACGAATGATTTTTTAACGAGCTTTAATATTGTTTTTGTTGTTTTGTTAAGAAGGAAACATCAGTTTGATAGATAGACATGTTTTTCAGGAATTTTCTAGAATGCGAAAGCTGATTCTCGCAAAAGATCCAAGTTCCCTTTTCCGCGAAGTTACTTCCAGCATTGCGCGCTTTTCTCGAATCGCGGAACTTTCTTCCCGCGAAGCTTTCTTATCCTTTGCTTAATGATCGTACGGCGAGTTAACAACTGACCAGGTAACCTGCATGTTATCACAATTGTCCTGTGATAAGATCTTTGCTAAAACCTCTCATCAGAGGTTTTTAGGATGATTACCTGTCTGCATGTACATACTGGTCATCTCTTTATTTTCAGTGAGGAAGGACTAGACAAAACAGGACAGGGGCTAAATGTAAGGGTTAAGGCAAAGGCTTGGTTGATGAATATCTTAAATTAGCGGGAGGTACAGCCTTTCTCTGGGATATTAGTGCGTGGTCTAACCTTTTTTATATTAATTTTATATTATTTTGTTGTATTTTTTATATAAATACAACAACCTATAGTTTAAAACAATAAAAAGTCACTGGGGCTGTAGGAGCAATTGCCCCCCCTTCTTTGTTATCTAATTACACCAGCAGTCTAGCAATTGAATTATGTAATGGCCTATTTGTTGTAGGCCTTGATCTTTAATTAATATAATTTGATGCTTTTTTATAACTGCTATTCAGCTGATGGCTCAACTTAATCTCCTAAAAGGAAATAAACCATTAATTTTTACTTATATCCCTATTATTTTGCAGGTCCGAATTCCCTTCACAAGCAATGTTACAAAAGCGACATTTGATTTGGAGAGTTTGAAGGAGGATTTTCGAGATGGCCAATCAAACATCGATTTTGTGCTAGAAAAAGCTGCTAAAATATTTGAGACAGAAAATTCCAGCGGCCGTTTGAATATTTTTGTCATCATAACTGATGGGTAAGGGTTGATTGGAGCTAGAAAGTTAACTTTGTTGATTAGATTATCTAAGCCAAGTCATAGGAAGTATTGAAGGATTGAACTGCATTTTTAGCGATACCGTTGATCGTAGTTCCTTAATTTATTCCCATCCTCCATGACCCCAGAGGCTGTTGCTCACTCTTTACGATGCACGTCCACGATACACTCTTTATATATAAGTCCACGATGCACGAACACGACAAAATTTGTGATTCATTGAACTCAGTCAGGCAGATCACATTTTGTTACAATCATTAAGTATATATATGCACGGGAGTTGAATTTAAAGGATTTTATGAGAATTATAATGATAAAAAACCCTTCATTAAATCCCTGTTAATAGCATAATGTAGCAAGTTAGACCAAGGCTGCACATCCTTAATTCAGGTCTCTTTTGTCGTAGTAAATAAAGGAGGCAATGGGCACTGCAGGCTTAATTACATTTATTTGCTTTAGATTAAAAATTTCTGTCTCTCAGGTGATGTCCTATTTTGTTTCCTTATAAAAAAGGGCATTTTGTAACTGAGTGGCTCAATATTTCCTTTGTGACAGGTACATGACATTTAGAAATGGGAAGGACAATCGATACTACCTGAAGCCACCGCGGGATAAGCTTGTTGCCGGGAATTCCATCGTATTTGCAGTTGGTATAGGCAGTAGCGTGGACTGGGACACTTTGGGTTTCATTGCAACAGACCCAGTTTTATCTCATGTTTTCAAACCAGACGACACAGAGAAACTGGTGGCACAAATCAAGAATGCGGCTGAAATACCTTGTCAAAGTAGTGGAGGTATATACTTTTATTCGATGAGCTATGTGTTTTGAATATTAGAGAATTTTGTAACATCACGGTGAATCGAAGTCACAAAATAAACCTAGCATAATATTTAATGATAATTACTGTTTAACGGTCTGTCATAAAGTGCTCGATGCAGAGCTGCTCACGTTGTGGGTGTATAGAAAACCTGAAGATGTGCAGTAGCCTGATTTTTCTTTTTTTCTTTATCTAAAGTTGGTACAATTTCTAGCTATGCATACTCAAGCTAATTAAAACCAACAAATTTAAATTACCAACGCTAAATATAATATAAATCAAATATAACCGATGTTGCTAACGTATTCCTTGCAAAGATTACAAGTACAATTAAACGATGTAAATTTTGAGAATTTGTTCTTGAATATTTGTAAAGTAGAGGAGTACTTTATCTAATTTGGAACTGAGTTCCATATTTGGCTACATCTGTATACATATGTGGCTCTGCTGTTTTGAATTGGGAGTTTCTTAAGTTATTATGGACATTCCTTTATGGAAAATATTTCATCCATAAAAGGTGGATTCAATCCGTTAATTTTTCTTATGAGAAATTATTGTTTTATTCTTTATTGAAAATTGTTCAAAAGTTGATTCATAATCATCATGATAAACGCATTAAGCGCGAAACTTGGAGTACGAACTCAGAACAACTCAACTCAGACCTATACACAAAAGTATAGCATTATATTTAGTCAAAAGTTCTCATTTACCACAATATCGAGTGAACTGTATTAAAGAACCAGGGGAAAATGCATTTCTAGGGTAAATGCCTAAGTCAGATATTTCAGATTTTCCCCCTTTTCCCATAATAGCGTTGCTTTACTTGAATATTCAGTAGATTCAGAGAATGAGACAAGAAAGGCGTTTCTCAACTACTTGGAATGCCTGAATTAGTTGAAGTCCAATCTCGTTGGTTTTTTATCTAGAACATTCTTAGGTTGCAAAGTTTGGATAAAAATGAATGTGTTGTAGCTGACTACCAGATGAACATTAATGGACAAGATACATACAGACTTGATAAATCTGATATACTTGTACCCTAACGTCAAAACTAATTGAGTATGAATACAATTGACGTCGTTGGAATATTCAAAGGCGTGAAATTTGTGACTCCTTGCAGCTTTTAGATTTCTCTCAGGTCAAAATTTGATGAAAATAATTTTTCTCTTTTAGGACGAGCTGATAATTCACTTAGTAAGTATTTGGATGACATCACATGTTGTTCTTCAAATAACGTAAAGCTACTTTACTTTTAAGATACGTTGTATTTAATACATTTATTTGCTTCGTGTAAGATTGGTTTGAAGTAATGCGAAAAGCTTTGCAAATACATCGCAAGAGATACCATATCAGGAATATTTACATGCACACGCACACACACATGCACCACACGCACCACGCGCACCACACGCACACACATTGAAATTCGAGACTTTCACGAATCAAGGAGCATTACGTATTTTTTCCTACCTTGTCAAGAAAAGATTGCTATACAATCAGCTGTTTTAAAAAACATGCAAAGGAAATATTATAAGTGAGAAATAAAATACATACACAATCGACTCTGTCTAATTCAAACTCGTGTGATTCGAACTTTCATTAATTCGAGCAAAATTCTCCGGTTCCTTGAAAAAACTTCCTAATAAACCTTTACAAACCTCTACAATTTGAATCTCTGTAACTTGCACTTTTCCTAATTCGACCAATTTTTTTCTGTCCCCTCAGGAAAATAACTTTTTTAGTTCAAATTTTCTATGAAGTTTAGGAACTTAATTTCATCAACTTCTCTTAAAAATGACAAAATTGTAATAATTGGCGGTGGCGGTGGCGGTAATAATTTTCTTCAATATTGTGGAGAAGAAACGTCTAAGGTTAAGGAATCGTTACCTGCCCCTTGCCGAGCTCTGAAAGAATAACGGCATTACATAATTTTGAGTTGCATTTTTAATAAAAGACCGAATAAGTTAACAAAAAGTGTTTTGCTACTTTGCAAGTAACGGTTTTTTGGTTAAAGGCTTCATAAAGCTGATGAAAGATAACCGAGGCAATTTCCAGGATTTTTCGAAAAATCATTTAAATCGAACATTGTGTAATTTGAAAATTTCGACAATCCCCCAGACAGAGAGTTGAATGCAGTTGACTGTTGACTGTAGTACAAGGAATGTCAGGACGGAATGTTGGTTTTGCTTTACAAAAATAAAAAATTGTGAACTTGAGACAAGGGTATTGGAACCCAGTCTTCTGAAATAAATAATTGTTGCAAGTTGAGAACTGAAAAGAGGGTAAATTTTTTTCTTCTGTGTGTGTAGATTGTGGAAATGTGATGTTTGAGCGAATCGGTTGCTTCAAAGACAAAGGCAAACACCCAAGACCTCTTCCAGATCTTATTCTCACTGACAGAGATCCAAGCAGTAGTAAATACTCTGGTCAAACCATTAACTGGAAAAAGTGGGACACATATCTTCCAGATTTTGTTTGCAGATGTGCCAAAGCCACTGCAAAAGAGGAACGAAACATTTTTGGATTGCAGTTTTATGGTTAGTTGAAATAAAATTAATGGCATCGAGTTTGGAATTTATAAGATATTTGGGTTGCCCTATTGAGTTTAATTTGTTAGAAAACTGACAGTCAATATGACGTAAGGATGATAAACATTAAGCAGTTGCTTTTAAAACCAATAATGAGTGTTCTTGGTCACAAATAGATAGTATAGATAACTTTTTCCTTATGAAACAAACATTTACTGACTTTCTCTAGTGCGGGTTTCTGTGTATTTAGCACTACGTGGATATTCAGGCTATGCTCAGTTTAGATCCAACAAATTTGACTGTTGTTGTACCAACCTGTTCCCCAAAGGTATTCAAGTTCTGCCTAAGAAAAGATTCCCTTGCGATTTCTTGCAGCACCTAAAAGGAGGTGTTTTCACAAATCTATAAAGTTGGGACATAAGCGTTTTCCTGCTTCACATTGCAAAATGTCAAACATGACGTTCATTTTTCATTTAAATTACATTCTTATATTTTAGGCGAATGTTGGTCCAGTGCCAAGATGGATACTTTTGACAATGACGGACGGGCAGAGAAAGAATCCAACTGTAAAACTCTGAAGTACGAGCCATGTGGGACAACTGATGAATATTGCGTTGGGGAGCAGTTCCATAACTTTGTATATAAAATTACAGAGATTCTAACTTAACCAAGTTTTTTCTTTGTTTTTCAAGCCGTTCGATCAAAAATTGACCAGAGATATAACAAGAGGAGAATATAGTTTTGATAAGGATTTGTTTGGTCATTAATTTTTTAAAAAAATTGTCGCTTGCAAATATGATATCAAGTGATCTTCTGTTATAAACATTTGGCTCCATGATTTGCGTAAAGCGACAGTAGTCGCTGAAAATCAAATCATATCCATACCAGAATTTCTGAATACAGAAGACTAGTGGATGTCAAAATTGCAAATATTACAATACAAGTGTATAGCAACTTTAACTGCTGAAAAGCAACTAAAACTTTAAACAGTGTTTGCAAAGGTCAGTAGAGCTATTGGTTTTCTGAAACAAACATCGAATCGATCAAAATCGAGCAGCATTGATCCATATAAGTAGTAGCTTAGGTGCTCTTGCTAGGCCACTCTTATATATTCTTGTTTTGAAACCCATTCAAGAATTGATCAATTTTGAAACTAACACCATGGTTTACATAGCTCTTATTGGTTCTATATCTAAATAATGGTATTTGAAAGAAAATCAGAAAACAATCTGCGGGCCCCATGTAATACCAACACAGATCAACAACTAAAAACACCTAAAAACAAAAGGAAACAATGCTTTGATTTCCGAGGTGCACCAGCCCATAATGCCCTGCCAACTGAAACTAAGCAGACATCTTCTCTTCAACGATTCAAAAAGAATGTGATTTGTTTTACTGGTAACTTGCTTTGTTCTATGCACACGACATTATCTACTTAGTTTACATGGCTATTCAGATTCATATGCTAAGTATTCTTCAAAATTTCAAACCTTCTATTATAATTCAAATGTAGGGCCTTTTGTAAACCAGTCTTGCTGAAGGACATCCCTCCATAAAATATACGAAAATGCAGAATCAGGAAAACATGACGGCCCCACGGCCTCGCGTTGGAGGAAGGTTGTGGAAACAAAGAAAAATCGAGGAAGGTGACCAAAACCTTGGAAACTTTAGGAAGTTAAAGAAATCATATTGCCTTTTAGTTTTCAAAATACTTAGGTACCTTCCTCAATTTTTTATATGAATGTGTTTGCACTGCTTTGTACTGCTAGGTATTAGCTTTGAATAAATGATATATTTTAATTATAACACACTTCTTACTGATAATTGTTATTGATTGATAAAAGCATGTAACTTTAGATCCATCTCGAAAAATATCTGAAATTGAGAACGAGCAACTGTTCTTCAACAATGTTTTAGAAAAACAAAGTTGCAAGGAAAGAGAATCAAGGTTAGCTGAATACCCCCAGTTTCCTGACCGCACCATTTTAAAAACATTGAAAATGAGGAAGGTTTTAATAGTAAGCCGGAGGAAAGCTGACAATTTTTCTGGATTCTGCGAAAATGATAATTGAACAGGCTTTCTTCCAGGTTCTCGTGGATATTTAAAGTACATTTTCATAGCATACATATCATAGCATTATGTGTGGCAGTTATAGGCAGGGATAATAAACAAACATACATTAACCATGACTAAACTGTCTCTTTATCAAACTGACTCTTATCAATTATCCTTCAAAAGAATGACCCGAAGAGTTACTTATTTTACTCTTTGCAGTTAATCAAGTGAAACTGTCTAAAATTTTGTTTCATTTTGCTATTTTTAAAAGCAGCTAGCTTTATTTTGCAATATTTACATGACAAATATTCTAAGTATTAGAAACTCTTATGAATTGTCTGGGTTGTCATTTTTGACATGAAATTCGTGTTTTTCTTCGTGGTCCTCATACGGAAAGTAAAATCTATATTGAAGCTGCCTTTTCCAGTCAAATGAAGCTGCACTTTCTAGTCAATGTTAGAAACAAGAATTTTACGAAGAAATATTCTGCGCATAAAAATTTTTAATCTCCATTTTTTATATTTATTCTTGCTCATGCGGTAGGTAAATTTCTTAATTGCTTTTCTAAATGCCACAAGACACCTAGACCCTTCGCTGAGAAAACAATATGTAATCTAATGTCGTATCCTTGGTACCTGTGCCTTGATTTTAACGAGCGTGATCGCTGGTCAATGGTGCTTTATTGTCCTATTTACTAATTGGCTGGTCTCCTTCATTATATTGCATGATCTTGATACACTTCTTCTGGTGTATGTACAAACAGCAGCTTTCTCTCGTGATATAATGCGTCTGAAAAGACCTGGGTGTGTTGATTCACGATAAAAGCGAGCGATAGCAGTAAATTTTCTTGCAAACTCTTAACAGTAAACATGAGCTTGTTGATAAATTCATTGTACATATTGGCTTTTGTTGGGATGATCATCTGCTACAAGAAAGGTAGGATATCGATTTCGTGATCGTCTTTGTTATCAATCATTGTTATCATAAATAGATAATAATACCTCTTTTTACTGTTAGTTTGACAATAGTGTGAACACTAATAAACACTAACATGAAGCAATTTAAGAGATTGCATTATGGAAGTCATTGACTGCAAGCGTTACAGGCGCATTGATTTTCGAAGTACCAATCTTTTCAGGGGCGCAGTGGCTCGGGGGGCAGGGGGCAGCCGCCCCCCCCCCTGGCAAAAATTTTGTCGGATAGTCGGAAAATCCAACGTTTGTCGAAAAATTTGAAATAAAAGACAAAATGTAAGGTTTTTATCGATCCTGTCCAAAAGGTCGCATATTTTTTTAAACCTGTTGTAAAATAGGGCATGCTCAACCCTTCTTACCTATTTCCATTAGAGTATTTATCGGAATCTTCGCATTGCTGAAATTTGTAAGGGATATTAACGCTCTGGTCTCAGTTATTTTATAAACTCCCATTTCCGACAGCTAAAGTTCAACTCAGTTCATTTCGAAATGAATTCGCTGGTGTTGTAGAAGTTGTAGAAGACGCAAAAATTAATTGTTTTCGCCATGACTTAGAAGAGCAAAATTTTGTCGAACGACGTATACGCAGAAAGAAAAAGATGCCAGCGGAAAATTGCATAGATGAATTAGAGGGAAATAGGGAATCCGTATATCATCGTGATGGTAGATACAGCTATCAGCTCAATGAATACAAGATTCACGTCTCATAAGGCAATTTTGACACATTTTGCCTTGCTCAACCCTGAATTTTTTCAAAAAACAATTGAAAGGCAGTTGTGTGCAGTGTAATTAAAAAAGTTTGCGAAGAATTACGGCCTGGATGACGAAAAATTAAGAGATGAGTACAGCTCTTTCGTCAATAATTACCATAAATTTAGGAAAGTTAGAAAGAAGAGTAGCCCTCAGCCGGCTGCAGGAGAAAGTCTTGATTAGAGAAAACTTCCATTCAGTTCTTCAGTTGATGATAAGTACAACCTGCAAAGTGCCTTTCCATAGCTGGTCTTTCTTTACAAGGTTCTCATCACTTTGCCAATAGGTTCAACAAACTATGAAAGAGCTTTTTCAAAACTGAGGATTTTAAAAAATCGGCTACGGTCAACAATGGGACAAGACCGCCTTTCCTCTCCGATAACAATCAACGTCGAAAGTGATATTTTACAGTCGATAGACTATGGTGACATCATCGATTTGTATGCTGCCACACCTCTTTTGAGAAAAATGCTGCTCGAGTAAAAGTTTTATAAATATTCTTTAAAGAAAAACTATTCTTTTGGACGCGTTATATCTATTTAAGGTTTAGCATAAATAAGTGCAAAGTAATCATGATGCGACTTAAAACTTGCCAAAAAAAACTTTTTGCTATAAACAGCTATAAACACTAACGTGACAGTTTATTGTCTAGTATAGCGAGAAGGCTTGTAGGGTGTAAATTTATAACTAGATGCAGTTTTGTTCATAGCGATTTATATTTGGTAAGTTTTGCTAGAATAAAGGCTATTGTTGAACTTGAAGGTGTATAACGAACGATCAATTCATTAACGATTTCCAGATCCATTCGTGATATTGTAGTATCAAATGTTGCATTGATGCAGCAAGGGTAGTCTTCAAGGAATGAATTGAGAAAAAAATTGTCGGAAAAATCATTGTTTTATCAGAAAATTTTCAGCTTTGCCCCCCCCCAAAAAAGTTAACTCCCACTGCGCCCCTGAATCTTTTATAAGAACTTTGAATTGACTTGCATTTTTGGATGATTTTCTTTCATTTGGAAGAGAATTCCAAACCTTTGGACCCAAAAAGCTAATAGATCTTATAGTATAACTTGTCGTTTTAACCTTTGGAACAGACAGAGTATCTATTTTTCGAAGATTAAAGCTATTGGGTTTTGGGAGAAAGTAGTCTTTCATAAAGGCTGGATTCAAGTTGTGCAAAGTTTTGTAAACTTCTAGTGCTAGCAGCCGAATGGAGTGAATATGAATTGTAGTAGATTTAGCCTTGACTAGAAGTTTAGGATACGATGAAGTGTAGTCTGAGAGGGCCAATCGTAGGGCCCTCTCGTTTACTTTCTCGAGCTTCTTTTGGCTTGCATTACTGCAGAATAACTAGATGAGGGGGCAGTAATTGAAGTGACAAAGAATAAATGAATTAACAATTACCACTCTTTCTTTGCTGCCCATGAATCGAGCTAGTCTTTTGATTGCGTTTAGCTGAATGGCAGCTTTTTTGCAGACTTTATCAATATGCAAGTCAAATTTTAGTTGTTCATCGATTTGAATTCCAAGTAGAGTTACTTCGCTACTTACATTTATTTTGAAGCCATCATTTATAGAAAATTCTGTAATGTGATTGTTGTTATTACTCACAATTAGTGATTGAAATTTAGATGGATTGGCTGTCATATGATTTGAATTAAACCAGTCAATGCATTTATTGGTGTTATGCTGTAGCTACTAATATATGGAGTTCATCAGCATTTACAGCAGAAATGGAAATCGTATTATCATCTGCAAAGTTACATAGGGAGCCCTCCTGGATGAAGAGAAATATGTCATTTATAAAGAGGTTGAGGAGCAATGGTCCAAGTATTGAGCCCTGAGGCACTCCTTGATTAACTGGCCTCCATAAACTAAAATATCCACTGACTTTCACCATTTGTTTTCTGTCAGTGAGATAACTCTGTAAAAGTTTGGGTGAATTTATACCAACTCCTTAAGCAGCTAGTTTTGCAATTAGTAGATTTATGGGGAGGCTGTCAAAGGCTTTGGATAAATCCATAAGTACAGCTGCAGTGTGTTTCTTAGCTTCTAGGCTAGTTTTCCACTCTTCTATTAATCTTATTAAAGCATGCTGGGATGAAAAATGTTTTCTGTAGGCACATAAAAAGTCAGAGAAGTTCATATTGAGAAATGGAGACAGTTGAAGCTCTATAACTTTTTCAAAGACTTTTGAAAGAGCTGTTAGAACACTACCCTGGGTACCAGACTCACTATATAAAATAATAGAGAGTCTGGTCTTGTGCGCCCCATTCTCGTTCTGGTGAACTTACTTGAAAGAACTGAAGTCTATTTAACAGACTAGGCCTGTGAAACAAGACTGTTGGATAAATAACAAAGATACTCAGTAGTCAGAGAAGTTTTGTGAAATTTTAAAGCAAATGTATTTCATATAGTTCTGTAAAGCCGACATTATTAATACAGTGAAAATAGACTTATCTGCCTCAAGATTCCAATCAAATCAGGTTTAGAACGCCATTTGGCAGCAAAAAACATGTGCGAAGCATGAAATTAAAGTTAGCACAATGCAGTTATTAGATGTTAATCTTTATTAAATTTCGTATTCAACTTAAAATAAGTCTTTTGTAATTTTCCTCACAAGTTGTGTGTACTTTCAAAGTCTACTTCCTCACTGTGAAGGCAGCGCGCTTCAGTGTGAGTGTGAAGGCACCGCGGCGGTTAGAATCATCACGTTGGAAGTTCACCACAGCAAATATGGCCAATACGACAAGCGAAGCCCCGTATGCCGGTCGGAATATTAGCCATAACTGATTACTTGTGTTTGTTGTTGTTTGATCTCGGCGCTTTGCGGTGTTTTTTATTTACTGCATTTCACTACAAGGCATAATTTCTTTGCAATGAAAGGAACAGACTGAAATATCCAATCATGTTGGTAGCGCTCGGGGTCAAATAGGGAACGGGGTCAAATAGGGAAACTTTCCAAAGCCAGTTGGCAGCATGGCGAAGGTGTCTCTTCTCTCTACAAACAAGGCTTTCAATGCTGTTCTGTGTTAAGTTCCACAACATGCGGAAAATATTCTTTGAGTACAGTTTTAACAGCGTCTTCAAACTCAATCGTTATGATCGCTAGCATTTATTTATGTTGTGTTCTGTTCAATGTTTTACACCAGAGCTAAGTTTATTGTTTCGCTGTGACCTTTGAACGTACACTCGCTCCTGATTGGTTTATATCAGCACACCAGAACGAGAATGGGGCACTAGACCAGACTCTCTATTTTATTTTATATATAGTGAGTCTGGTACCCAGGGTATTAGAACACTAATTGGTCGATAATTCTCGTTGTTGAATGGATCTTTCTTTTTGTATACAGGAGAAACAACTGCCATTTTCATCAGACTAGAAAATGTTCCTTGTAGTATGCATTTGTTCAAAATATTTGCCAAAGGCCCTGCAATGATGTTAACAGAGAGCTTTATGAATTTAGCACTTATCATATCATGACCACAGGCTTTTTTTGGTCAATTTTAAGGATAATTTCTTTTAATATTTTCTTAGTAGTAGGTTGGAATTCAAAAGTACAAATTTTTTATTATATTGATTATGCTCTTATGTTTTTCAAACATCTTAATAACTTGATGCAGAGATAGATTGGAATCCTCTTTTGCGTTCATTTGTTCTGTAGCATGGCCAACACTAATAAAGTAATTATTCATGATTTCAGCTATGTTTTTTGGGTCAGTGATCAGTGAGTTATTCTCTGACAAACAGATGTCTCAATCATCATGATTTTTTCCAAATAAGTATGATTTGAGCTTATTCCAGAATGATTTCGAGTCTAAAGTGCCATTTTGACAGATTTTTTGAAGTAGTCTGATTTAAATCTTATATTGTCTTAAATCTCTTAAATAGTGTCTTAAATTAGCTTTAAATTATGATTTGATTTAAATCATACAAATCAGAGGCTTTTGCAAACTTGACGTTTTCACATTTTGTTTATTAATTTATAAAATATGCATGTCGAGATAAACAAAAGTCAGCTTTGAAGAGGTAGTCCAATTTCTTTACTGACCTTAAACTCCCATTCAGTACGAAAAGCTATCCTTAGCAAGCATAAATACAGTTTGGGATCATTATGAACAGAAAGGCGCGTTATGGGGTCGGGAGAGTGGGAGAGCAACTTTCACTTTAATATTATCCTTCTGGTGGTGTTTAAGTCTTGTCTAAGATGGATAACTATTTTTCTGGATAACTGGATAACTAATTACAAACAGGTTCACAAAAAAGGTGGTCTTGCTTCAATAACAAAAATATATTGCATTGTGTTCTAGACAGGGGCTCATTCTTTCAAACGAAATGGCCGTGAACAATGTGTATATGAAAAATGTATTAAAACCTTAATAAAAGTTACATCTGTGTGCCTTAAGGTTCATTGTGATGGAGGCTTAAACGGAAAAATGGGGTCGGATGAATTCAGCTTTACACTTCACTGTAGCAAATTCAATGGTATTTCGTTGCAGATGGCAAATGCTATGCTCCCTTGAGCCTTGTGATTGCACTTGATACCTCCGGCAGCATCGATTCTTCGGCATGGCTAACAGAAGTTGGCAGTGCAAAGGAAGTGATTCTAACGAACAAGGTTGAGAACAGTGGAAACAAATTCGCAATTATCAGCTTCAGCACAAATGCAACAGTGAGTAAACTAGTTGGCAATCTTTCCTTCTGTTTTTGAGAAGATGAAGAGTTTTGTAGTACAGGGGTCTTTGAAAATGTTGATCTTCAAGAAGTACTTGAACTGGTTACGTTGCAGATAATGTGACTGGGTAATTGAAATAACGATAACGATGTGATAGTGATGGAAGGATAATTATGTTGGAATGAAATCGAATGACATTTCTTTGGTTTTTTAGATAATAATTTAGTGTATCCTTTTAACGAGAACAAAGGCTAAAGCCCCTAGGCTGGAAAAGTAGGAACAACAAGCTTAAGATTTGTACCATGTTGCATTGTACGAAGAATGCTGGTACCATGATAATGTTTGCTTCTTCTGTATATAATTTTCTTTACTTGATTCGAATCCGTTTTTGTTGGTTTTATCAAGTTTCCTACTAAAACTTGCTTATTAGTTGAGATGTTTCTAACTGAAAGCGATAAAGGTGCGCGAATCGCTCGGTGTATAGGACAGTGGTCCAAGGGTCTGGAATTCCGAGTCTCTGAAATGACCAAACTTTCACCTCTAGAGTGAGGGGACTTGCCGGCTCTTTGAAATGATGAGGTGTGGTCACATTCAGACGAAGGGGCAGGACGCTGCTCGATAAGCATAGCTTCTCAGTGTCCTAAACACTACCTTCGGATGCTAGGTAGAAACAAATACAAATAGTTACGTCAAAAAGAATACTTGAAAAGGACCAAAGTACAACTTATTTCTTTTAACACCCAGGTGATTCAGGCATTTACTACCAACGCTTCACAGGCCATTGATACTTTAGAAAACCTGCAAAAAAATTCAAAAGATGGTCACACCTACATTGATGCAGCTGTACGAGAAGCTGGAAAATTGTTTGAGTCTCAATCATCTGAGAAAGAAAAAAGCAAGAAAGTTTTCATTACTTTTACCGACGGGTAAGTGTTTTGATTTCTGGCTACTGAATAGCCGATTGAAATAATTAATTCAAAACATCACCACTATTTTAGTTGCTTTCTATAGATATTTTTCATATTATCTCGCACATTTGTGGAAAGCTATGTTATGATATGTTAACTTTTTGTTTCCTTAAACCGTATCTCAAATGACATCCAGAATTCTAAATCTCTCTATTTATGTCTGATACTCTAATGCTGGTCTTATAGAAATTGCACGAAGGTACACTTTGTATTAAAAAATCTTGTACGTTTGCCAGTAGCCTAGAACTAAGGTCATATTGAGACGAAAGCAAAAATTTCAAAATGCATTCAAAGAAACAAGAAACATAGGATAGGCCGAGTGTCAGTTTCTTTGAATCTTGCAATGAGCAAGGTGGTACACAGTTACAGCGAGGAACGAAACAAAACGGCAATAAGAATATCGAGAGAAATAAAATTTTCAAATAAATAACAACCAAACTGATATATTTAACCCTGGCATACAGGTCTCGATAAAAGCAATAAAAATGAATAAAGAAATATTTGTTTAATGTTTAGTTTAATTAAAGTTCTATTTTTCCAGATATAGGCTACTCTTTGTCATTTTGCTTTGTTCCTGAGTGTTACTAACTTCAATAGTTTTTCACTGACTTCTATATCTTATCTTAATTTAACCTTCCCCTCACATCTCGTAGACTTATCATTCTGAAGATCATCTGACTTACTTTTTTATTGGTTTATCATTTCATCGAATGTCTTTGTTTTCATGGGAGGGCCTCCCTCGATTAGTTAACCTATCTAGAAAGCTCCTCTTTATCTAATCTATTCTAAATAAAATCATGTCCTTTTCCTCTATTAAGTTGCAGATTTGTAATTTTTAGTAAATTTGACGTATTGTGGTGTGTTTAATTGTATTGTAATTGTAAAGAATTGTATATAGGACTGATTTATAATTAAATGTAACCAAACTAAAACAATTATTTTATCTTGATGAATCTGAAATTGATAAAAAAATGACTTTCTTTTCAATGCTAGGTATATGACGTATCGTAACGGTGAAGAAATTCTCTTGACACTTCACCCGGAAGTAGCAAAACTCAACTCCACAAATACGACGTCGTTTGCAGTGGGTATCGGCAAACCCATAAAGGATTCAACGCTATATTACCTTGCATCTCCTCCAGAATTATCGCATGTATTTTATAAAGCCAACTTGGGTAAATTAGGCGAAGCAATAAAAAGTTCAGCTGAAAGACCTTGCAGGGAAGGAGAAGGTAAATGCAATGCTGTTACTTTACTTACATGCACTTGCGCAACCGGCATGCTTTGCGAATATTTGTTTAAAACCGGCCTAATTAACTGGCTGTAGGAAAATACAAAAAACAGCCCATTTCATCTTGTGTAAAATAAGAATTACTGCAAAGGATGTCGGTTGGTCAAAATTACCGACACTGCAGTTTCTTAATGGTTAATATCCAGTAATTTTTGAGTGATGTTTTGGGCCTTATCCATTGCATTTTCATAGCAACGATAGAGCACTGTTGATATCAGTGCGGACAAAAAATTCTGAAATATTGCTGCAGGCGGTGGCACTTAGGCAAAAGGAGTTACAGTAGGTATTGCTAGGGTACTGATTGTGTCTAAAAATAATTTGATTAAATATGCACGTTGCGTGTGGTACTTCATCCAGAATAACGATAATACAGTTAGCAAATGAATTTAGTACCAGAATGAAAATGTAATAGTTTGATTGTTAAAAACACGACGTTTCGAGCATATACTTGTTTTCGACGTTACGTAATGACTTGATAATGAGTACATGCTCGAAACGAAACGACGTGCGCGTTTGAAAGGAATTTGATACTATTCACGTGAAACCACTCTAGGGTTTTGCCAATTTGCAGAAAGCCGAAAACTGCAGGCATTTTTTCCTGTGCGCAATTCGATTGGTCAACCTCTGGGGGTCAAGTGGCTGTAAGCCACTTTTACCTGTGTCAAATACCTTTAACGATACATGCTTTCAATGATTAAGATCTTATTGGAATTAACTTTAGCATGGTTATTTTTCAGGTGAAGAAGACAAGCTAACAGTGAGTAAGTAATCATTTAAAATGAATTGTAGCGCCATCTTTATCGGGATTTTTAAGCAAAAGCTAACCTTTTTCAGAATCCGAAAAAAACGTTTGTTTAAAGGCATGAACATCTCCCAAAATTTTTTTATCTGATTTGAAAAGTAGGATGACGTCGTACATTGCTAATAGTTTTGTTATATTTACTATCAATAAAGTTTTTCGATTGGAATACAAAAGAAATAATAGTGGTATGATTGTATTCAGATTGAAACATCCATTCATCATCATTCAAGCAAGGCAATATGAGCACAGTTATTATGGAAAAATGTTGAACAAATGGAAGCAATTGATAAATTTTATTGGTTTTAGCGTGCAAATCTGTCAAAATTCGACGTGCTGGCACAGGATGCTACAGGGACACTCAGCAAAGTCCAAGACCACTGCCAGATTTGCTGTTTTCAGACAGAGAAGTTATAAGTTGGACTTCATGGGACAGCTTTATGCAGTCTCTAGTTTGCAAATGTGCCGAAGAGAGTGCTAAACAACAGAGGAAAATTTTCGGCTTACAATATTACGGTATGATTTTCACATGTCAATATACAAAGGGATCATTTTTGTAAAATCCAAGGCGTTCATGTTCAAGCCATTTTGGTGACGTCGAACCCGTATAAGTTGAAGCTATGTATAATGACAAAGTTCTTTTGGGGGAATTTAAGGGAGGGGGCATAATGCTCTGGTCCCAATATCATCAGCAGTGGCGTCACAAGCTCGAAAAAACGGGGGTGAAAGAAAGCAATTTTTCTCGGCCACGCCTTTTAGACTCTTGGAAAAGACTTTTTTAGTATTCTTTTAGCTATTTCGAAATCTTTTGGCAAGCAACTTTCTCAAGCGGCTTTTTTTGTAACGGTGGCTTTTTTGCAAGTGCCAAAGTCGAAATCGATCTGATCAGCGAATCCCCCCCCCCCACCCCTCAATGGTTTTTCAACGGATTTTGAGAAATTATAAAATCGACTTTGGTAGTGTGGACGACGCCACTGATCATCAGGTATCTGTCATAAAGGCTGTAAAAGTTTGTTCCTTTCAGAGTTTGATAGTTTGGACACTTCTATCATTCACATACTTTTATTAATGCTTTGGCTTATAAAATACTATAAACTTATCAATTATCAAATATCAAATCAATACGTAATTTCTGGTTACGAGATACTGAATTTGTAGGGTGAGGCTCAAGGATGTTGTTACGCTTTCTCCAAAGCATTAAAACACTTTTCGTAGCAATTTAAAATGGAAAGACAAAATATGATGAGGCATTTTTTCTATATTTTACCGATTGGCTAAACTCAATTTTGCTTCCTTTTCGTTGAGATTAAAAGTTTCCTAGTTCCTCGGTTGACAATTTTCTGCCTGTCTCTGTTGTCAACAAAGTAAAAATTTTACTTTTGCAATTACTGGTCATGGCCCTCTGGAAGGTGGCGGAGGAGCTGAAGATCTCGGCAATAATATTCACAAAACAAGAAAGGGAATTTGATAAAACTGTCGAATATTCCTTGGAGGGACTCACCTCGCTCACAAATGCAAATTTTGGTCCGGCAGTTTATGTTTTGATAGGACTTTTATATTTTCAGGCGAATGCTGGTCCAGCACAGCAACTGACACGTATGCAAAAGACGGACCAGCAGATCAGTCTAACTGCCCAACCCTTGGATTCAAGCCTTGCAATGATACTACGCCGTACTGTGTTGGTTCACAGAGCTATAATTACGTGTATGATATACTTGGAGCAGTTTGAACTTTATTTGCAGCTGGTTTGGAAGTACAATCTGTGAAATAGAAATGCAACAGTGTCCCTGGCTTAAATAGCATCTGAATTTTTAAGTACCAAGAAGGCACCAAGAAGGCACAGAACCGAATATTTATAAAGAAGAAAACCATCTAGGCATCTTGCAGAGCAAACTTAAAAAATATTATCCTTTATTTATTTAAAAAAATACTATAAATTTCATTTTGTAAAATATGCCATAGATTTTGAAAATAGTAAATCGAGCCTGGCATTTTTAAAAAAGACGAAAAGCCATTTTGAATTTTCTTGTGCTTTTTATTAACCAGTTTTAAACAACAAGCACATCAATGGAGATTCTTTGGAGTACATCCAGTTCTACTTTCCTGCTTTATTGTGAGTCAATTGGCCAAGTGACATCTCTTTAACTTTGAACCATGCGCCCATTTTATCTTAAAAAGCAATTTTAAATGCTTGTAGATGTTTTGGTTTTCAAAGATTTTTTTAGTTTTAGTTGCCCTTTATAACCCCTCTGTAGCCATACACCTACAACTATAGGTAATTTCCTTATTTTTGATAGGTATATTTATTTTTCTCAAACATCTGTAAGATCACCCTTGAAATTTAAGAAAATTTACTATAATGTTGGAACACTATAGCTAGTAGCTACTAAATTATCATTGAATTTGACGTCGTTGATTAATACTGTTGTGTGGTAATGTATTTATGCCTTTCACAGACAAGTATTTCACACACTTGACTACAAACTATAATTGAAATCGTTCTGTAAAGATCCCCCTTCTATGCAGCTTTCACACTGTGTTTTCATACTGTATTTACTGATACATACTGTATTTTCTTGTTCAACTTTGCCTTGCTTGCTTCATCAGCTCTCAAACAACATTAGAAGCTTGTTATTAAAAGCATAACAATTGTCGAGACTTCATGAGCGGTTGTCTTAGGTTTCATAGACTTCATGGCCACCCACATAATGCTCCGTATATCATCCCATTGCCAGACTTGATGAGAAATCGGCTTGAGCTTTTTCTTTAGTGCTGCCTCAAAACACAACAACTCTAAACTCGTACCCTTAAATAAACCATCATATCAAATTGCATTAGGGTGAAAAATTAACCCCTCGCTTTTCAGAAATCGCAGGACTTTTTTCCTAAATCTTATTTAATTGAACTTGACTCGATAATTTTGCATTTATTAAATATTTTCTCCAAGCCAGAGTTTTGTACAATGTCATAATAAGCGACCAAATGGTTGAAAATTATTGCAAAAATATCTAAAGAAAGTTTATTGCATTGTCTTATTTCAAAAATGGCGCAAAAAGTTATTTTTTTCGCAAAAATTTGGAACATTTAGTACCTACGTGAAATCATTTTGTCTTCAAATTTGTGTTCAAGAATATAGCATGCCTTCGAAAATTTACGTAGAGCTCCTGAGAAGTCAACTTTTTTGGAGATGGTGGCCAACAAGTGAATGCCATTTTTCTAAGAAAATGGAGCAAAATCCTTTTGGTGCATGAATTTCTTACAGATGGATTTATGATACGTGCTTGAATCTTTAAGTGTTCTCACACGACCTCTCTTTCAGTGTTCTACTGAGACTGTTTCAAACAATTTTCATTTTCACAAGTAGCGAAATCTATGTAGAGAATGGAATTTTTAGCTATTTCAGGCCGGTAGACAGCCAAACTGGATGAGGGTGGGGGGTGGGGTGGGGGCATGGGTAGAAATATAGCTTTTTCTATACCTGCCTTACGAAATACTGTCAGATCAAGCTGCGCTTGTAAGATCTTCAAACATATTTTTCGCAAATTATTGGGGGCATTACCACCTGCCCCCAGTGTCTACAGGCTTGCTATTGTCAAAAATTTTCAAAATACACACAAACATTAAATAGATGGAATTTTTATGATGTTTGATGATCTCTATAAAAAGACGTTTGATGGGCAGAGTTTTATGAGGAACATTAGAAAGGATTTATCAATGAGAAGAATTTCAAGAATGGCTTTCAGTTACTTTTTTTCACCAAGCATTGAGCTAAAGAATAAAATTCTCTAAAATTTGTGTTGGTCACATTTTGAATATGCTTACATTATAACTTCCATGAAAATTGCAAGAGGGGGTCTGCTTGAACAAATGGCTTTGCAAAACTTTAAAAGTTTCCTTAAAGCTCCTGCATAATGGAATGACCGAAATAAAAGCTCTCTTTGTCGAGGCAAAATAACAGTTCGTGTTTTTATATGTACCTAAATCTTTTAGTTTAAAAAAACCATTCCACTTTTACGACGCGCGAATCAACCCGTGATATTATACGTCCCGCGTGTGAGTTGCACAACTCTCGCGACTTTGACTTTCAAGGCCATATCTCAAAAGAATATGGCGACCGAAAACGATCTAATGAGAGTGTGTTATTTTCTTTGTGTGCAAGTGAATTGCCACTTTAATAAATAACATTTCTTTGAAGCAAGTGAAAAAGAATACCATTTATAACACACAGTGTCAAGCATTTGTGAAGGAAAGAAATATTATATTCATCTTGTAGCTAAATTTAACTAGCAACCGTAATCTACGATAAGAATATCGATTTTCCTGACTGACAGGTCAGTTTGGTGTCGCCCATTGAAGACCTTCTTGGCGCAAATCACAATTAAAGGACACATTTATTCAAGCAGGCTTTTCAAACAAGGCTGGTATGTATATGATACTCTGGATAAACCAATTCTCAGAGCAGGCTGATACCCCTCCTCCCAGTCCTAGGTGATATCTCAACCACCTCATCGTCGGATGTTATCAGTTAGGCCTTAGAACCTCTTGATTTCCCAAATTGCAAAAATTTGTGCCTTAGCGAAACAATTTTACGTTTTTGTTTTTGATACAGTAGAACCTGAAGGTTGAATCTGTGGAAAGCTTTTAAGTGCCTTTCCCGTGAAAAAGCGAGGGCCTAACCATGGCTTGTCATAATTGAAAGAGAGAGATGACTGCGGATATTTATATCGCATTTCAAAACAGAGGTTGAATAGCCAGAAAACCTTAAAACCACGACAAATGGTTAAATTCTACAAATACTGTTTTTCTATGCTAATTTGAAATAATAGCCAAAAAGTGATAATTGAAAGTATCAACATTTACAGCTGGACAGCTTTAGTTCAAACATGGAACATTGTAGTTTTATCAATAAATTTACTGTTCTGTCATTATGTCCTTGTTACATTTAAAACTTTGAAAATTTATATTCCAGATATATTCACAATGAGTCACAAACCAGGAAAGAAAGATAATAAAATGAGGATTAGGGCATTCCCTGTAAGTGAAAACTCTGTTACAATTTTATTGTCAAAACTACTTGAGTACGTAGAAGAGTTTTGAGAAGTTAAAGCTTTTCTTGATTTATTTCATTTATTTATCTGTCACAGATGAGTAGTTATTCCAATGGTTATTTTGGCTCAGACAGTTATTTTTTGTTCTAAGGTAATTGTTGCTCATTTCTAATACAAAGGATAAAGAGCTAGGGAAAGATGTATTTCTGTATTTTTTATGAAAAATAATACAAAAAAATGGTCTTACAGAGGTGAAGGTTGATGCACAGATAAGTGATGAATAAATGATAAATTTCAAAAAATCATAATTGAGATAGTCTTAATGCAATAATGCACAGGGTTTAAATAACAGATAAATCAATGGTATGCCAAGTTGGAGTTTATACAAAGTGTGAATGAAATTTGAAATTAAAGAATTGGTCTAAATTTATTATTTCTTGAAGCCAATACTTTTTGTAGATATTCCTTGGCACATTCATTTCTAAAATATCTTATTATGAGATGTTTAAGTATTGTCCTTTTTGAGACCAAATACAATAATGAAGACTAAATCAGAAATTGATTCATACATGCAGGTTCAAAGTAAAGAAAGTTTAATCTCAGTTATTAAAACTTTATTGATAGTTATTTCAAATAGCTAGCTCTGCACGACAATGGTAAAACTAACTATTTGTTATTGTTTGTAAGACAAAAAATATTTATTGACATCTTTTGCCATTTTATTTTTCACAACTCTAGCTTTCAGGCTTCCTCCCAACAAAATCCAAACAGAGCAGCACAATTTTTATCATTGTTAAGCTTAAAAGGGTTATTTCCCTTTATTAAGATAACAGCGCAAAGAAAACAGAACTTGTATCTGAACATAACATGAAGAAGTAATTGAGAACAATACAAATTCTAAAAGTAGATATATTGAAGTGCAAGCGTGAGGATCACAAGACCGGAACTTTGCAATAGGTACTATATAGCAGAACAATAATAAACAGCATGATTAGCGATGAGCATATAACGTTGATCTTAATAATGAGTTCTTAACACCCATTAAGCTCTATAAACAACGGAATAGTGTACTCAGGAATCACAGGAATACATTAAAGTATTCAATAGATCATGGTTGTTTAAACTTTTGATTTCTTAATGTATAATAAAATCATCAAATGCTTTTGTATTAATGGTTAACTAGCAACCTGATCCATCAGCTCAACTTAATTTTATTTGATGGAACGTATTTTCAGATGGTTTAATACGGTTTGCACAGATTTGATAATATATCTATATGTTCCGAGCATTGTGATAAATGGCAAATCTTTATAAATTTTTGCAGATGACAATGGATGACAAGTATGTCACAGAAATATGGCTGCTTCTTAAGAGCGCAATACAAGAAATACAGAAGAAAAATAATGGAGGCCTCAGTTTTGAAGAATTATACAGGTATTTTTTGAAATGTCAATTCCAATAGTATTTCCAAATTTGTTTGCTTTAGCAAGTCTAGTTTGATTTGGTGCTGTTCAGATTCCCCATGGCCTTTTCAATTCTTGAGATATCGGTCGTAAACTTTTCTTGCTGGGGTTTCAGTATGTTGTGGCATAGCAATGGGTTATCTTTGCTCTTATTTTCTCGACCCCAATGAATTTTGTGATGAAGTACTATATTTACTTGCTCAGGTATAAAGTATTGAATGTCTGTTGGTAATCTTTTAATTCTTTGACAGAAATGCATATACAATGGTGCTCCACAAACATGGTGAGAGGCTTTATGTTGGTTTAAAACAGGTTGTGACAGAGCATCTTGAGAACGAGGTTAGAAAATTTTTTAATTTCCACATTTGCCTGGCATTATCATCTTGATATTGTATGTTGTAAATCTTTGTGTATCCATACCAGCTCTTTTAACATTTTATGGTAAGAGGATGCCATCCTGCGCACCGATACCCTTTAAAGAGGCATCAATGCAAAAATATTGCCATCGCCAAAAAACATTTTCCGTTGTTCTAGTTTGTTATGTAAACGGCAAAGACCATCGCAAAAAGGCTCATTGTTGTCTGGAACATAGAAAGTGGGTCCAATTTAGGGGAAGAAAGATGAAGCGAGCAAGGGTACGAGTGCCTGCAAGCCTGGGTCAACTGGAGGCTGATATCGGAAGATTTTAACAAGCGCGTGATTGTCGTCATGCTTACTGAAAATTGAAAACAAACCAATTTTGAATGAACATAGCACAAAAAGGATGAAAGAGGAAGAAACGTTTTCTATTCTGGACAAGCTCTCACCAGTGCAAGTCAAGCTCTCTCATTCATTTTATAACGGTTGGGAGCAATTCGAAACTTTATTTCTGACTGATTTAATTCTTTCTTGGTTATATCAACCTTTTTAATTTCATCATCATGAGCAGCCATTGTCGCCAGGCAGAAGCTTGCCTTGTGCCAAGAAATCTCCATCAACTGAGAGCTTTCACAACTATGTTCGGATTTCACATGATCAATTGATTATTTGTTGATGACCATTGGACCGTAAAAATACTAGGTTACCAAAAATTCAGTCGTACTGATTTCTCTCGCTTGTTTCTCCCAACATGTATACGATATAAAGCATGCAAAACCATTTTTCAGTAGAACTTTTGTCCCCATTTCATATGACCAAAATTGTTTTGCAATTTTTCTGGGTCGAAATTTTGCGCCGGTGAGGAGAGTCACCAGCTCTCTGCAATTCCAGGCACTGGAATCACGAGGTGTGGTCATATCAAGAGGAAGGATCAGGACACTGCTTGATAAGCAAAAAGCTTTTCAGTGTTCTAAAGCTATCTTCGGAAACTAGGTAGCAAAAAGCATACAATTACATATATCTTTAAATAGGTCATTAAAAAAGAAACTGGCACTATCTAAAACCCAATGAAATGTCAGTATTTTATGACAAAATATTTTGTGATGTGATTCCTACCAGTGTAAAGAAGGCTTTTACTTAGAATTAATGTGAGGTGGTAATTGGAAGAATGCACCATTACCGGGAATGAAACTTTTCGGTAAAATTTTTCCCAAACTTTTATCCGAAATCTAAGTTTGTCTGAAAGTTATCATGTTCAAAAGTTTTAATTTCAATGGATATCAAAAAGCAGAATAACATGAGTGATATGACATGGCATAAAAAGCCTATGATTGAAAAATTCAATTCCATGCATCAATGCATATCATATGTGGTTATTTTCATGATGATTTTCTTATGCTTCAGAAAAAATGTTGTCCAAAGTTGTTTTGCCCAAAATTTCCTGTCTGGGTGTTTTTTTTTTAATTTTGTCTGTTTATCAAGCTGTTGGTCTTGAATTAAAGTAGTTATTACCCTGTTTCTGCTTGCTTGAAATATTGATGATCAATTCTTTTTTCCCAAAGGTGAGAAGTCAGGTTATTGCTTCACTAACTGATGATTTCCTAAGAACTCTGAATTCTGCCTGGGATGATCACCAAACTGCAATGGTCATGATCAGAGATATCCTCATGTACATGGTAAGTTTTCTACAAAAATGAACTGTTTCTAAAGATCAATATACCCTTTTTCCTGCTTATAGGTGCATCTCATTTTAAGGCGCACATGCTTGTATCCGCATATAGGCTCAGTGCACTTTTTAAGTGGATCTTAATCTTATGGTTTTTGCGAGAAAGATGAAAAAACAAAAAGCAGCGACATTACTATCTATTTTTTCTCTTTGACAACATTCTACATGCTTGACATGTTTTTTCTTTCCATGGTAAGTTTTCTACAAAAAATGAGCTGTTTAAATCAATAGTTTTTCTTCACCCCCTTTTCTCCAATTTTGCATCCTAGGATAATTTTTCATGACTTTGCCAAAACAGAATAATTCTACACACATAGACAACTTATGACGAGACTATCATATTACAGCAATACTAATATTTTGACAAAATTTTGTTCGATTTAATTCAAAATCGGACGAAATTTGGTCATGACGAAAGTTTTAGCATTAAAGATTTTTGAGAATTCGCAAAGAAGATTTATTATATGAGGTCAGAAAACAAATTCACGTATTCTTTTGAACTTTTAATCTAGTCCATGGCAAATTTGTCATTATTCTCATTTATATCTTTATAATTATCTTTATCATCTGCATCATCATAATCATTGCCAGTTCGTGAACTAGCTTTGCTCGATAGAAATAGTTCTAACCGTCTTTTGTCGCAAATATCAAGGGATTCCAACTCCATCTTTTTGTACTCAACTGTACTATTTATTTAATTTGTACAAGGTATTTGCACTTTTCAACCCAAATTTTGAACTCTACCGAAAGCAAAATTTCCAGACCAACTTTTCCTATTAGAAATGGTCTTATGCTTTCTGAATTATATACTTATATTCACACCTATACTTTAATTATACTCTGTTTATAAACTTTGATGCCATATAAATAAAGAGTAGAGACTCGTTGAATGCTAAAGGCATCTCTCTTGACCCCAATTTTGCAAAAACTGAGTAAATACTGACATGTTCTGTGTGAAAAAGCTGCCCGGAGTCTGAGCCAAATTCCGAACGGTTGCATAAGCCCTCGAGTCTCCACGAAGCCGGTACCTATGGGATTGAATACAAAACAATCTGTATGGTTTTGCCTCTTAAGATTTTGGTAATATGTTGCTATCTCTGTGGTGAAAATTCCGGAAAAGTTGTCCGAAATTTTTTTCGACAAAGTTTATCCGCCGAAAATTTATCTGACGAAATGTTTTATTGCTAATGTATTGCAAGAGCGCCTCACTGAAAGCTGGGCAAATTTATGTTATTTACAAAGCAAAGTTTAGGAAAATTGTTTTACTTATGATGCATGCTGTTCTTCTGGTCTTAAACAACTGGGCTTAGATACATTAAATACATTAGAGTGAGGGATCTCAAATATTAACACACAGATGGCCAAAACTCCCTTAAATTGACGTTTTTGCCTTATGGCCTTGAAATTTGAAAGGATAAAATTATTATAATTGGCTGAGTTGCCAAAATACTTATCAAGCTATTCAGTTAGAATAATTGTCTTTTCGTACAATGTGGCAGATATTAGCAGCCAGAAGTCTTTCCATAATCTTTAATTTCCACAAGTTTTTTGATATTTAGGTATTTTTTAGTTTTTTGTCTAACATTTTTTATCAGTAATGTACATTCAGATATTTTCTAGTTCTGCCGTTTGAAGCAGCCTTGAAGTTCAGCTGACTTATAACATGTTATTCTAAATAAAGTGTATTGAATCTCACAGATGCAAAGAACTTTTTGCCTATATTGGATTCACAAACGACCTAGATCTAAGTGAAAGTTTCTGTCTGTTTGTTTTTTTAGGACAGAGTGTATGTTCAGCAAAATAACGTGGAGTCAGTTTATGACCTTGGGTTGATTCTTTTCAGAGATTTGGTAAGCAAGCTGCTATTGCAATTTTTTTGCATTGTCAATCGGGATAGTTAATTTTTTTGTTCTGTGTATATTTTTTTTATCGAGTTGCACATGTATTTTTACATTTTTCTCACAAAAGCAGTACAGCAGTGAGTTCATTCAGCTGTTTTGTCCTTTCAAGTTTGCTAGTTTTGAGCAGGCAGAGCTAATGTCATGGCATCTGAAACGAATTTCTTTTTTCAGATTGTCAGACATGGAAATATCAGGGAGTCATTACGGAGCACACTGCTAACAATGATTGAAAGTGAAAGAAAAGGAGAAGTGATAAACAGGCAAGTTTATTGAGTATTCAGCATAGAGTTTGAGTTTTTGATGGCTGGCCTGTTGGTTTTTTTGCGTTTTGTATTAAAGTTGGCTAGTTAACAAATTAAAATTGGGTAAATTTTCACCTGCATTTGTGGTTTAATTTCTCATGCTGATATCTATAGAAATGAATTCTCGGATTTGATTGTTGACGTGGACGTATATTTATGTTAAAAAAACTGCTTTCTTGAGCCCCCCCTCCCCCCCCCCTGTTCTGACTATAATATGGAATAAAAGCACCGAGGAGACTTAAAGCACAAGAAACCGTGATCTTTAAATTTTTTGCCAGGTCAGCAATAAAGAATGTTTGTCAGATGCTGATGACTCTTGGTGTTGGGTCACGTGACGTCTACAAAGAAGATTTTGAGAAGCCATTCCTTGACCAATCGGCTGATTTTTACAGAGTAAGCATTGTTCTGGGTTTTAGACAAGCAGGCTAATTTGAGAATATATTTTGACGGTATTCAGTAACTTCTCTCAAGAATTATGTTTATCAGTTTTTAAAAGAATATTTCACAGTTTTGTATTGATATAAGATCCAAGCATTTGAAGCACCGGTTTTGCACCTAGCTATTACATGTGCAAGCTGTATCTTGATAACAACTTAACTTTTGCATTTAACTACTTTTTCTGTAATGATTTTTCATGAAAATAAGTTATTTTGAATAAAAAAATGTTTGTAGATATTTGTGTACCGTATTTGTGAAGTCCCATATGTTTGAAGCATTGAAGCAAAAAAGTTATCACCTTTTTGTGATGTTTTGCCTTGCTATTTTGTTTTATTCTTACTTTCTTCTAGCTTGAGAGTGAAAAATTCCTCGCTGAAAATAGTGCCTCTGTATATATTTGGAAGGTATGTTAGAAGCTAATTTTATTTTGCAATTTTTTGATTTTTGACTTTTAATTATTTCAAATAAGAAGCTTAAATATACTTACTGCAAAATTTCCATCTCTGTTTTATCCAGGTCAGTGCAAGAATAAAAGAAGAAAGGGAAAGAGTGAAACATTGTCTAGATTCAAGTACCGAAGAGTCAATCGTCTCAGTATGTATGCCTTTTATGTGTGACAAAGCAGTTTTAGAAAGGGAACTTGTTGATTCGAGTTTTTCCAGGGCCTGGAGATTTTTTCTTAAGCTGGCACGTTCAGTTTCCACAGATTTTGCATAAAAGAAAATGGTGCCTAGGGGAATCTCCCTCTTCCATACGTAGATATTTAATTGCACTTGAAAGTGTACAGTGCCTAATTAAGATAAAGTTCAAGTAGCTTAATTTAGGCCATATCGCCATTTTGCGTCTCCTATTTTAGTCCGACGCTTAGTAAGAGCATGAAGGGATTAGAATTAAAATAAAAGATAGGCTAATTTCGAACTGGGTCAGTTTGTAAGCAATATACCCAGGTAGAGAAGGGAAGAGTGACAATTTTTATGACAAAGCACACATGCCGTTTAGAACAGAGAGAAGAACTGTATGTTCCAAGCACAAAGCTTTGACAGCTTCTTCTGGCGTAACACTAAGCAAAATCTTCGCGTATTTTTATTTGTTTCTATCTAGCATCCAAAAGTAGTTTTCAGGACACTAAGAAGCTATTCTTATTGAGCCGCATCCTTTTCTTTCCTATGCTTCTACATCTCGTGATTCCTGCGCCTGGAATTACAGAGTGCTGGCGACTCCCCTAGCTCCATGTTAAAGTTTTCTTTGATCAAGAGACGGTTTTGACCCCCCCTCCCAAACTTTTGGCTGTGTGTCCGCCACTCTAACTCATGGGGCATCCTCAAATCCCATCTTATTGCCTGGGATATTCTATTTTAAGTTTAATTGATCATATATTTTAAGTTTGACCGAGTTAAAGAAAAATTTGATTTCTTATCTCATTAACTTTTTTCAGGTCGTAGAAAATGAATTGATTTCCAAACACATGAAAACAATCGTCGAGGTAAAAATTTCTTCATCAAATTCTTCATATTGTTTTACTTTCTTTCTCGTTATCTTATGTTTTTTTTCTTAAAAGAACCCAATAGGCAAAGATATTTTTCAGCTTTCTTGCCTCTGTAATTGCCATTGACTTTGCAAAATGATTAAGGCTAAACAACTTTTAAGTAGCATCCATATCATTTGTTTTGATTGAGCCCTGTATGCCGGGGTGAAATATACACTCAATTTATTAAAATTCAATTTCTGAAGATATTAGATTCTCGTCGTTGTTTTACTCTCTTCCTAACCTCTCTTCCTAACTTTTACTTCATACCACATTCATTGCGAGGTTCACAGAATCCGGCAGACAGCCTGCCCTGCGCTTCTTCCTTGTTGCATATGGTATAATGTACCATGTAGTTTCTATTGCCGTGTATTTACTGGCTAAGAAGTTTGCCAAACACCATTACGTTATGCCGCCCTGTGGTATGCGCACTCAATAAAACCGCTTTCCGGGCAGTTTTAGAACGATTTTCTAATTATTGATTCGCAGTTTTATTTTCACGTGTTTTTTATTAACTTTGAATCAGTTAAACTCTTTTTTCTTCCTTTTTTTAGATGGAAAATTCTGGGGTTGTTCATATGTTAAAGCACAGTAAATATGAGGGTTGGTTCTTTTGTTTTTTTGCCTTTACGAAGCTAGGTAGTGTAATGCATGTATAGATATTTAAAGGTTTATGAATTTGAAAAAATATAGCTTATTTTCAGCATGATAGCGGTGCTGTACAGAATCTAGAAGCTATCTACTGCCAGAAAGAAAATATATGTTTATACTTTATCCAGAAGGAAAATAATTTATGGATAAGAAAGAGGAATATACTTTACAATCGATAGTGATTGTTAAAATTGTATATAATGCACCGTCAGTTTCACCGCGGGCCCTGAGCTGGAGGAAAATCTTCCAATGATGCAGTAGTTTTGTATGCTAGGTATTTAATGTGAGAGAAATTTACATTTTGGCTTGGAATTTTTCTAATAATGTATTAAAACCATCCATAGATGATTTTACTAACATTCAGCTTCAAAAAAATTTTAATCAGAAGATGCAAGGAAATTTCGAGGAAGGGAAATAGAGCAAATTTGCATCCGTATGAGGATTTAGGCGTTTTCTGAACTCTAATACAATGTTTGAACATTTTCTTAAATTCTTCACCTTAAATATAGTCTTTTATGTTCAATTCTCTTTTATTATCTCAATCTCTCGTGCCACATAGCTTTGTTTTGTGTGTCATTTAAAACCTGAAAATGTTTTAGTAGTATTAATTTTAAAAACAGTCTCGCAACTTCCTTGTTAGTTACTCTCATTAGTTCTCAAGATCTTTCGCTCCAACTTGTTCATATGCCTCACTTTTCACTTTCTACTTAATATTTCTATTTCTTTGTTTTTGCAGATCTAGGCTGCATGTATAGGCTTTTCTATCGTGTCGAAAACGGCCTAAAGACAATTTGCGAAGCAATGAGTCACTACTTGAGAGAACAGGGAAAAGCGATTGTATCAGATGACGAGGAAGGTGAAAAAAATGCCATCTCATACATACAGGTAAGCATTTTTGCTTTCCAACCCTGGGTATTTGCAGTAGAGGTGCCTTGTAAACAAAATTAGATTTTAAATTAAGTATCTTTTAACATAAATTTATATTAAGTTAGGCTTTCAATGAACTTATAAGCCCTGTGGATTTATGACGTAATAGACGTGCTTTTCATTGTTCAGAAGAGTTTGTTTATATAATTTTGTATTATATATATTTATATATGTGAACCATGAGAGATAAACCATGTAGTTTTACTTTCTTCAACTCTATGATATTTATATATGTGTGTGTGTTTAAGGTATTATTTTATCGTTGTGCGACAAGCTAACAGATTTCATCGAAATTTGTAGCAGTAATCGGTAGCAGAAATGTTATATAGAGACATGAAATGCTACTCATTTGTTTATCAATATATATTTACATTGAAGAAAATATTATGCAATTTTTTTGTCATAACCAAAGACAGAACATTAGTTCATTCAGAATAAATTTTACAGATTTTGTATAGAGCACTTCAAAGCTTTCTTTATTTAGAATTTTTATTTTGTTCAACAAGCTCCTTATACTATCAATTCAAATCTTATTTTAGAAACTGCTTGATCTAAAATCGCGATTTGACCAATTCTTTGTCACGTCTTTTGGTGGCGATAAGTTATTCAAGCAAACGATTTCAGGGGTGAGTGAGATCTTCATTCTTTTCCTGCCCCTATCAGATCAGTTTTCTAGTTTTTGCCTCGTGGGTAAAAAAGCTGTTCTGACCATGATCTTTTCAACTTCAGTTTGTTTTTATAGTTACCTTTTCTATGGAATAGATTGATGTGGAACTTTGATGGAAACTTCAGTAAAAAACCTCCTTATGCTAGCCTCAAAAAATTGCTTGAATTTGCCAGTGTCCCGTGCGCTTGCAATAGATTTACATACAAGAAATGTCACATGGATGTGAAGAGATTTTGTACAGAATTTGTTTCGCAGAATCGCCGACCTAAGACAAGACTGGATAGCGCAACCTATTGGCCTCGGATAGCAAAGTCCGAAAGCGGGGCCGAGATTCCAAATTTGGATTAAATTTCTTGCGCATTTACCAATTTTTAGGGCTTTATCTAAAGTTGTATAATTTGACTTTTTATTTAACGTCTTCTGTGGTAACCTTTCAATAATGTCTGTCAAAGCAAAAACAATACTAAACTATAGCATGCTCAAGTCCAAAGCAGCTTTACGAGGCCACAGCATAACTCCTACACGTTAGAATCAATGCCCTTATAGTAAAAGATCGATCCAGTCTTATTTAGTATAAATGCTCAGTTTTTTAATAAGCTATGCAGAGGTCTTTTGAGTAGCTGTGAGAGAGCAGAAGCCTTGGAGTCAATGGTGTTGCTGTTGGTATATGTATTGGCATAAACAAATCTTTTTGTTGTGTGTATATATTGGGTCATTACGATTCACTTCCCTTCTCCCATCGTCTGCTTCTTCAGTTTATTGAAGAGCAAGGCTGTTGCCTCTGAACAATGTTTATATCAAATTTCCCTTTTGTTTCAGGACTTTGAATACTTTCTGAATCTTAATCACCGCTCTCCGGAGTATTTGTCGCTTTTTATTGATGATAAATTGAAAAAAGGAACAAAAGGGGTAAGTATATCTGTTTTTTATGCTCAGTTAGTTTTGATAACTTGTTTCAATTAGAATTTAATCAACAAACCATTTCTAAGACCGGCCATACCTACCAAACCTCGTGTTACTTCTTCCTTTTTACCTTCAAAGCTCCTTCGAAGCATACATCGTTTCTTTTCCCATCTGCATGTGCAGTGTTGTTTCCAAATATTAACATTTTCTTTTTATGTTTTAGTTATGCTCCAGTAATTCAATTTTCTTTTCTTTGAATCCATACAACTGATAACCCTTCTCTTGTGAAATCAAAAGCATATTCCCATTTTAGTTCAAAAGTCATCGACAATTCGAGCGAGCAGATTTTTTCACAATGAAAAGCTCTGTATATATACATCTTTCAAAACTGTTTACAAGTTTGAGCATTATTAAGATTTTCTACTTTAAGAAGAAAATGTCCAACTTTGCAAACCTGCGCGTCAGTTCTCACAGCCTCGGAATTGAAACGGGTAGACTTAGGAATTACTCATTTCTTAGGCTGATAGAAAATGTCCCTATTGCTGTTATTAAACGTGGTTTTTCTGCAACTAAAGTATGCTTGAGATTGTCTTATCGACCCCTCCTACAACTGTTATAAATCTTTTCCCCTTTCGTAGCTTTCAGAGCAAGAAATTGAATCAGTCTTGGATAAAACCATGGTGCTCTTCAGATACCTGCAGGAAAAGGTTAGCTTAGAATCTCATTTTGAATATAAGTAGCTCTTTAACGTTGGCTCAGAAAAGCAGATAAACAATACTTTATTATCTATTTGTTTTTGTTGAGCTTGTTAATGAATTTTGAAGTGCTCAAATACATCAGGAGTCTTTTTCATTAATATTGACTTAGGAAGTTCATTACTTTTTATAAGGTCAGGAAGCGAGTTATTTGCCTTTTTTAATTTTACAAGTATTTCAAAATTTCGACTTGAAGTAATATCATCAACCATTTTCTAGGATGTGTTTGAACGTTATTACAAACAGCACTTAGCAAAGCGACTTCTGTTGAACAAAAGCATATCTGATGATTCAGAGAAAAACATGATCTCGAAACTCAAGGTGAGATTTTTTTCTTGTGACGTCACAAATCATTTTTGGTGACTCGTTTAAGCATTGCATGAAGGGTTTATGTCTGTTTGTTACAATCCTTACAAACTTTTATTAATATCATGGTATTATCTCAAGTCCTCTGAAAAATCTCAGAAATCTCATCCAAAGCCCAGTACTCTAAATTCCATACCTAAACTCCTCTAAATTCGCCAATTTTGACCTATAAATCATTACCATGAGCGAATTCATTTTTTAATGCCTTGCCTTCCTTTTACGTCACCAAATTCTTATTGCGTATCCTCTTTCAGAAAAGCATGAAAAAGGTTTACATTTCTTTCTTTTCTTCCCTTTTATTGAGTTTGTTTTTTTTGCTTCTTTGGTCTCTCCATAATATTATGAAAGTAAAAAGTTCTTGTTGGTGTGTTCAACTAACTAGGAGTAAATCTGTTAACAAAATTTAAGCAATTTATGTTTGCTTTCATTTTAGACGGAATGCGGATGTCAGTTCACAGTTAAACTGGAAGGAATGTTCAAAGACATGTCCCTGTCTACATCAACCAATGAAGAGTTTAAAAATCATGCGACAAACTCAAATGTAGGTACTTTTTATCCTCAATTGTGTTTTTTTAAATCCAAGGATACCATAGCACAACCCTGCAGAAGATTTTCAAGATTCAATAAGCTGTAACGCCATAGCTAATTTTTCATATATCCATTTTTCAGCTTGATCTGAATGGCATTGATCTCACCGTTCGTGTTCTGACTACTGGCTTTTGGCCGACGCAAGTCGTTAATCCAACATGCAATGTTCCTCCTGCGCCAAGACATGCTTATACGTGCTTCAAAAGGTAATTAAATTTTTTGTCCTAGCAAGCCTTTATTTGAAATACAATTTTCCCATAGGCACGCGGTACTGATTGGAAAACTATACTGGTCTTGTGCTCGTGTTTTTCTGATTGGCCTCTGTCGACCCAAAAAAGAAATTAACAGAACACATAATGAAATATGATAATCTTATTGCACATTAGCAATATTTTATTCACGACCAGTAAACTTTTCCACGTTTTCCTGCTTCCCTTGGGTTGCAATTTAGAGGAACGAATTTAAAAAGCAAAATAGAGGTCATATGCGGATATTCTCAAATATAGATGAAAGTGAAAGGCACGATGCACAAGACTGGTATTTTTTTAACCCAATCACTCGCATTTTAGAGGGTCATGAAACTTTTACACGCGAGTCCACGCGAGAAGCGAAAAAATTTATCTGTAAAAATTCTCATATTGTTCTGACATATAAAAAGGCTTCATGCATAAATTTTAAGCACTGCAAGGCACCTTTCTCAAGAATGCCAGGTCTTGGAAATCTAAAGCCCAATCTCCAGTGAGAAAAAGTCTTGCGAAATTTCGCTGCGAAATACTTCACGCGACAAATTCCTTTGAATGCTTTTGTTGACCTCACGACATTGGAATGTAAAGTTTGGAAGCGTGACAAAGGAATACAGAATATGATTGGCTGTTGAAGGATTTCGCAAGCGCAAAGCGAAAAAAGTTAAACTCATTTTAACTTTTTTTCGCAGAGAAATTCTTCGCGAGAAATCCCAGCAAAAGATCACTGCGCATGCCTAAGTCGTATTTCGCGCGAACTTTTTCGGATTTCGCTGATTTTTTTCTCACTGGAGATTGGGCTTAAGTATGTCTTTGTACTTCTTTATCCTGTTTTTATTCTTTATGAATCATAGACTAAGTAATTTTCAAATCTTTTACAGATTTTATTTAGCGTGTCACAGCGGTCGTCAACTTACATTACAACCCCAAATGGTATGTCTACGTTAACTTGATTGGAAACATTTATGTCATTGTCAAAATGAAATATTTATTCGAGAATAAAATACTTGCTATTTTGCAGAGTTTTTTTGCTATAGCAAAATGTGTTGTATCCTTTTTTCAACTCTTGTTTGGTTTTATTGCAGGGTTCAGCAGATCTTAACGCTGTTTTTTACACGAAAAAGGTAACTTCCTTCATTTTTTACGTATAATTTATCTATCTACCAAAGTGGCTGAGAAATAAATTTGTCTCGTAAGAGCAGACATATTTTCTTTGTGATTTTCATGCAACACTAATCGGAAGATGAGACGTAATAGGCCACTTGCATGAGTAAAATTGCTCAGTGACATGCTCCAAAAAGTATCTATTCGAGAGAAAGTATCCATTGAATGTCCGAAATTGAACTTGTGCCAGTCTAAAACCCTTACTTAAGCGCAATTATTGTTCAGGTCGAAGAAATTCACAAGGCATAAAATCACAACTGTTTTGGACATCTACATTTTTATGCCCTTTTTCATTGTTTAATGATGCTATTTTGAAACTGATTTTCTTATATTGCGTTGTTTCATATGACTTCATCATTCCCATCACTGGATATTGGAAGGCCTATAATCAAATATTAACAAGGGAAACTTTTTGTCGTAGCGAACCTTCCAATTTCTGCACACCCTTTAGATATTTTTTTCGACATTTAGGAAGGTGGATCAGTAAGCACAAAGAAACACATCATCCAAGTATCGACCTACCAAATGTGCATATTACTTCTGTTTAACAAAAAAGAGAAAATTACGTTCGAAGTAAGTCTTTTTTTAGCCCATATATTTTTACACCACCTTTTGAATGAGATATCCACCCTTGCTTTCTTTAATTGCATCACACCATTTTGTGTGACGTCACACAACCATTGATTTCATTTTGCTCTTGTGTAGTAACGTGCAGTTGCTTCATAATTACACACTTATTAAATGTGCTATTTGGCTAACGTTTACTTGATATTACGCACATGATAACATTGTATTGTTTGTATTGTATTTTCCTTGAGTATTCTAGCTGATATCGCGTATCAAGATTTTTCTTCATGTAACATTCATGTTATTCAATTAGCTTATATTTGGAATCATTCTATTTTGATTTATGTGAAATTTTCCAGGAAGTAAACCAAGAAACTGACATTCCTGAGAAAGATCTTGTGAGGGCATTGCAATCGCTAGCATGCGGAAAACCAAGTCAAAGGGTACTTGCGAAAGAGCCAAAATCTAAAGAGATTGGTACGTTTGTGGATTACGTTTTGTTACAAGAAGAATTGAGGCCATTGGTCATTTAGAACTATGTTTTTTGACCTGATATTGTTAAAACTTCTAAATATCTTCGTTTCCTTTTTAGGCCCGACTCACATGTTCTGTATAAATGACCAGTTCACTTCAAAATTCCATCGAGTTAAAATTCAAACAGGTAGGTTAGGCAAATGCATATTTTTCTAATAAACCTGACTAATTTCCCTTTCGGTTTGTCAGTGAATTGCTCATTCATTATCAATCTTTTTTGTAGTTACTGCAAAAGGAGAATTGGATCCAGAGCGAAAAGAGACGCGGCAAAAAGTCGACGAAGATAGAAAACATGAGTATCCTTTACAGAATATTGAAGAGAAAAAATATATTTATGTTAATCACAATTAAAGGAAATGTTTTCAGATATAAGTTGCAATCCAATTGCTTCAAATAGTCAGAATTTTCATAAACTACGAATTTTCTTGATGATCGCTTTGCAAGAAATCTGGAGAAATGTTTCCTTATTTATGATTTAGTGTAAGGTATTGATATGATATCTATTTGTGCTTTGTATTTATCATGCTTTGACTAATATTATTGCTTTGTGCTTTAACTGGTAGAATTGAGTTAATAAAACTTCCTTGACTGTATGATTAGAATCGAGGCAGCGACAGTCAGAATAATGAAAGCGAGGAAGAAATTCCCCCACAATTCGTTGGTCAACGAGGTATGCATTTTTCCTTGCTTTTTAGCCTTGTATTTTAAATCTGTTATATCTACTGCTGAATTTGAAGATTGCATGAACATGTCGAGGCAGTTTCTTGCATATTTAGAATTATTTGTTGAATGGAACGCTTATGTGAGTATAAACTGATGGCTGGCATGCAAGATATAGCCAGGTTCTTACTCACATGCAGATCAAGCAAAATGAACGGGGGGAAGGGATTCAAATGCGTGGCTGGCTTTAGTTATACCAATTGTTGCCCCCTAGCTCCTTACCTAATAAATTTGTTCACTGATAGTGCTAGGTTTCATACCTTAATGTGCAGCTCCAGAGTTTCATCAGAAAGCTGTGATGTGTTTAGCGTGACAGAGCCTAACGACAGTTTACATTTTATAATTTTTTGTTATGATTACCTCTAAGGGTTGTGCGCTTCATCGGTGAAAATGGGAAAGAGATTACCACAATCAAAATTTGAAAACGAAGCCGTATGATGATTACGTATGATCGTCTTTTTTACTTCCAGCAAAATTTGTAGCTCCCCCTTCCTTATCTTACAGGAATTCATGCGCGTTTCAACGAATATTTATACGGGATTTGAAGTGGGAGGAATTTAATAGTTACACAAGTCTGTGCTTAGCAACTACTCATAGGTTTAGGTAGTGTAGACCACTATGTTTATCCTTGATAAAATTTTGATCAACGATCTTGAATTTTAATTTCTAGGTTATCGAACAACTCAAATCAAGATTTGTACCAAATCCAGTTGTAATAAAGAAAAGAATCGAAGGTTTAATCGAACGGGAATATTTAGCGAGATCGCCGGAAGACAGGTAATCTCTTGAATTCGTATTCGATTTTTTAAGTAACTGAAGAGCACACACCATCTTTCTATATGATTGCAAACTTCCATGGAAAATATGTTTGGAATAGACAACCGAGAATAAGAGATGGTGACAAATAGATAATCGGGCTACCGTTTCGCACGCAATAGAGTCTGTTGTGAAATTTTCACGACATTGTGCTAAATATCATATCTTTTGTTATCATTCCAAGTCCTTTAGGGCAATATTTTCCTGTTGGTTATTCATGCCCAACAAAGAAGCTCTCTTACTGAAGTACGCGCTTAATAGGGTTAGCGTCATTAATAGGTTCAGTTTTAGGCCTTAAACCTAGAATTTAGTTTCAATTTTTTTTAAACGTCATTTTTTTTAATTATGTATTTGAAACACTGAAACTTGTAAATAGGTCTTGTAAAATGAATGTGCTTTGAAAAACCAGTCTTTTTCGTCTACTGTAAAGTGTCTTGGCGAAAATATCCCGCCTAGATCGTTTCTGCTACGAACGACCCACGTCTGTGCTATTATTTTTTAATTATCAATGGTTTTAAAGTTCTATGTGTTCCTTTTCAGGAAAGTTTACATATATGTTGCCTAATAGCACCCTGCTTACTAGTAAAACAATCAGATTGCTATTCTGGCGGCACAATATGGTTTAAAGAGGCTGCGTAGGCGCAAAGTCATTGCTGACACCTGTTATAAGAAATACACACGTGACCGTTGCAATTGGTTTTGTAAAGAATGCCACTGCCAGCTTCATAGTTTGTAACGATAAATGCATGTTTGTAATAGCAGGCATTCTGTAAATTATGTTTGTCGTGAAACCTGAAAGAGTTTACTTTTGGTCGCTTCCTTAATGAACTGTGTTCTCCTTTGAAATGTGTATAGGTTTGATAGAAGTACGGTTTGCTGATTACGAGCCACTCATTTAATTACATATGTATGTAGATAGGCCAGATGTCTTGTTCACAATTAAGCCCCTCGTCAGTTTGTTATTGTTAATCTTATTATATACTACAAGCATTCCCAGTAGCCTAAAGATTACCTGCTACAGACTGCCTCGGTCTGCTATAACCTCCTTTCAAGGCATCGTCATAACAATGTATTATCGATTGCACTCAAGGCTGGATGTGTATGGTTTATTATGATATTGTTATTAGCCTTCTACGTTTTAAACAAACAATAAACAAACTACCCTGTGTTACTTGTAACTTATACGTTTCAAACTACTTCACATCGTTTAATGCACATGAACTCAACTGATGCCAACAAGCAATTTGTGATAAAATGATAATGCCCTTTTGTTGAAGCTACAGAGTTTTCTAAACTTGCGTGAATTTTTTTGGCATATTTATGACAAATGTTTGCTAGGTTTAGCAAAAATTTATCTCTATCTTCTTAGTTATATTTATCCTAATTTGTTGTATTTTAAATCTTTGTGATAATATTGAATTTTGTTTTCTCTCTTGAGTCATTTCTTTGACACAATTTGGACTGTCTAATTAACGTGAAATAAAGCTACTAAAATGATTGGGTTAAAAAACGAGTAGAGCGATGTTGCTGCCCCAGGCAAGGTTGTCTCGCAGGGAGGCTTTTTAAGCCCATTGTTGTAACTCGTGAATTGCTGTTGAACACAACTGAAGAAACTGTGTCAACCTATTTCGTTTATATAGATCGATCTACGCAGCCTATATTTACTAGCATTTCAACTCAGCATTGAATTCCAACTTTATCGATCTCTTTGACCTCTCCCTGCTCTAGGCCCCCAGCCGTTACTGCAGCTGCTCACTCAAAGGAGGTTTCGAGGTCCCATTTGCCAATAGATTGGGTGAGCCATCCTTTATTTGATGAAAATTTGCCGACCAAGCACCACTGAATGCCAATCTTTTCCTCCTTATTTCAAACGATTTTTTTCCCGAGGGCGGGGGGGGGGGACTGTTACATCCCTCACACCCTTCAAAGCTACGGCCCTGCTGATGAAGTCGTTTTTGCATTTCCTTGTTTTATGAAATGCTTTTATATTTTAATTTTCAGTTCAATGTGTTACGTTCTGCTGAGTTATGGCCTTATGAGCATTGGATGTATCTCCACTAGATCGCCACAAGTTGGAAAAACTGGCTACATCTTGTACAGTTCACATCTGGTTGAACCAAAGCCAGTTTTTTTTAATCGTAGAATAACGTTAATTCGTTGATTCTGTCCCTGTCAATGCGAGGGCAGGAGTGCTATTTATTGCTTCAGAAGTGACAAATTCAAGAGAAAATGTTTTTGAACACAATCGTAAGAAGGCCAAACAATACAAAACGTTAGAAAAAGGCGAATCAGAAAATTTCAAAGCCAAACCAACCAGAAAAGCCATATTTGATTGAACTGGACACACGGACTTGCAATCGCGTAATCGCTGCGCAGGATGCTGCTTCTGCGGAGGAAAATTAGAACAACTCCAACACAGAAGTAAATTCTGTTGTTGTGTCAAGATGGCTGCCTTTCGTGGCGATATTTTTGAAAACCATTCGCTAGTTACGGAATTGCTGGGAGATAATATTGGTAAGATTTTTAAGATATATTTTATATGAAAGAGTATACTTCTAAGGTGGCTAAATTAAATCCCCACATATTGTGTTTTTATAAAGTCTTTTACTTCCCCTCAACAAAACAAATAGGCCTACATGACATCAGCTAGATGCATTTCTTATCAAACTCAAAGCATTTTTCTCAGCAAATTAATTAATTACACGTTGCGTCAATTTAGATTGTTGTTCAAAAATTCAATTATTAAATCCCAAATTATCACATTCTCGCTTTAGCGAGAGCCCAGCAAAAATACACATCTGCATTACTTTCTGTCTATTTTCTACTGTTTCTGTAGAACTGTTGATCTAATACCAAAACGCATTTGTTTTCAAGCAAAAGAAAACCAGGCTGCCAATAGGATTTTATCAGTTGCCTGAGATACTGAACATTTTTCATTCTTGCATACTTTTCTTGTCGTTTAGACATAGGGTCATAATCATTCACTAAATTCTCACAATTTTTCAGTGTCATCCCCTCCCTCTTGAAACAATGTTAAATATCAAGAATTCCAGACTTAGGCTGGATGGTTTAAGTATGGTTATTAAAGAAATAAGCTGTTCAAGAAACAATGTTTTTGGAGGGAGGATGAATATTTCTGTATTGTACGGCCAGAAAATGTCAATTCTGTAAAATCATTCATTGCAGGGTGCTCCAAAGACTTTTAGCACAGAGATTTTAGTTCATGCTTGTTTTGTAAATCAAACCAATAAAATTGAATATCCTTACTCTTATCAATTTTATCATTTCTTGATGTCACCTGCTTTTGTATCATATTTTTCACTGCCTCATTACTTTGTTTCAAGAACTAAAGGATCAAGACACAGGGCAATCTCTGGCATACTTAGATTCTTTGTCAGCTTCTGGTGTCAATCAGCTAAGTAAGTTTAAAATTTTCTTTGAATTTTTTATCATGGAATGCTTCTTCCTGAACCTACTTGTGCAAATAATATCAACACATTTCCCAGACTGAAAAACTTATCAAATATGTTTTTTCTCTCAATGATTAATAATAGCTACAAGTCTGCACTACAACAAACACAAATCTTGAAATTTGTTATAAAATTCAACTTTCAAAAATCTCTTATTGTTTGCTTGTTTTAAAAACAAAATCATCAAATCATATTTGCCTAACCTATTTTATATTGACAATAGCCTTCAACAAGCTCAGAAATTTCAAGGGACATAAAAAATTTATGAAAAGGGGCACAGGTTTTGTAAAAGGCATAACTGTATAGGCAATAATTTTAAGGAACATGTAGCTCTGGGAGCAGTAAACCCATCAGTTGAGTCCAGGGCAAATTATAAGCTTTGTTAGCCCTCACAGTTTTCACTGCGTCCTTGGAAAGGGAAAAAATTTATGAAAAACAGGGGTTGTTTGCACCTTAACACCCCCTCCTCTACCTATGCCCTCGGGCACATATTTGATAGTTATTGTGCAAAAATATAACTAAGCTAATTTAATATACTGCTAATTTAATAATAAAGCTAATTTAATAATAAAAACTGAATTTGTCACAAGTAAGATCTGCTTGCTTCTATTTTGCCTGACGAGCTGTTAATCATTAACCTTACTTTTGAAGTAGAAAAATTAAAAAAAAAACATATCATATAAAACAGTTGGTTTACTACATAATTCAGCTTCACACAAAAACAGGTTCAAGTGAAGGGGCTTGATTCCTCGCTATTTCTTCTTAACATGTGCCTAAACTGACAACATACAAGAGATGGAGAAAACAGGGAAATTCAAATTTGTTTAATTCTATTATTTTCATATTTTAGTTTCCTCAAATAGAATGATCATAACTTTGCTTTTGTCACTACTATATGTATCTGATTCTTTTTTATGACTTCATGGACAAATTTTTATTTCATTTTTCAACCAAGCGTAATGACTTGCAGCTCTAATCCACCCCCTTGTCATTTTAGATCAGGAACCTGGAAGATTGAAAGAAGAACATGATCAGTTGCTTGAAAACACAAGGCTATTGGCATTCAGACATTACAGGACATTCATACAAGCTGCAGAATGTTCTAGAGAGATTTATAAAGATGTTAGAATCTTCTTATTTGTACTTTGATACAAAAGAGCAATGATAACAATGCATTCTATACTCTATTATTTTAGATCCTTCCTGAAATTAATTTGTTAGGATAAAAGTAAGGGGTTGTTTCCAAGATGTCAAAGTGAAGTGTTTTGCAGGGAGTCAGTAATATCAACTTTTGTACAAGATACCTTAAGTGTAATGAATAATTTCAAACGTTTTTTTGACCTTACTCTTTCTAGCTTTTTCTAATGAAGAAAATAATTTTCATAGCTTTTAAGCCAAATTTTAAGCCATGTATAAAAAGTTTTCAAATAAAAAACAATAATTCTTTGCCAGCAAAATTTGTGTGGTAATCTAATTTTTCTTTATTTTCTTTAAATATGATCCTATATAACAAGGTGTTGAAAGGGTATGTTAAACCATTGAAAAGTTTATATGTTTTTGAACACGATAAAGATCTTTTTCAATGTTATTGATAAACAAACAATTATTCTCTTTTTTTCAGTTTAACATTATTGAAGACAATCTACAGTCATTGACAGATAGTCTACCAGAATTCTCCAAGTGTATTCAGGACTTCTCTAAAGAATCCCAAGAAATAAATTCAAGGTTTGTTGTTCATAATGATATTCAGGTTTATCTCTGTCCTTGTATTATCTTGGCAAACCTCTTACAATGTCCTATATTATTCTAAATTTTTCAGTTAAGTTTTATGTATAATTTATATTTTATAGGAGAAAACAAAATTCAATGGTATTGTCACGGTTGACTCAATTACTGGAAATCCTTGAAATCCCACAGGTGAATATAATTTTGTTTCACAGTTATTTTTTACTTATAGGTTAATGAATTCTCAAGAATTTCAAGTAAAAAGCATTATTCATGTATTTTTTTTTATTTTTCACTAGTTGATGGACACTTGTGTCAGAAATGCATACTACGAAGAAGCATTGGAGTTAACAAATTATGTGAAAAGATTGGAAAAAAAGTTTTCATCCATCAAGATAATTGTGGTAAGATTTATCTGCCCCTTTCTTTTCCACTTTCATTAATGTTTCATTTGTCTGATTCATCTGTCTGATTGGTGGTTCATCTGTTCAAGAAGAAGATGATTGCGAATTGAAATATTTTGTAGAACATATTGAAGCACTCTGCATATTGTGTATTGAGGGTACTATAGCACTATAACAGGTTTGTATGAGCCTGAATTTTTCGCGATAGCAGATAAAGGTGACCCAATTTTTAAAGGCCCACAATCCCTGTTAAACCATCTATCGCAACGCCAGTTTTGTGGTTTCTACTACAATGCACACTATTCTAACAAAGTGCTGCTATTTGCACTCGTTGATTACAAAGGACCTTCGTCTGAAAAGTAAATGATGCTCAAAAAAGAACTGTGTCTTAAAATATCTTTTCTGTTAATGCTCTGTCTATCGTTGCTATTTGGGCATGGAACTGTTTTGTTTCGTTTTCTTTCTCATAGTGTAAACAGTGTTTTTCATTTTGATTCCTGTATTTGAAACAACTACCGCTTGGCATTTACTTTTTGATAGGATATTGGAAAAGAGGTTCGTAAAGCAACTCGTCTTATGCTGCAACAGCTTCTCCAACAGTTGAAAGGAAATATACAACTGCCTGCTTGCCTAAGAATCATTGGCTACCTACGGCAGCTGGAGACGTTTAGTGAAGCGGAGCTCAGAATCAAATTCTTGCAGGTATTATGATAAGCAAAATTTGTTGGAAAAAATGACATTCTCATCAATGTAAAACTAATCAGATCTTTAAATTCTTCTACTCTCATCACGCCATATTTCTCTGATTAAACGCCCCCCCATCGAATAAACGCCACCCCATCGAATAAACGCCACCCTCGAGGAGGCGCCCCAAATTAATGAAAGCCCCGGGGCGTTCAATCAAGGAATTTACTGCGATAGAAGAGATGCTGGAGCCTTTGACCGTTCTCTGTTTTGAAATTTTTATATCTTTGTACTCCTTTGTAGTCTGCAATTAAACTCCATAATTTTCCCTTGATTGAAGAACATTACCGTTATTAAGATTGAAAACTGGATTTCGGACTGATAGGAGATTTCACCAAGCCTTGTTACACACAAAGCTTCATACTCTGTCTATATCAGGTTGTGTAGTATGTTGTGGTCATGATTCTGTATTCATCATTGTAGGCAAGAGACAGTTGGTTTCAGAGTGTTTTAAACGCCATTCCAGATAAAGATGGTAGGGACACGGTCGTTTCTTTTTGCTTTTTTGCATCTAACTTTCATTACTAGCAATTCACTCGAAGTTTCTCGGCCTTTCGACCATTAACATGCTTCATATTCTTACTCTGTTGATAAAAAGATATATATATGAAAATAAGCCTAGTTTGTTTGGTTCTATCAGATCTCAAAAACTGATGCACAATAGTGTTCTAGATCTATTGATAAAACTTTTCAAGCGATTCTATCTGCTCCATCTCCATTCAGCCCCAAGAAAAGGTATCTCTTCTCGCTAGAAATTCTTTAAGAAGGATTTCTAAAAGCCAAACAGTGACTCTAGGACGAACGGGCAAGGAGCTATTTTCTTAACATAACACAAATAGAATTGTTAGCGTCTGAAATTATTCAAAAAATTGCTTTTTAGCTTACTATCATATCACTAAGATCATCGAGGCAAGCCGTGTGCATTTGTTTGACATCGTGACGCAGTACCGAGCAATTTTCTCTGACGATGACCCAATATTCATTATGGAGGAAGAACGTGCTGTTAATTACTCAAATATTCTCCATGCTTGGATCTCGCGCAAGGTTTTTGTTCTTAAATGATTTTTCTCTTATTTTTCGGTACTTTGTTAATGGCAATCGCTTGTTGTTTCATTCCATTTCTAGGTACATGTCAACCCGGATAACTGAGGCTTTCACTAAGTCGGACATTCCATATTCAAGTCTAAATTCGTACCCCCAGATAGGTCAAACATTTGCTAAATTGATTCCATTTTTAGGTACAAGTCAACCCGGTTACGTCTTATCCGGATAACTGAGGCTTCCACTAAGTCGGACATTCCGTATTCAAGTCTAAAGTCTTACCCCCAGATAGGTCGGACATTCGCTAAGTTGGATCACTTACTTGCCTCCTTGAAAGTTCGACTTCAGAGGTTTAAATTGTAGTTGCTTGATATGATGGAGTCTTCTGTCGACCATTTTGGGGAGTTTCACCGATTTCACGCCAAGAGGCTGGGGTGTAGCATTCCTTCTAGGTGTTGCCGGGAGGGTGAATAGAGATATTCGCATCCAAATAATTGGCAATTATTTTGTGTAATAATGGAAACTTTTCATTTTGAATTCCTGTTAAAACTACAATTACAAATCTCACTATTACAAGGTAATTTGTAACTGGCTAGCTTGTGTTTACAAAATAAAAACTATTACATCGTAGTAATGAGAAAAAAAAATGTTTAAAGGGGTGTAGCTCTGGATTAGTCCAAGTTTTGTTTCTACAGCAGAATATATAGTATGTGATGCGAATGGAGATGCTTGTAAGTTTGGAGATGAGGTAGCGTTTCTGTTGATGATCAATGGACAAAGAGTCACACATGTCGATGAATGATAATAATAATAATAATAATAATAATAATAATAATAAGAGGAATATTTATACAGGGTAAAACCTTGTCAATACTACGAATATTGTTATCAATAAGGGCCCTGAGTAATAATAGAGTTTCATCAAAAAATGATATAT